CATGCAGCGAGTACCCACACTTTACCCCGCCACGCACGGTACGTCGATCGGCTCAACTGTGGGGGTACCAGTTTTACCTCGCCGAGTGGACAGGTTGAGAAACCTGCACCGGAGCTTCGGCTGCCACGCCCAGGGATGGAATCGAACCGGTGACCTGTGTGCCTCAAGCCCAGCAGTGCGCTGACCACCGTCACAGCACCGCGACAATGTCCTGTATGTCGTTACAGCGGGACACGTTGTTCCACCAGTCTGCATTTCTTTGTGAATACAAAGCAGAGTTTGGTTTCGAGACCATGATTAAATTTTTCCTATCCCTCAATATTGTTATGGAAAAGTATTGGCTGAGGCAGAGAGGGCCTCCCCGGAACACCAAGTCTGTGTTGGCACCATACTTATATGAAAGTGAAAATATAACTTATTAATGTACTTGTTTTAAAAGAGTAAAAATGCAGAAGAATGATGAAATAGACAAACAGACAATGTCTTTGTCGTAAATCGGTCTCTCCACAAGAAAGATAAAGTAACTTTTGCACTTTCCATCAACCACATGGCCGTCTGGAAGTTTATAATATCAGCAGAATTAGCTCAGTACAATCAGTTTCACCATTCAGTGTCTCATCAGCTGAGTCCGGCTTGCTTGAACCAATGTTGGTCAACTGCCAGATGTTATAGGCAAGGACTCCCTCCTGAAGATATGCCTCCTAGTTCAATGGAAAATTACATAACAACACGATTGTTTCGTGGCGAATGATGGTTACCTGTTGCAATGTAATTGCAAGTCTTGCACAATACCCCTGCAAGCTGTTGTAGCAGTATGTACTGCCCGAGTATACACTGTGTGTTGTATCGTGTGCGTGGATTATTTTGTTAATTAGACCCATCATCTTGTCACGGTTGCTGCTGGGCGTTCTTATTTACAATGGCATGCTTGATAGTCTACGCGTGCTGGCACACGCGTGTGCCTGTGTTTCGTGTGTAATGGGGAGTGGTCGTGTCGTAGTTAGCACGTGTGTGTGTGTTGTGTGTGTAATGGGGAGCGGTGGTGTAGCGGTTAGCGCGCCGTGCTATGAACCCGGCCACCCAAGGAGTTCGATTCCCGCTCACGGCCATCACTGGTGACGATTATCTGAGCCGGTAATGGGCCTCCCCTGAGTCGACTCAGCGTTAAATGAGTACCTGGTGCAATGTGGAAACATCACCACTGGGGAGACAAAGGCGGTCGGGTGTGGTGCTGGCGATCCACTCCCTCGTGTGCCGTTCTGGCCTTCATAGGTGCCGTTCGCTAAGTGCACTTGCCCCTAAAGTCTGTTAAATGCTACACGGGGGATCTTTGTTTTTGTGTGTGTCATGGGTTCACGCGAGCCCGGCACCACCGTGGTGTCGAGATGAGCCACTCGGTGCAGAAACGAGAAACGTGGCACCTCACCTGGGGCTCGCTCGGCCCCAGGTGAGGCCAATCACCCCCTCCATCTGGCATGGTCCACCAGCTCCATGACAGATCCACTCCCTCCATGCCAGATCCACCCGCTCCATGCCAGATCCACTCTCTTATTCGCCAGTCCAACCGTTAATTAATTACACTTAAGCAAACGTAATCATTAGCGTAGTAGAAAAAAACACAACTACTTATTTTAATTACATGTTTAATGGTTTCATTCTGGTTCATTTACTATAATTATTTAATGTAATACATTCACTTTGATTTATTTCGTTAGGAAATGCATTTCTTTGCAATGTGGTTTCATACTGTATGGAAATAAACCTTTAGTACAGCGACTCATACGTTTGGAATTCCACGCTGTTCAGCCTGAGTGAAATGTCTGTATCTCATTAAATGCTCATAACATTCTTGTCATTATATGCATTTGTAAACATGTAGAATCTCCCTCAGATAGTACCGTGTTTCTTAGCTTGCTTTTTCATCTTAACTTGGGTGGAAAATTTAATCTGAAACGGTCCCCGATTATCTACCTTCATCGGTCTGCATGAACCAACGTGGTGAAGTATGGTCAAAACCACGAGTGGGATCCTGGGTTCAAATAAATAGCCCTCCGGATGTCGAGGGTATAAACGGAGCCGAGTGTACAGCACTCAACTGAGAACATGATTATGGTATCTTTGGCACCGTTCGTAGCCAACCGTGCTAATCGGAGGCGTGGGGGAAGGATAACAATCTAAACACAACAACAACAAGAAGCAGTTCTAAAGAAATTAAGTTTTCAATCTTGCTGGGAGCAGCCCTCGACACCCGACTCCTCATTTGTGTGGTGTTTTGCGCTCGCCACATAATCTCAACGTAGCAGTTTTTATTTGGTTTTAATTTCCCAACATTATATTTTGTTTATTTATAAGGGCATTGCTTCGTGAGAACTCTGATATATCTGCTTCATTTTTCTTTCAACGACCCTCTTATTGTTTTGTTAACCAACGGAGGCATCAGCGCACACTTGTGCAGTGCGTGCGTGCAGCGAGTGAGAGCCGTGCCAGTCGGGAGGTCCCGTGGACGCCCAGCGCGGGGCAAGGGGTGAAGCCGGCTTGTCACGGCGGCGCAGGTGCAGGCAGAGTGGGGGGGTCCTGCCACGCGGGCAGACCCAAGATGGATCGAGCACCCACCGGCTGGGTACCGGGCACCGAGTCGATGCACTGTGATCCACCGCAGGTATTCGCTGTGCTTGCGGGCAGCGGGGCCGCTGTGACCCCCCCCCCCCTATCGCCATGACTTTGTCTAAAGCCACAAAATGTCCATTGTGCGACAAAGATTATGTTCTGACTCGCTCGACCGCATGCCTCGCCGCAGATTTCACCACACGTTGGTGTACAATGTTTCTGAACCCGGTGCAGAAAATTCTCATCACGCATTGCCGTGAATTATATGTGCTTAAAAGTGTTTTGTAGAGTCAAGTTGAGCTGGAATAGATTATGTTTTAGGGCATCTACAGAATACGTGAATGTAGCTGCTGGAAATGACAGGTTCCTGTTCAAGTGCAGACTTGAGCTGTCCCTCTGCTCTTGTGCGGGCGTGACTGTTTGTGTGTGGGTGTAATCATCCTGAGTGGTGTGTGTGTGTGTAGTCACCCTGGGTGGTGTGTGTGTGTGGGTGGTGTGTGTGGGTGGGGTGTGTGTGTGGGTGGGTGGCGTGTGTGTGTGGGTGGCCTGTGTGTGTGGGTGGGGTGTGTGTGTGTGTGGGTGGTGTGTGTGTGGGTGGTGTGTGTGTGTGGGTGGGGAGCGTGTGTGTGTGGGTGGTGTGTGGTTGTGGGTGGTGTGTGGGTGTTGTGTGTGTAGTCACCATGAGTGGTGTGTGTGTGTGTAGTCACCCTGGGTGGTGTGTGTGTGTAATCACGCTGGGTGGTAGTCAGGGTGGGGGTGTAATCACCCTGGGTGTAACTCAGGGTGTAACTCAGGGTGTGGGTGTAACTCAGGGTGTGGGTGTAACTCAGGGTGTAACTCAGGGTGTGGGTGTAACTCAGGGTGTAACTCAGGGTGTGGGTGTAACTCAGGGTGTAACTCAGGGTGAGGGTGTAATTCAGGGTGTGGGTGTAACTCAGGGTGTAACCCAGGGTGTAACTCAGGGTGTGGGTGTAACTCAGGGTGTAACTCAGGGTGTGGGTGTAACTCAGGGTGTAACTCAGGGTGTGGGTGTAATTAAGGGTGTGGGTGTAACTCAGGGTGTAACCCAGGGTGTAACTCAGGGTGTGGGTGTAACTCAGGGTGTGGGTGTAACTCAGGGTGTGGGTGTAACTCAGTGTGTAACTCAGGGAGTGGGTGTAACTCAGGGTGTAACTCAGGGTGTAACTCAGGGTGAGGGTGTAACTCAGGGTGTGGGTGTAACTCAGGGTGTGGGTGTAACTCAGGGTGTGGGTGTAACTCAGGGAGTGGGTGTAACTCAGGGTGTAACTCAGGGTGTGGGTGTAATCAGGGTGTGCTGCTCGGCACCCGCAGGCTTTGTTCTGCACTGGGGGGGAGGGCAGCAGCCTCCAGGGGTTCATTGAGGGGGGAGGGGCCCGTGAGGGTGGGGGCATCGCCCCCCCCCCCCATTGCCACCCTCTTGAGACCCCAGGAACTGTGACATGTATTGATATTTACCAGAGAAATACATGGAATGGTTTTTATCGTGTGTGTGAATGTAGGGCCCTATTTAAAAGGTTTGACATTTTGCAATCGCAACCCCGGCCCCACCCTCCCAAATCCGTTACTAAATTGGGTCAGATGTCTACCTTGCAAATGTTAGACGAATTATAAAAGTATGCCCTACATGGCAATAGCCCAATTGGTGGTGGATTGCTAGTGCTATTTATGCCATGAGTATGGCGGCATTCTAATTCAATTCGTGAGAACAGGGTCATTGTTTGGCTCGCGTGTTGCTGCAATGTTCCAGAATTTTGAGGTTTTAAAAATGATCCGCAGTGGGTGATTCGAGAATAGTTTTTTCAGCGGTGGTTTGGGGGGATGTCGTGAATCCGAAGTATGCATCGTGCTTGAGTGTTACATGCAACATGTACACGTCAACTAGGCGCAAGGCTGGCAACAACTAAAGTCATCCTTAATGGACCCGATACTGTCAGATCCCTGAAATTAAGTGGAGTTGAGCCTGGTTAGTAATTGGATGCCAGGCAATAGCGAGTGTTTTACGCTTGGCCCTGCAAGATGGCCACGAGATATCAAGAGTTGAAACAACAGTGCAAGTTCCTTAGCCACCCTCCCCTGTCCCCGCAACAGTAAGTGTGGGTGCACCACAGTCGATGGACACATTGCGTTGGTTGGGTAAAGTGTGGGTGCCCCCATTTCTTGCAAGACGTCTGGCCAGCGTGAAAGAGTAGGCCAAGTATCCCCGCTAGAGTGGCTGTCTAGAGCTCCTTACAGTGGTGTGAGCAGGCCATTGCAGGGCTGCAACCTTCACCATGTTTAATTATGAGCCGCGGGCGGTGAGCCGGGCGAGGTGAGCCAAGGGTGGTGAGCCGAACGTGATGGCCTGCTGTGTGTCCGTGTTGGCGTGACCCTAGGAGGAAGAGCAGCAGCCAAGGCCGGAGGGAAGGCCGAGGCCTGGCCGCGGCTGCACCGACGTGCCTTGGCTCGTCGCCTTCATGCTCTTCTGGGCCGGTTTGGTGAGTCCTCCGTGAGTCCTCCGTGAGTGCTCCGTGAGTCCTCCGTGAGTCCTCCGTGCCATCGGCTCCTTCAACCAAACCCCACTCGGGTTGCCACCTGCTCTGGATTTTCCAGGACATTTTTGAGGTAGCCGTCCTGGGAAGTCTGCGAGTCTTCACAGGACGTTAAAAGTTATCGTTTTTGTCAGTTGTCTAACAATACATGAATTGTAAGCATCTTAACAATACTTAACAAACTAATCAATTCCAGCCATGCCCATTTCTGACCATACTTCTCCACACTGGTCAATGCAGGTTGGTGATGGGTGGATCAGGGCAGGACCAGTTCTGAAATCACCCGCCACTGATGTGAGCCATGGCTGGGAAATATTTTACCTGGAATATCCCTGAGATCTCATTTCCAGGGGTCGAACTAGGTTCGCCAGGCTCATAGTGCACCGCACTCACCACTGTACCACCACCGCTCGTCCTCTTCGTGTAGTTAATGGTGTTCAGTTAACAGTGATGAACTGTTTCGTAATTAATCAATTAATTATTTACGGGATGCCAAAAATACTACCACCACCACCACCGTATCCCAGCTTTAATGAGCCCTTTGAGAGTCACAGCCATGCCTCAGTGCATGCCTGGGTTGTGTAAGTGCGGTCATGCCAGTCGGCCGCGTTGGGTTGCCATGGCAGGACAGAGGGCGTCCTGTGTGGAGAGCGCCCCTTGTGCTGGAGGGCAATCTCTGGTTGGTTGGGCCCTGTGGAACCATCTCCCTGTGGAACCATCTCCCTGTGGAACCATCGCCCTGTGGAACCATCTCCCTGTGGAACCATCTCCCTGTGGAACCATCTCCCTGTGGAACCATCTCCCTGTGGAACCATCTCCCTGTGGAACCATCTCCCTGTGGAACCATCTCCCTGTGGAACCATCTCCCTGTGGAACCATCGCCCTGTGGAACCATCTCCCTGTGGAACCATCTCCCTGTGGAACCATCTCCCTGTGGAACCATCTCCCTGTGGAACCATCTCCCTGTGGAACCATCTCTTTGTGGAACCATCTCCCTGTGGAACCATCTCCCTGTGGAACCATCGCCCTGTGGAACGATCTCCCTGTGGAACCATCTCCTTGTGGAACCATCTCCCTGTGGAACCATCGCCCTGTGGAACCATCTCCCTGTGGAACCATCTCCCTGTGGAACCATCTCTTTGTGGAACCATCTCACTGTGGAACCATCTCCCTGTGGAACCATCTCTTTGTGGAACCATCTCCCTGTGGAACCATCGCCCTGAGGAACCATCTCCCTGTGGAACCATCTCCCTGTGGAACCATCTCCCTGTGGAACCATCTCCTTGTGGAACCATCTCCTTGTGGAACCATCGCCTTGTGGAACCATCTCCTTGTGGAACCATCTCCTTGTGGAACCATCTCCTTGTGGAACCATCTCTCTGTGGAACCATCTCCCTGTGGAACCATCTCCTTGTGGAACCATCTCCCTGTGGAACCATCTCCCTGTGGAACCATCTCCTTGTGGAACCATCTCCTTGTGGAACCATCTCCCTGTGGAACCATCTCCTTGTGGAACCATCGCCTTGTGGAACCGCCACACCACCGCTTGGTTGACTTCTGTGTTTGTGCGCTGGCTGTGAGTCTCAGCTAAGCGTGAAATGATTAACCCTCCCCCCCCCCCCTAGGGTCACAATTTGATCCAAGAACCAATTCCTAAATGTTAAAGAATTTATTCCTACACGTGACGTTCGGTGTACGTATCATGAACGTCAAATCTTTTTTGATTAATTAATTAATCAATACATGCCTGATACTCAACACATTGATCAATCACGTATAGTAAGTAATGTTTTAAGCCATGACCCTCTTCATAGCAGGGAGTGGCTTGTGCTTTGAATCTTCTTATTTGGCAGTCCCGTGCCATCGAGGGAGATTGTCGTCCACCGTTGTCTTTTCTGTGGGTCGTCTGAAGATGGCTGATGAGGCCGATCCGGGATCTTTGCTCTGACGAAGGACCATTTCCCGTAACGTCACCTGTTCTGTATTTTTAAACAGCGTAGATTGGTAAGCAGTATATGTTGTCTAGGGCAGTGCTATGGACGGATGTGTTGAGTTCTTGTGCTTATGGACCGCTGCCAACACAATCTGTTGTGACCATCATGAATGCTGCAACATCTGCAGCGTGTCATGGGCACGGCTGGTGCTTCTACGTTGAGACTCCTGGGTCTGCTCCCCTTCAGATGAAGCGCCTTGAACTCCGTTTGCTCAACTCCTCGAGGTAGTCAAGGGTGTGTACAGTACATGTTGTCTCTGGGAGCAGGAGTGTTTTCGACTTAACGTTGCCTTTGCCTGTCATACCGATGGAAAAATACTCTGCAAAGTCACGAAAGCCTGCAACAGATACTCACGTAGGGGATAGGCCGCTTGCGTTTGTCACGTGGGTTCGATTGCGGCGCGCGTGTGCCCATGTTGTGGGGTCGTGTTGTTTTTTTGTCGACATTGTTCATCTCTGCACAGAAGCGGTATGTTAAAAAAAGACATCCACCAACTGTTTCTGATTATTTGACTTTTTTTTGCACGCGGAGAATGAGCGTTGCCACAGTTATTCGTGGGGCCCTGGGATTCGTTACAGGAGCTCCGCGGCGAACCGGAGCCCTGCCGCCCGCCGCCGGAGTCTCTGCCATTAATTGGGGCCATCAATTCTACGCCGTCATTTGTGTGCAATCGTTAATTCACGTGTTAACGTGCCGTCTAAAGGAGACCCGCTGTAGGAAATAATACGTAAAAAAAAATACCCCCCGATAAATGTCGTGTTTCTTCAGTTTGAGTGTACACCGTGAGATGCCTCACTTGGGGGTGGCTTTTTATGGGGCCTTGTGTGAGGCAGGCAAGTAATGGGATCTCGTGGGAGCCCCGGCAGCTACTCGTGCTCAGAGGTGCATCGCAGTGTGTCAGCCCGGTCTGCTGTGACACTGAGTTTTATATAACTTCATCGTGTTTATGCCAGAAGCACTTGGCTGCCCCAGAATAACCTTGAGCCGTCCGCTGGCCCGCGCAAGCTCACCGTATCGTGGGCCTGCTCCGATCGTTGGTCGGGTTGGGAGCAGTGCCTCTTTGATTCAGACGCCTCTCATGGGATTTGTGTCAGCTGAGTAAATTTAGTGCCACCCCAAACTGGGTTTGGGTTGGCGGATGAATTATTTAGATTCGTCATTAAATGCGCTAAATTTGAATGGAAAATATAATTTCAAACATTGCCCAAAAGTAGTATCCTAACTAAAATAAACTCAAGCGACCGCAAGTGAGGCTTTGGCTTATTTTATTTGTGCTTTTGATCAATATGCCTTTGAGAATACTTTCCAGATGTTTCATCATTCTTTCAAAGTTGGATTTCCGCAATATAATTTTCCAAGAGAGTATACGATATAACCCTTCGCGATAAGATAACTATAGCGATATTAGTTTCACGTAACTTTGTAATTGTACGTCAGATTTTTATTGTCCTTGTTGGACTTGCAGTGCAAATAAATATCGATTCAGTTATTCAACTGCAGTTCACGCAACATTGCCCTGCCATGAGTCTTCTCGTCATTTCACCATTGTAATTGACAACGCGAACAGCACACATGCTGTCGGTTATACTAGATATTATTCAATGGACTGCGAAGATTATAACGATGTTATAAAAACTTGACTTAAAGCTTTCGTGACTGCAGGAATTCGTATTCTTGGGTCTTTCGGTAAAGTCACGTAGATAGGTTCAAAGAAAAAACAAAAAACTGCGACGCTTCGATCACAACACAAGAAGACGACCGCTTGTGTTGCGATCGAAACGTCGTCGTAGTTTTTGTTTTTTTCTTTGAACCTATCTACGTGGCTTTACAGAAAGACCCAAGAATATGATGTTATAAAACTGTGTAATTTCCCACATCCTGCCACAGGTGTGTGTGTGTCACAGGTGTGTGTGTGTGTCACAGGTGTGTGTGCGTGTACCACCCACACCCTGTCACAGGTGTGTGTGTGTCACAGGGTGTGTGTGTATCATCCACACCCTGTCACAGCTGTGTGTGTGTGTGTGTATCATCCACACCCTGTCACAGGTGTGTGTGTGTCACAGGTGTGTGTGTATCATCCACACCCTGTCACAGGTGTGTGTGTGTCACAGGTGTGTGTGTGTCACAGGTGTGTGTGTGTATCATCCATACCCTGTCACAGGTGTGTGTGTGTCACAGGTGTGTGTGTGTCACAGGTGTGTGTGTGTCACAGGTGTGTGTGTGTCACAGGTGTGTGTGTGTCACAGGGTGTGTGTGTATCATCCACACCCTGTCACAGGTGTGTGTGTGTCACAGGTGTGTGTGTGTGTCACAGGTGTGTGTGTGTCACAGGTGTGTGTGTGTATCACAGGTGTGTGTGCCAACCTCCCCACCAAACAAATCTCACCCACGTGCGGCTTTTTCCATTTGTTTTGTGTGTGCCAATTTTCGTACTTTCTTTTGAGATTAAGATATACCAGATGTTTACGCTTTTATTTATTTAATATAGAAAATATTTAGGCAAATATTTTATCTTTAAATTGGAGTCTTGTCCCCATTGCATAACAAATTTGTGAATCCCAACCACAGTCCTGTACTTGGTCCCAGATTGTTAAATGTAACATAGGGTCTGAGATGCACATATACATTTTAACAAAATAATAAGAATTTGTATATATGCTGTACTTCACATTTGAAATTGTATCTAAGCTGTCCACCATCACCAACAATAATTTACAACCTTTGTCAATCTAGCTCGGGATCTGGGCCTTCACACGCATTCCAGACATTTTTCTTTATTAATGATCGTTCTTGCCGTTGCCTCGTCTCGTCCAGATCTTCATCGCCGCCTTCTCCATCGCGACGGGGGCGGCGGAGCGCCTCGTCTTCGGCTACGACAGCTTTGGGAACACGTGTGGGCAGCTGAACCACGCCATCCCCGGGGTGGCCCTCTCGGGGCAGGACATGCGCAGCCGCACGTACGTACCTCGCCCACGCCTCGCTGGGCACAGGCGCGGCGGCGCGGAGTGTACGGTACGACAACGGAGTTTGCCGCTTTCTTCTGACCACCACGTGGATATTGCCCCCTCGCTCGCAGGATACAAGCTCGACCCTGCTCGGCGTCCGAGATCTCACGAGATCTCACGAGATCTTACAAGATCTCACGAGATCTCGTGATCTCGTGAGATCTTACGAGATCAGCTGCTATCCACGTGATTTTGTCAGGGGCTGCATCACCTTTGCCTGCTTACGAATGTGTGTACACTAGAACTCCATTATGATCCGTGGTTGTTGTCGTGCGTCATCAGAGTCATTAATCACATGCCGAAGCTCCTCCTATAATCCGCATAAAATGTGCGGCTCAATGAAGTCACGTGTCTGATGCCTCCTAAAATTTTCGGCTATCCGCGGTACTCTCGTCGCGGACTTGTCGATGTTGTCTAGCGGCTTCGCCACAAATTACGGACGCTCACCGCCAAATGTTGTTTAACAGGCGGCGCCGTGTCGGTTGCAGGTACCTGTCTAACAGGCGCTGTCCATTGTAGGTACGTGTTCTTCCTGGACGCGTGTAACATCGACGTGGAGCGCGCCAGGGTGGTGTCGCCGGCGCTGTGCGTCTCCCAGTGCCCCCAGGAGGAGCTGCCCACGCTCTCCGCCCTGCGCCTCTTCGCACACGAGAATGGTGCGCGCCAGCATTGCGCCCGCGAATAACCCCACGGATCAGTCATCAGTGCTGCGTCGTGCTCACAAATAACCCCGTGGATCAGTCATCAGTGCTGCGTCGTGCTCACGAATGAGCCCACAGACCGTACGTTCTCTCCCCACCTTCGAGACTTGATGGATTGCCTGATTCAGGGTCGACATTATATTTGAGGATTTATTTGGGTATTTTTTTTACAACACGCAGCGGTGTGCATTACAGATACATTTCTCAACCTTGCGCATTTGGCGAGTCCACCAGTTCAGAAGAACTGCATTGTGGTCATTTTCTTTAAGTCCACTATCAATACATTGTCGTGATGGGTTTTGTCGTCATTCACAGAGCAAAGGGGAAACAGTAAAAATGAGATGGTAAACAGGAGGCAAAAACATATATTCTTAAATCAAATCAGAGCTCTGAATCGTTACAATTAACCAAATCCCCAGGTGATGGCAGTGAATGGCCTCAGCGCTAATGTCCGGCATCTGTGTATGTACGTACGTTGAACTTGTTTCGCACTGTACGAAGCCAACCATGCTAATCAGAGATGCTTATCTGAGCACCTGACCACCGAACTCATGACCTTTCTGTATTATGCCTCGAATCATTCTGAATGATCTACGTGTTTCTTTATTGCTGTATTTTGTGAATTGCGGTGTTAATTCTGATCGTGTACTTGAGTGGATTATGTTGGGTAACTGCAAGAGGTACAGTAGAGTACCTTGTAAATACAGTAATGGGAACACTACGCAATTAAAACAACATTTTTCTATCAACCCACAAACAGCCGCTTGTGTAATGCACACCGCTCACAGCCAGCATTCTCAAACATCCGGGTTCAAACATTCCAACAACGTTTAATATACGCTTGCTGTAGCAGCCCGTGAACACAGCAGCAGCCCGTGAACACAGTGAGTTAACTTGCTCGTCGTACGCTGCGCTGCTATGTAAAGATCTCAACGAAAGAACAGAATTAAAGGTGAGAGCGAAATGACCTCTCCTCGTGAGCACTCGCGTCAACCTCACTTGGCCGCCCAGGATCTGCCCAGGCCTAGCTTAGCCTGCAGGCCTAGCTCAGCCTGCAGGCACCGGCGGACCGCGCCGGCCGTCCCGACTTTCGTTTTTGTGTTTGACGCAGGCTCGGCGCTGTGCACGTACGACCTGGCCCCCGCGGAGTACACCACGAGCCCTGTCGCCCACGACAAGTGCCCGCGCCTGCCCGTCCCCGCCAGGTGATGCCGCCGCCGACCCACGACCCCTGGGTTCCCTCTGAGATGTCGGAGAAGTCGCTCGGCACGTTCTAATCAACATTGCCTGTCCCTATTACAATGTCTAAATGGTTAATGTCCCGCTTCAATCCGATTGGTTGTTCCTGTGAGGTCGTGACACCTGTGTCATAAGCCGGGTCAGGTGACACGGTTATTCTGACTTTGGGGCCGATCATTACGTGGCCTAGCCGAAAATCAATGAAGAATCACAGCATTGGTAGAGAAGACCTCCTTGTTTAGTAAAGTAACAATGATGTTTTCCAATGGGGAATTGTTTGTCTCGAACAACCTTGACGGTGTCGTGTGCAGCGTCTTGACTTCAACTGCCGGTAATGTGACAGGAGTCCATCGCGTGTGCCACGCCGAGACACACCGCCCACCCACAAGGGAGGAGATACCTCTTAGTGAGATGGGAGGGAAAGATAAAGGAGATGTACAAAGTCTCACCTCGGTCCCCGCACACGTCACTCGAGTGTCGATTATGATCTTGAGTTCATCAATCGTCTCGGATCGAGTCGCGTAGTCACGACGGTCTGTGACATCACGCCGCTTGATTTGCCGTGCGTGCTGACGACGTGTGCCACCCCCCCCCCACCTTTCATGCCCCCCAGTTGGCTGCCGTTCTTCCACCGCTGTGCGCCCAGCTCCTCCAGCTGCTACGCTCACTTCCTGCGTACGCTGGTCGTCTTCTACAACCAGATGGACGCCTTCCAGAGGGCCATCGAGGCCATCACGGCCAACTACCGCGCCGTCCTGGCGCTCTCCTTCCTCTCCCTCGGTAGCGCCATGACCCCCATCACACTGCGTGACCCCGTCACCCGGCGTGACCCCGTCACCCGGCGTGACCCCGTCACCCGGCGTGACCCCGTCACCCGGCGTGACCCCGATCGTGATGGCAGCAGTAGTGGAGGAGTCGCTCAAAGAAAACGTTTACACCCTCAAATAGCACGTCGGCTTCTCATCGCGCGCCATTCGAAACGAGGTTTTCCCGTTGAGAAGAAAAGTGTCCCCACGAGCGTGTTCACTGCCGCATCCATAGATAGCTGCTGCACGGAGGGACGCTTTTACAATCGTGTTTTTCTAAACAATAGATGTTTACGTGATCACAGAAAGGCCTTCATAGATGCCTTCATAGATGCTCGCTAACAGCACTCGCCCCAACAATCTGTTAAGGCTCCTGTGGGGGTCTTTGTCTTTCTGTGCGTGGTGCGCATGCGTGCCCGGGCAGGGCTGTCCCTGGCCATGCTGCTGGGCCTGCGCCACCTCTCGGCTCTGCTGTTGCGCATCCTGGCGGCGCTGCTCGTCTTCTCGCTGCTAAGTGAGTGTCCCGCCGCACGGGGTGGTGGGCACACACGACCGCACCCCCCACCGCGCTCCCGAGACTCTTTACATCCACGGGGCAGCGAGACAGCGTTCGCGTGACGTGCGGTGCCGCGTGCGGCGCGCAGTGGTGACGGGGCTCACGTGGTGGATGTACTCGGACCACGCCGACCTGCTGGCGCGCACAGCCGCCCAGCCGGGCCCCGCGCTGAGCCCGGACGTCGGCGGCCAGCGAGACGAGGACGGCGCCTCCCCGGTGCCGTTCGCCCTCGCCGCGACGCCCGCCAACAGCTCCGTGCCCCAGCTGGGCATCCTCGAGGACAACACGCTGGCGCTGCTGGTGGGCGCCACGCTGTCCTCCATCGCCACCGTAAGTCGCCCGCCGTGCTTGCGTAAGGACTCGTCTTCCGGTGCGAGCGGTGTCCCTTTTCCATTTGAGCCGAGCCGGCGCGTAGCCCTCACAGCACCGGTAGTTTTCCACTGGCTATTTGCCGAGCCGAGCTGGGACCTAACAGTGGCTAAACGAGACCTCCGAATCTGGCTTGGGGCCAAGCGAAGCCAGAGATGGGGGCTCAGTGACACGTTGGTTGCGTGCGCAGTCAGTCGCTACGCTGCGAGGACGTCGGTCGACACGTTATCTACATGCGTCTCGACCTGGCACCTCCCGAGGCACGCCACACTGGCCCAGCGTGGCCCTGGCGTGGCTCCGTTGAACAGTGGATAAGATCAGTTACAGTCATTATGCAGAGTAAGGTTTTGTTTGGCACACAGACTGGTTCAGATTTCACTCTCCACCGATGTTAATCGTCCTCAGGAATCGAACGCAGGTCACCAAGTTCGTAGCGCAATGCCTCACTGCTCCTCTGGTGGGCACACATGAGCTATCCAAACACGAGCATTCACCAGTGTGATCACCATTGCGTCTCCAATGCTAAACACAGCACGGGGAATGACGCAGATAAAAACCCGACCAGGTTTAGTGGAAACTGGGACATTGCCCACTCCTTAGGCTGGTCATCAGGGGTGGGGCCACACGCCCAGCCGCCCTGAGACACGAACCGGCGCGGTGCGATGGTTGGTGCACCGCACGGTGACCCCGACGAGCTGAGTTCCACCCTCGCCAGCGGCAGCAACCCATCCTGGGTTCCCCGCTTCACCCAACCCTCACCAACCGGCGTGGTGAAGTATGGTCAAATAACCCCATGGCTTGATTGACATAGAGGGCTGTACAACTACAAATCTGTCATTATTATTACTGGGACAGGACACTTCGCACAGGACGGGGGCCGAAAGTCAAGAAATAGTGACGGAGTGACGACAAACAGATTACGTCCACGGAGGAGATGGAGTGATAAAATCCACGAGTATGCAGGTGCCAAGTGGATTGTTATAAATCACAGAACCGTGAGAGATGACAAAGGCTTGATCCAGCAGTAGGTGGTGCTGACGATGCTGACGTGTGTGTGCTTGTGTGCGTGTAGTGTAGCGGTTAGCGCAATCGGTTACGAACACGGTGACCTGAGTTCAATTCCCACTAATGGCCAACACCGGTGACGATTAACTGAACCAGTGCTGGGCCTCCCCTAGGTTTACTTGGCCTCAATCGAGTACCTGGTGCGGTGTGTGAACATCGCCACTAGGGAGATAAAAGGCGGCCGGGCGTGGTGCTGGCCACCCACCCCTTTGTATACCGTGCCGGCCTTCATAGGTGGTCGCTAACAGCACTTGCACCAACGGTCCTTTGAAGGCTACACGGGGGATCTTTGTCTCGTGCGCGTGTGAGCCAGGTGTTGCTGCTACTGCTGGTGCTGCTGGCGTGGAGGCGCCTGCACCTCGCGGTGGGGCTCTTCGGCATGCTGGGCGGGGTGTTCTCTCACCTCCCGCTGCTCATCCTGCAGCCCGTGTGGACCTTCGTGATCCTCGCCAGCTTCTGGCTCTGCTGGGTCGTCGTGCTGCTCCTCCTTGGCACGGCAGGTGAGCGTCCCTGGGGGGGGGGGGTGGGGGGGAGAGACAGCGCGGGTGTCCGGCAAGGCCACGCGCTCCTCTAACGGTGCAGAGCGGGCGAGAGAGGTTTCTCACTTACATGGCGGAAGATGCCCGCAGTAGCGCGGCAGTGACAGATGATGAGACTTGGACAGCCTGGGGCCCTGACAGCGCCGGACGTCAGGTGCAGCCCACGTGGAACGATGCAATCTGCGTTCGTGAGTTGTCTCAAGGCAATCAAGATGCTGCGCGCGGACAGTGGGCATATTCGCTACACAGAGAGAGGCAGCCCCCGAGACGTGTCGGTGTTCGTGTGTGCTTGCGGTTGACGGTGATGCAGTGGCTGTTAGCGGGCTCTACCTGGCAACCTGGGTTTGATTCTCGGTCATGGATAACCTCAGTGGCGATTGGTATCTGAACCGGTCCTGGGCCTCCCCTAGGTCAACTCAGCTTTAAATTAATACCTTGAACGGTATTTAAACATCGGCAGCTTGGGAGTCAAAAGGCGGCTGGCTGCGGTGCTGACCACACCGCCCCCTCGTGCGCCGTGGCGGCCGTTATTGCCCCAAACGTCCGTGGCGCCAAACGGGACGTCGTTGTGGTGTTTCCCGCGTCCCGCCTGTGCGTGCGTGCATCTGTGAAGGCGACCCGGTGCGGACGGCCCAGGGCTTTGTGGAGTTCCGGCTGATTGGGCCCATCCGCTACATGTGGTGGTACCACGTGCTGGGCTTCGTCTGGGTGACGAGCTTTGTGCTGCACTGCCAGCGCATGGCGGTGTCGGGAGCCACTGATCAGCTACTACTTTGCCCGGTGAATCCCCTTGGCCACCGGCAGCGCTCTGTGGTTGTGTAGCAGCCCATTGATTCTTCACTGCACGCTCGTTTACTTAGCTCTCTCACGAGCCATTGCGACGTCTGGGTTATGTTTTTATGCTCAGTTGTGGTCACCGTGAAATGAAATATTTTATGGCAGAGAGAGCAGATGGTGATAGTGTACTGCACGATAACTTAATTTGGTGTTTTTAAGCTGACATATTTTTTGTGTCCTTTACTTCACTTCGCATTTTCTTTGTCATTTCGGTCACCCAGGTCACCCTTGCAATGAGACTCCATCGCGGTCTCTTGACTTCTCCCCTGGTTACACAAAGTCACACCTGAGACACTTAAGCATCACTCTTCCTGTAAGGGGTGGGAGGGTGGGGGGTGCGCGCCGCTCGTGTGAAACTCCATGGTAACCGCTCCGTTCCTCCTCCTCTCGCCGCTCAGAGACAAGCAGCGGTTGCCGCCATACCCAATCCTCTCCTCCGTCTGGCAGCTCTTCCGCTGCCACCTGGGCACGGTGGCCAAGGGCTCGCTGCTGCTGCCCCTGCTGGCGCTGCCGCGGTGCCTGGTGATGCACTTGCTCTGCTGCCTTCAGGACAAGGTCAGGGTTTCGATTCCCCCGTTCGCACGCTGTGTTTACGCGAGTCGAGGAAGAGGTGGGAGCACGCACCCTCGAGTGCCAACGCCCCGTCCACATGATCCGGACAATCAATACATCCTGCCGAAAACAGCACCCGTGAGCCGACAGGAAAAATTTACGCGTGCTTCCTTCAAAGTTTGTCGAGTGCACGCGTTGAAGCCCCAGGGAATAAGTTTTAAGTCAAAACAGCCCCTGCATCTAATGAATAGAATATCGTGCTTCCGCTTGACTCCCGTGTGGGTTGTTCACAGTCGTGCTGCGCACCTCTTCACGAGTTGAAAATTCGTGACGAAGCTCCCGGCACGCGGAGCGAATGTTGGGGAGCACGGCGAACAAGACGCACGGCTGTCTGATAACACGCCGGGACTTTCTGCCAGCTCTGTTGAGAGCGTGATGGCGGCGGTGTCTTGTTGAGGCTGCTGTTATTTTCGTACAGTTGTATCGGCGGTGGCTGCGTTGTGCTGATGATGCTGATGCTCCTGCTGCTGGTGTTGTGTGCAGAGCAGTGCCTGTGCCCGGTGTTTGCTGAAGAGCTGCTGCTGTCTGGAGGGCCTGGAGAAGCACCTGCGCCATTTGCACGAGGTGAGGCCACCGAGTGGCGTGACGATGCTGCCCCCAACCCCGCACTTTGGGAGGGCGCCGTTACAATGGAGGCAATGTTTCACAAGTCTGAATGGTTTTTTTTTCATATCCTCGGGAAACAAAGGGTTTATTTTTGAGTCTGTGGATCTCCAGGTCAGTCTTTGGGTCTCTATGTGAGTCTATGGGGTAGCTGTGCAAGTCTGTGGTTCACTCTGTGAGCCTAGAGGGGAGTCTGTGTGCGTCTATAGGGGATTCTGTGTGAGTCTGTGTGAGTCTATAGGGGACTGTGTGAGTCTATAGGGGACCGTGGTGGAGTGGAATCTCTCATCACCGATCATTGCCCAGATCACGACTCTGCAGTAGGTACAAATAGACTTCATCTGACGACTCCGGATGCCAGCGAATGGCTTTACAAACTCAATACGCACTATAAACCCGGTCCGCTGCTTTGCAAATGCCTTGCGAGATAAGAATTGTGTCCACTACTACCTCCGACCATGATGGCATTCTGTGTGTGTGTGCAATTTTTGCAATAATTATTGCAGGCACTAATTATAAGCAATGTGCATTTTTTTCAATAATCAGTACCTGCTCATGAAGGGGAAGCTCGCGGTTTGTCCTCATAATATAATGACGGAGTACACTTGGCATTGGCGCGATGGTTCTCACAGCGCGAGGCGACCACCGCAAGTGGAGTGCGTTGCCGCCGTGTTTCACGAACGCAGTCCCCCCAGCCGCCTCACACACGGGGGCGGCGATGCCGTGCCCGCCATCCCCACTGGGCAATCGGCGGCTCATTCAGCAGAATTTCACGTGATGTCTCGCGGTCTTTTAAACATGCCGACGGCACATGCTGTATTTGACGGTTAATGCACCCGCGGTTACTCAACTCTCGTCCACCCAAGAGTATAAATGGGTCAGGTGTGTTGGGTTAAAAAAAAAAGTTTGTCTGGCTAGCGCGGTAGAATGGGCCAATTGCCGTCCAGAAGATGCTGTCTATAACTCCCTCTGGTAAATGCCCTTGTGCAAGCATTGCAGCGCTGGGCATTTACCTTTTACCATGGTATTCCCCTGCACGATGTACTATAAATGTGAGAGATCTTGGAGCGGTAGATATGGATCGCAGCAGCCGTTCATCTACCCTCCGTGCCTGTCTGTCACCTTTCAGACGGCGTACATCGCCACCGCTCACAGCGGAACGGATTTCTGTGCGTCGGCGCTGGAGGTGTTTGAGCTGCTGTCCTCAAGGCCCCTGAGGATCATGCCGCTGGTGGCCCAAGGCAACCTCCTCGTCTTCTTGGCCAAGGCAGGGGCAACACGCACGCAGCACGTGGCCATGCTAACTAGAAATCAGGGCCCAGCCGTCATTCCCAATCTCTCTCTATCCCCCCTTCTCCCTGAGCCCAATCCCGTTTCTGGTCATTGTCCGTCCTTGCACCCCTCCACTGGAATTCCCCTGAACATTGAGCAGTCCCCCTCCTTAACCTCCTTCCGTTCCTCCCTTCAAGCTCACCTAAATTGAAAACTATTTTTTTGCATTGAAAACTATTTTTTAAGGATTTTTTTTGTGTTTAGTTTGTTGTCCTTCCCCCGTACCTCCGATTAGTACGGTTGGCTACGTACGATGCGAAAATAAGTTCATCATACATATACGTACAAAGCTTGCCTTGTAAATATTTGGCAGTCCACCCACATTGGTTCAAGAAAGCCTGGCTAATCAGTTGAAGCAACAACAATGTCCAAGCTTGATTTAAATCTTTCGTGACTGTATGAATCCATACTCTTTGGTTCTTTCTGTAAAGTCACGTAGGTAGAAATAAAATAAAATAAAAACAATGTCCAGCTTGACATCTTGTAAGCAGAGGGCCAAGTGGGGAGGACAGAGTAGAGCCTTGCTGGACCGTTCATAGAATGTTCCTGCACAATTTCTGGTTTCACCGGGCTCTGCTTGGGACTTATCGGGCTAACTGATGGAGCAGTCACCCTGGTAGAACACATGTTACAACACTGCTTGTAGAGCTCCCCTACTGTTATTTTCTCTGAAAGACCATCCTGTGTTTCGGTCACAATTTTGCCACCAGAAACGTCCATTGTCCATCCCCAGAACAGCACGTAATCTTTAGTAGAACTGCATCTTATCAAAAACTTTAATTGAGGAAATTACGAAACACATATTTAAATTTCATAGAAAATCGCTTGGCTGCATAAGCAGAGAGCGATTTGCATCGACAGTTCTGCATCAGCAGGCGTTGGGTCCCCTACAGTCGTCAACACGTGTTGGCTCCCCTACAGTCATCCAGTCACTAGCCCCCATACAGTCATCGTGCTCGCTACCGGTAGTTTGCGAGATCCTGGTTGGGTGTTGACTCCGCCCATCATCCCTCCAGGGTCGATAAAATAGATACAAATCCATGGGCAAGTCAACAGTGGTTGTCCTCGGGATAGACTCACCCCCGTCATAGGAATGTGGAAATGCCACCACTGGCTTAGGGCTGTAAATACGAAATGAGCACCGCCTCAATGCTTATTTGAGCAGCACGAACTTATTTGGCAGAAGCACTCTTGTGGAGGTCACGGTTCACATTCCGACCGTTTTTTTCATCACGATATGAAAAGCTTTTCAACGAGAAATGTGCTTGTTATTGTCTATGGGAGGAAACCGATACACGCATCAAATCATCTGTTCACTCATCGACAATTTCCGATGAAAGTGAATGACAAGCTCGTGTACATTTAGACGAATGTTGTGTTTTTTAAGAGAAAACAAGTTTTGAAATATATATATTTTTTCCCCGGGCAAAGCCGGGTACTTCCTGTATAGTAGATAACGCAATGCAACTGGTATTGAGCAAATATCCTAATGTTTAAAAATAATCTGCAAATTACTCAGTTGAGATTGCACACAGCAAAAATGGCCCCCCAACTTAAAAAAACTTGACAGGACCCTCCTGAAAAATATTCTTGAGACTCCTCCCGGGTAAACAAGCGTAACAACAACAACAACAATAATTTAACAATTTACAAAATCCCTTTTCTGCAGTGGCTAATTCCGTGCCACTTGCGGGCCGTGCACAGATGCTGGTGGTGGCCGTGACGGCCTTCTTCAGCATCCTGGTGCTCAACTTCCAGCCCAACTACCACCTGTGGGTGGTGCCACTGGGCCTCGTGTGCCTGCTCGCCTTCCTGGTCGCGGGCTGCCTGCTCTCGCTGCTGAGCAGCGTGTCCGACGCCCTCCTCGTTTGCTTCCTCCGCGACTGTCGCGGCAGCAGCGACGGTGGTGCTGGCCGGGGTCACGACGCCGACGGCGAGATCCAGGTGTGTGAAGCGGCTGGCTTTGAATGGAGGTGCCCTCCTCTCGGCTACGGGCCGATTCCGACCCTCCCGGACGCTTGGGGCGAATCGATGCATTGTCTCAACCGCCGTGCCTGGAGACTGAGCCGGTGCCCCAGTGTGTTAGCCAGTAAAACAATGAATTGTTTGTCTGTATCATAAACGACTTTTAGTCTTCACGGACATTCACCTGCCTGTCCGCTGCCTTCATGCAAACCAAGCTGCCCGCATGTCTACTTACATGACTTCCTATGCACATGCAGTCGCTTTTTTATATATATGTATAAACCTTCTCGTAGACTTGATTGTGCTCTTCTCTGTTGATGTGTGATGGGACTCAGAAATGTGTGAGCAGAAGCATCAAGAAGCTGGCAGAGTTGGATCGACGGAGAAAAGACAGCAATGATGCGAGGGATCAGGCTGTAGAGGAACAGGAATTGAGGTCGCTGGTGAGTGATGAGTGCTCTCCCCAGCTCTCCCCAGCTCTACCCAGCTCTCCCCAGCTCTCCCCAGCTCTACCCAGCTCTACCCAGCTCTCCCCAGCTCTCCCCAGCTCTCCCCAGCTCTCTCAAGCTCTCCCCAGCTCTCCCCAGCTCTACCCAGCTCTCCCCAGCTCTACCCAGCTCTCCCCAGCTCTCCCCAGCTCTCTCAAGCTCTCCCAGCTCTTCCCAGCTCTCCCCAGCTCTCCCCAGCTCTCCCCAGCTCTCTCAAGCTATCTCCAGCTCTCCCCAGCTCTACCCAGCTCTCCCCAGCTCTCCCCAGCTCTACCCAGCTCTCCCCAGCTCTCTCCAGGTATCTCCAGCTCTTCCCAGCTCTCCCAGCTCTCTCAAGCTCTCTCCAGCTCTCCCCAGCTCTCCCCAGCTCTCTCAAGCTCTCCCCAGCTCTCCCCAGCTCACCCCAGCTCTCCCAGCTCTCTCAAGCTCTCTCCAGCTCACCCCAGCTCTCCCCAGCTCTCCCAGCTCTCCCCAGCTCTCTCCAGGTATCTCCAGCTCTCCCCAGCTCTCCCCAGCCCTCCCCAGCTCTCCCCAGCTCTCCCCAGCTCTCTCAAGCTCTCTCCAGCTCACCCCAGCTCTCCCCAGCTCTCCCCAGCTCTCTCCAGCTCTCTCCAGCTCTCCCCAGCTCTCCCCAGCTCTCCCCAGCTCTCTCAAGCTCTCTCCAGCTCTCCCCAGCTCTCCCCAGCTCTCCCCAGCTCTCTCAAGCTCTCTCCAGCTCTCCCCAGCTCTCCCCAGCTCTCTCCAGCTCTCCCCAGCTCTCTCAAGCTCTCTCCAGCTCACCCCAGCTCTCCCCAGCTCTCCCCAGCTCTCCCCAGCTCTCTCAAGCTCTCTCCAGCTCACCCCAGCTCTCCCCAGCTCTCCCCAGCTCTCTCAAGCTCTCTCCAGCTCACCCCAGCTCTCCCCAGCTCTCCCCAGCTCTCTCAAGCTCTCTCCAGCTCTCTCAAGCTCTCTCCAGCTCACCCCAGCTCTCTCCAGCTCTCCCCAGCTCTCTCCAGCTCTCCCCAGCTCTCTCCAGCTCTCCCCAGCTCTCCCCAGCTCTCTCAAGCTCTCTCCAGCTCACCCCAGCTCTCCCCAGCTCTCTCAAGCTCTCCCCAGCTCTCCCCAGCTCTCTCAAGCTCTCCCCAGCTCTCCCCAGCTCTCTCAAGCTCTCCCCAGCTCTCCCCAGCTCTCCCCAGCTCTCTCAAGCTCTCCCCAGCTCTCCCCAGCTCTCTCAAGCTCTCTCCAGCTATCCCCGGCTGTCGCAATTTTTCTCCAGCTGTCTCCAGCTCTCTACAATTATCTCTAGCCTTGTCCAGCTGTCCTTTCGCAGGAATGGATTGCAACCAGGAAAAAGTGGCCAGTGTGAAAGAGTCGGCCACATCCCCTGTAGAGGGGCTCTCTACAGCTCCCTGTGGTGGAGGCCCTTCCATCAGCAGTGGCATGAGCAGGCAGTAGCAGGGCTGCGCCCGAACCCGCAATACATTGAAGCAGCAGGGAAATGTGTGCAACCGCCTCGAACATTCACAACAACAACAATAAGTCTGATTTGCAGCGTGCACGTAACGTGTGTGCAGCGAGCACGCGACACGCTCGTGCCGTGTGGCTAATGACTCGCCGTGTCCCTCCGCCAGGGTTCACCCAGCGCCACGTGAAGCGCCGAGGCCGGCCCCGTCGCGCCCAGTGGAGGCCCTCGCTCTGCCTTCGCGTCCGCCACCACCGCCGCCCCTCAAGCTGCACCGCACAGAGCCCCGTCTGGTGCTGTCGCGTGGATTGCACTGAGAATAACAAAATAGCAAAGAAATTAAAACTCAATCGAATAGCATGTTATAGTTATACAAATTATCATTTATTTACACAGCGCCTTTAATCGCGAGATCACAAAGCACTGTACGTGTCAACATTTCAACACTCAATCCAAAACAAAATATATCGAGGCAATTTTTAATGCTTTACAGGACAATAGAATTATGGAATACAGATCACACCTAGTCATTGGTCGAGAGCTACAAGAACGATGCAATAGGCGTGAGTCCTCGGTCCTGATTTAGAAACACCGAGAGGGCCCGAGTCATGGACACGGCTGTGGGAGGGCGGCCATTCACGCGTGGGGGTAGAGGGAGCCACGCGTGGGGGTAGAGGGAGCCAACCGCTGAAGGTCCCTAGCCCCCATAACCAAGGTTACGGGGTTTTGCCCATCTGCAAATGTTTAATCTTATTGTGTAACGCTGTTGTTTTCAATGTGCGCGCTTGTGTGTGGGTGTGCTTTTGTTGAGTGTGGTGCCATTGTGGTCAGCACACTGCACTACTATCCAAGCAGCTAGAATGTAATTCCATGGATAATGGAGGAATATGGGACATGAAGCTGTCCTGGCCACCCCTACCTGGTCAACTCGGTCTTAAATGAGCGCTTGGTGCGGTGTGCAATGACACGAGCGCTGGTTCGACAAAGGTGACTGGGCGTGGTGCCGGCCACTCTACCCCATCATGCGCTGTGCGAGCTTTCAATAGGAGCTCACTAGCAATGCTTGCCCAATGTGCGAGAAGAAGAACTGGGGAAACGGTTGCAATTGCGTGTGGTAGTTGCGTGCACACACACACACACGTCGCAAAGCCTCTCACCGCGAGCCCTCCCCCCCGGCTGTAGTCTCCCATTCAAGTCGGATAGACCACTGCCGACGGTGGCTTGGGGAGGCCTTCATCCAGCAGTGAATTGATCATGGCTGATGATGATGATGACGAGGCCACACTGTGCTTCGTTGAGGTTGAATGCATCCATTTGGCATCTCTGAATGCAGAGGTTAGGTAATATCAACAATACACCACTACCTTGCCCAGATATTACAGTGTTGTGCTCTGTGTTTTATGTAATGGATTGTCCATTGAGTATATTTTAAGTGGGAAAAAGTTTCTAGACCCAACTCGCACGAGAGTGCTGTGATACACTACAGTTACATGCGATATTTTTGTTTAATATGTGCAGTTCATATAATTACATTTCTCACCAAGGTGCAGGTATCTTCATCTGACAAAGCAGCTCGTCACTCTCAGTGCACTGATATTTTCCATGATATCGTTCGCATCTTTCTAGCATCTAAGTGCAGCGGCACCTCAACCCTGTACAAGCCAGCGCTGTGCATCTGGGGGGTGGGGGAAGAGGAGGTGTAGATACACTTTGTTTGAGAGAAGGGACATTCATCGGCAGAGCAGAAGCCTGGAATTGAACAGGGCCAGGGAGCTAAGAGCGTGGATGGCTGGGGGGAGAGTGGGAGTCGTTTTATTTATATTTTTACCAAAGGAACCTATTTAGAACGTATTTATTCATCAGGCCGAGCGAAGCGGCTGCACCGCAGGGTGACACTTTGCGGTGTGGCGTTCCGTGTCCTCTGCTGCGTGTGCGTGAGCCGCCGCCCTGTTGAGGACCGCCGAGGGGAGAGAGCGCGCAAGGTGCGTGGCCGGGTGGCTGGCAACGCGTGAGCCGAACAAGCTGAGCGCCGCGCAGACTCGGGAGGGCTTGGGGCTCCACTCTTGGGGCTCGCATCACCCAAAGCTCACGGTCCTGGAGCGTTCCAAACCCTCACGTAGTCAAGAATACGAAACTCTGTTAAACATTCAGTCGCCAAAATACCATTGCAGAGAAGAGTATAGCTACGTATGCTGCCCTTTCATTTTGCATTAATGTCCTGCAGGCATGTATTCTACCTATTATTGCCTTTAGTTATGATTTCAAATAGAGAACGGTGACTGTATATTGTCCCTTGATGAAGAAGTGTACAGATGTTAACGTACAGGAAGTGACAAGACAGGCCTCCTTGCTGCAAAGGCCTGGAACTGAGTGACTTGGGACGGGTTGCCACCTGCGAGCTCCATGACACCAGAACTTGCCTTGGGTGCAGGGCCGGATTCAGATTGTGTAGGCCCCTGGGCTACAGCCACTGTGAGGCCCACAGTAATATTTTCCAAAGGAAAACAAAGTTGAAGAATAATATAATTTATTTTTACAAGGCTAACAACAAATAAAATTCAGCATTCACAACTGAAACAACTTTTCACTTCATCTCTGGAGGCCCTCTCCAGCTGGTGGAGGCCCCTGGGCTGCAACCCCATACAACCCCGTGCCTTGATCCGGCCCTGCATGGGTGGAAGACTCACGACCAGAAGAGGGGGAACGACAGGTTATAATGCATTGGCTTGGGTGAGTGGGGGGTGTTAGGATTAGTGTGCAACGGACTACAACCGGGACTTTGTAACGTCCCAGGAAGTCTCTGATTTCCCAGGACTGCAGCTGCCTCAACAAGAGGACAGTCCTCGGAAAACCAGAACAGGTGGCAACCCGAGATGGACAACAATGCTGTTTACAAAATGGTGAACAAATTAACTCTGCAGTTTGATCAAACCTTCCTTCCTCGATATATCGAACCATTTTTAATGGTGAGTAATTTTAGGATCATGTTTTTAATGTTTTTTCTGTCGAAGCATTTAGAGTTGTCTTTTAGAGGTTAAAACAAAGAATGGCTTTGTACACAAAATCGTTTGAGGGGAGCTTTGTTTTTGTGAGGTTTCTTGGAAAGACCTCGTGTTGCCGTGGGCCAAATGAAACCCCACTCTACCAGCTGGGTGGAGGTTGAACCGAGCGATGGATACGATGATTGTTGTCACGGGAATTCTCAGTGAATCTCACGGCGGAGGTACGGGAATAAAGAACTAATCACGGAGAGGTCACGGAATAAGCTGTGGTTAGTGCCTTGCCTCATATTTTTTAATCAAAGTATTTATTATAAATCAAATCAAACTGTTTAGATGACTATTTAAAAGTAAAACAAAGACTTAAAGCACGTTTCTAAATTTATTTTGATCAGTCACATTGTGGTGTTGGGTTAGGTGGGGAAAATGACCAAATGTTCCAGCTCTGCAGCCTGACTGAAGGGTTCACTCACCTTGAAAGCTTGCCAATGACCTGACCTCCGGTCGCCGCCAATATTTGGATGACGCTGGTTATACGCAACACTATAGTGATAGATATTAATAGTTATTATCTCGAATAAAAACGATATACTGCAGTGCCATCATGCGTGTGAGGTTGACAAAGGCCGCTTGGCCGCACCCAATAGACATCTCCACCTGCATGGAAATTGTCTACTCGTTGAAGACAGCAGATAACCATATCTCATTCTAATATATTCACGTGTAGTAGTATTTGCAAATTGATTTCAACAATTACCTCAACAAAGGGAAGATACTGCTCTTAGGATATCTGTTGGCCTGAAATAACTTATTAGTCGACTGCTACTTCTGGGCTGTTGCATTGCATGAAACAAAGCTGCTTTTAACGAATCTACATCAACACGTTGTATTTAGTTTCTATTTAATTTGTATTTAACTTATTGCTACCGAACGTAACCAGGTTGATGCATTTTAACAGGTGTGGTGACTGCCAAGCTTGCTGCTCGCTGTATGAAGTGTTCACTGAGGTGATGTACTTTGTGAAGTGTTCACTGAGGTGATGTACTTTGTGAAGTGTTCACTGAGGTGATGTACTTTGTGAAGTGTTCACCTGAGGCGATGTACTTTGTGAAGTGTTCACTGAGGTGATGTACTTTGTGAAGTGTTTACTGAGGTGATGTACTTTGTGAAGTGTTCACTGAGGTGATGTATTTTGTGAAGTGTTCACTGAGGTGATGTACTTTGTGAAGTGTTCACTGAGGTGATGTACTTCGTGAAGTGTTCACTGAGGTGATGTACTTTGTGAAGTGTTCACTGAGGTGATGTACTTTGTGAAGTGTTCACTGAGGTGATGTACTTTGTGAAGTGTTCACTGAGGTGATGTACTTTGTGAAGTGTTCACTGAGGTGATGTACTTCGTGAAGTGTTCACTGAGGTGATGTACTTTGTGAAGTGTTCACTGAGGTGATGTACTTTGTGAAGTGTTCACTGAGGTGATGTACTTTGTGAAGTGTTCACTGAGGTGATGTACTTTGTGAAGTGTTCACTGAGGTGATGTACTTTGTGAAGTGTTCACTGAGGTGATGTACTTTGTGAAGTGTTCACTGAGGTGATGTACTTTGTGAAGTGTTCACCTGAGGCGATGTACTTTGTGAAGTGTTCACTGAGGTGATGTACTTTGTGAAGTGTTACTGAGGTGATGTACTTTGTGAAGTGTTCACTGAGGTGATGTATTTTGTGAAGTGTTCACTGAGGTGATGTACTTTGTGAAGTGTTCACTGAGGTGATGTACTTCGTGAAGTGTTCACTGAGGTGATGTACTTTGTGAAGTGTTCACTGAGGTGATGTACTTTGTGAAGTGTTCACTGAGGTGATGTACTTTGTGAAGTGTTCACTGAGGTGATGTACTTTGTGAAGTGTTCACTGAGGTGATGTACTTCGTGAAGTGTTCACTGAGGTGATGTACTTTGTGAAGTGTTCACTGAGGTGATGTACTTTGTGAAGTGTTCACTGAGGTGATGTACTTTGTGAAGTGTTCACTGAGGTGATGTACTTTGTGAAGTGTTCACTGAGGTGATGTACTTTGTGAAGTGTTCACTGAGGTGATGTACTTTGTGAAGTGTTCACTGAGGTGATGTACTTTGTGAAGTGTTCACTGAGGTGATGTACTTTGTGAAGTGTTCACTGAGGTGATGTACTTTGTGAAGTGTTCACTGAGGTGATGTACTTTGTGAAGTGTTCACTGAGGTGATGTACTTTGTGAAGTGTTCACTGAGGTGATGTACTTTGTGAAGTGTTCACTGAGGTGATGTACTTTGTGAAGTGTTCACTGAGGTGATGTACTTTGTGAAGTGTTCACTGAGGTGATGTACTTTGTGAAGTGTTCACTGAGGTGATGTACTTCGTGAAGTGTTCACTGAGGTGATGTACTTCGTGAAGTGTTCACTGAGGTGATGTACTTTGTGAAGTGTTCACCTGAGGGGGTGTTTAACGCCAGCTGTTGTGAGTTTAATTCTGTAGACGTTCAGTGCTTTTTCATTTATATAAGTGAATGCAAAGTGGTCACCATTTCATTTCACATTTATTGTTTAAACATAATTTTACTCAAGCTCATTTGAAATAGTCACTGTATTGCCTAGAATGTTAAGACTTAATAAACGTAACAACATAATTCCGTGTTTTTGTATTAATGTGGATTGTTGTTATTGACAGGAATATTAAGAATTGCCAGGGATTCTCTGCTCTGATGTTTAGTCACAGAATGTGTACCTTGTTATGGATTCATTGCCAGGTGCCTGCCCTGAGACCATCATTCCACTGAATGTTTTCTCCTACAACATCAGAGTGCAGCGCCACATTAAATACGCACTACAATGACAATAGTTTAAAGCGATTTGAAGCATTTTTTTTTTTGGGGGGGGGGGGGGGAAGAGCTTTGTGACGTCATATTTGAGGGGCGGTCTGACTTTTTGTGACGCTGCGTGACGAAGGGGGGGAGGGAGTAAAAAATCGTCCAAAAATCGCGTGACGTCATTTATGGACGGCCCTTTTTGACACAATGAGATGTCTTTTAACGATTCTCATTGGGAAACTTTCTCAGGTGTTGTGCAGTTGGAGCAAGGTTTTGTGCAATACGTTGAGAGAAACATTTGCGGTTACAATGTAAGTCTCGTCCGTGCACGCCCCGTGAGTTGGCACGAACGATTGTATTCATCAGCATCACTCATGACTCCAAAGTGTTGAATTTGTCTGCCCTGAAAATGTATTTTACTCCGTCACAACACCAGGCTCTCTGGCGACAGTTGTGCTCGTGGCTGTGTGCTGCTAAATGCAGGGTAATGGAGGAGAGGCCACCTTTAATTGTGACAATTTCATTGGGAAGGTTTCACGGACACGGCAGCTGTCAGCAAACGCACACACGCAGAGATAATTCTCTTCGATCCAGATGAGCGCTAAGTCGGTGCCTCGGGATGATCCCAGATTTACAGGGCATTGACGTGAAGCAGCAGCAGCAGCAGATGTTGGCTGCACACGGACCCTTCACATCTCAGCTGGGCACCCGAGGTAAGCGAACGGTCTCTTCTTCTAAGGTCGTTAGAGATTCTGCGAAGATAATACCGGAATCGGTAAAGTCACGTAGGTAAAAAAATCATAAAATAAAAATGAAAATAACTAAATTAAATCACGACGTTTCGGAGGCAACACAAGTCTCCGTCTTCAGGTGGGACCGTCACAGCCAAATTTGGCTGTGACGATATTTTTTTACTTACGTGACTTTACCGAAAAAACCTATGAGTATGAATCATTGCAGTCACGAAAGCTTCAAAACCAAAATGTATGATATTATTAACACGTCTATACGCCATACGTAATGTAAAGCAATCTTAGATGTACTCATTCACAAGGCTGATGTGGCAACATTGCCTCAATGTGCAGGCAAAGTAGAACATGTTGCTGTCTAAAGTTTTCAATTCCTCTTTAGGTGGTTTACATTTTGAGTTCCATATTTACTTTATGATCTCTGTTTTAAGATGTGAAGTTTTGTGTGCAAAGGCAGTGAGTGATGAGGGCAGAGCAGACAGGGATGGTTTATAATAGAGGTGTTTTGCGTTAGATCGCGTAAATATATAAATGTGTCGTTTAAACCCGCCACCACCCGACACAGCCAACTAGTAAGAGTTGTCACGTGAACAGAACGTGGCCAATTCGTCACTAGTACAGCACTAGTGTGTAGTGTAGTAGTGTAGTGTATAGTGTAGTGTATAGTAGTGTTGTGTATAGTAGTGTAGTGTATAGTGTTGTGTATAGTCGTGTAGTGTATAGTGTATAGTAGTGTTATGTATAGTGTAGTGTATAGTGTAGTATATAGTGTATAGTGTAGTGTATAGTGTAGTGTATAGTGTAGTATACTAGTACAGAACCACACCGGTGTGTTGGAGAGCCAAGCCACAACATTTACAATCTGAGTACGACGTTTCGCCAGTAATTACAACCAGCTTCATCAGGCGACAGTCGGAGTTGTGGAGAAGTCTGACTGTTTCGTTCCTTATATCGAGACGTAGACGTGGTGACCACGCTTCTGTGCTCTTGTGCAAAGTGGGGGGGGGGGGGGATTACTGAGGCAACGCACATGATGAATGTGCATTATGCGAGCCCTTTGAACTTGTCCTTCCTGTCGATTGTGTTTATTATTAAAATAGCCGTACCAACGTTAATCCCTATTGAAGTAAGCTGCCCTTTATCGGCATGCATTTAAAAAATGTATTATTTTATTGTTGGCTTCCACGCAGCCCTAAGGCGGTAGCTATCCGAACGGTTAACATTATTTATTTGCTGTTTCCGGGAAGTAGTCTGCTTTACGATATGCTCCTAAACTGTGTTTTAGAGTGACATTCCTATTATCGGTGTTCCTATTATTTCTCACTCCCGTTACTCGTGGCCTGAATCTACGAAACACGTGAATTGATGCCTCCGTGCCGAACAGCCCTTGCCGGCGTTGTGAGCCCTCTGCAAACACACTCAATGATGGTGACGAGACTTACAGACTTTGACTTCACTATAACGAACGATTATTTCAGTCTCAGAAAAATGTCTTGGGTATTAAAGAAACCAGTTGTACACATGAGTATTGAGCAAAGTTTAACCAATTAGGTATGTTTTTACATCAAGGCTAAGTAGTTTGAGAGCAGTTCCAATGGTGCAGTTCCAATAAGCCTAAAGACATCGCAAACATTTGAAGCTTTCGTGACTGCAAGTATTCATATTCTTAGGTTTTTTCGGTAAAGTCGCGTAGGTAAAAAAATTAAATTAAAATTAATAAAAGTAAAATAAAAATCACGACGTTTCGGAGGCAACACAAGCTTCCGTCTTCAGGTGGAACCGTCACAGCGCGCTTGCTGTATCAAGTAGCTATGTGTCGCAAGTTTGGGTGGAGAGGCAGCTTCTTAAATTTTATTGCCATTTATGTTTCAGTTCCCGTGGATGACAGACGGGTCATACCAGAGTGAGTGGGCTAACTTCCCTTCGCTCGCATTACATAACAATAACAGAGCAACTTTAACGTATTTCTCCATGCATGACCGTTTCCTCAGCGGTAGGCGAAGGCATACATCTTGATGACCTTCGTCAGATTCTTTATTTAGACGGCAGGATGAATCCGATGAGCTCTGAAGCTCTTTTCCACAGATGCGCGGCCGTGAGAGTGGAGGCCCCGTGGATGCTTAGCTGCAGTTGAGAGGGCCTCGGCTTCACTGCGCTTGCCGTGGCAACACACATGCAGCAACTAGTGTGCATCACTCTACGACTAATCTGTTTACTTAGCCAGGGAAAACACACGAAGTATGTTTGGCCAACACCAATAGCGCGTTTATAGTTTAGCAGTGGGAGAAGTCTGGAGACCCCAGAGGGAGGCACGGGGGGGGGGACAGGGGGGGGGGGGATGTGCTGAGAGGCGCCCTCGTCAGGAATCAAACCCGAGCGCTTCCGGCTGCGAGGCGCGAGTGTTGCCACTGTGACACCCTGCCGACACATAGCTACTGCAGTCAACAACGATGAACTCTGTTTAGCCGTACTAAGACGACGTTATAACACCAGACACAATATGAATACAGGGGGCTCCAACACAAATGTCAACGCTTCTGAGAATCTGCTGCAGTGCCACGAGACACTGGAGACCACGTGGGGAAGATTCCAGACGCGCGTTGACAACGATGGCGAGCACGTGGAGACTCTTGACTTTTGGAAGCTATGAACATCACATTTGTTATCGTGCTACGGTGTATTATCCGTTCTTTTTCCATTCAAAACGACAGTCCCGTATAAGTGTTAACATTCCGTTTGAAACGCCCTGCATATGCAAACGACAATTGGCTTGAGTTGAGCTTTGAGGTGAGGTTCTTCGCGTTTCGGTGTAGATGCGCCCAGCAGCAGCAGCCACCTCAAGTCCTGCGAGCCGCGAGCCTCTCGCAGAAGTCCGTCGGGGTGGTGCTGTTAGGAAGCTCCCGGCACGTGCGGACGTGCAACTCCTTTCGCACCGCACGGAGCTAACCGCGCTAATCGGAGGCGCGGCACACGAGGGAGTCGGTGGCCAGCGCCATGCCCGACCGCCTTTGTCTCCTCCATGCCGATGTTTTTACACACCTCGACAGGCATTCGTTGGAGGCTGATTCGATCTAGGGGAGGTCCAAGACGGTGAGCAGGAATTGAGCTCGAGTCACGGAGTTCAAAGCGAACACGCCACTGCCGCTCCCTCCCTCCCCTACGTCGAGGTAGAATTGTCGCGCTGAGCCAAAGACGGCTTAGCCACAGATCATTAATTATCGCTTCACGCTCATTCAAAACAAGGGTGACGACCGTGACCACGACGAAGATGGCAATCTTGAAGACGGTTGGAGCGATGATGATGATGATGATTATTATTATGATATTTTTTCTAATGAAGATAGCTGATAGTGATGACAATGATAGCGGTTCTAATGATGATGCTGGTCATGATTGGTGATTAATGATTGCGCTGCTGCTGTAGCTACCTATGATCCATCAACCATAACACACCGGACATTCATTTAAGGCCGAGTTTCCCTAGGAGAGGATCAAAACAGGTGGGACTGATTTTTGTCGTGATGAGAAATCGATGCTAGGTTGCCGCTAAGTGTGGGTTACATCTGGGCTAACTCCCCAAGTCAAGGAATTGATTTGTACGGAGATCTGGTGGCATTGTGTTGGACTTTATTGCAGTAGACTACACATTGTCGATAATAGATTTGGGTTGACTGAGACATCTTTTTGTTCTTCATTTGCAGTGGAAGAGGTTGGTGACTGTGCCACCTGCACCCTAACCACATACTACATCGAGCCGCGAGTTCTGTTTTGTACGGAATCGGCCGCACATGAATAAAAAAAATGTGGAATTGGTCTGATTTTCTGCAAGCATGGCCATCGGCCCACCGAGCAGTGGCACAATGAGGGATACAATAGCTCCACGAATCATCCGGCAACAGGTTGCATGCAGCGAGCCAGCAGCTACTCAGTCGGCTTTACCAGAGCTCAGCCAGGCAGCACGGGAGTCACACGCGACACAATTGAGCTTTTTGTGGAAGTAAAAAAAAAAACCCTCCTAAGTTTATTAATAATTTCAACACATTTAACAATGGTCGAGTACAACTATTTCAGCATTTAGTTTTTTTTGTTTCTCATGTAACTTTGTAAAACAATTCCATCTTCAGAGATGTTGTAACAACCCCTCCACCTCATGTATATCCCATATGGGCCCTGCGCCCGTATCGCCGTTCTTTGCAAGTTCCTGAACAACTCTTTTTGCGAGTTTTCCTACAAACGAAGTGAACGTTGGGCGACGGCGGCCCGTTCCTCCAGCAGCCCTTGGCGCTGCACGTCCGACGCTTCGATCCCGCACCTCGCTCAGTGGCGCCGTCGCCTCGTCGTGGCTGCGATGGACGAAAGGCGAACGTGTTTGTGTGCTCGCTCGCTCGTTCGGCGCCCTTGTACCGAGCTCGCCACGACACGTCGCGTGGTGCTAATTGTGCTTTGGTTAAAATATAGACGAGGTAATAGAAATCGGGTTAAAAGAAAAAAGAAAACGATCAGTTCAAGTTGTATGCCAATGGGCACTGGCCCTAGCTATCTATATTTATTTATAATCACAGACATGATGCATGTACTGTATGTATGTAGAAATTATTTCGCAAACCGTACGTAGCCAACCGTGCTAATCGGAGGGGCGGGGGAAGGAAAACAAACGAATATTTATATAAGATCACCACTCTGACACGTTGCGACAGCATGTTTCCTTTTGCACTTCAACGGCACGGAAACGCCGTTCAAGTTGTATTCCATACCAGCGAGAGGCACTGGAAATGAAACCAGACACTTCTATTTGTAATCGTCGACTGAGCGGCATTGCCAGATAAGCCATTTGTGTTTCAGCTGCCAGTGACAGTTTACCAGCTGGTCGGTTGCAAAATAGAAATTTACCCAATGCACTAAAAAAAGAATGTTGCATTTAATATATATTTTGTATGTATCTCGCAAAGTTCCTATTACACCACTTTCTAAACAAGGCCTACTGCTTCTGTCATATGGCTTATGAATAGCAACCATTAGCCCTTCAGCTGCAAGTGATTTAGCCATTCAGTGGCTTTGTCTCAGAGTTGGTGAATTGCAGATCCACCGCCTTCAATGTTGTATTGCAGGCAACGCGAAGGTATAAAGGCCTCGTGAAGCCGAGGCGGACTTGGTGATGCGAACGCAGCAAGCCTCTTCAGAAAGACACAATCCACTCCAGGGCTGTGACCCACGTGATCCACGTGGATGGTTCCACGCCAACTCGTCCACCGCTCCGTCTCTTCGCGCTGTTCTTTATCCACGAGCGGCCGTTCCCCTCACTGGACGGACACACCGCACCTCACCGCACGTGGCAGAGCGGAGGGGGCATGGTAAGGGGTGCCACCTGTCCGAATGTGACCTAGGCAGACCGGGAATTGGCACGATTTGTGTTCGCGTGGCAGAAACTGATTGATACTGAAACCCGCGAACGGTCTCGTGTTGTGTTGTGTTGTGCTGTGTTGTGCTGTGTTGTGTTGTGTGAGCTGTGTTGTGTGAGCTGTGTTGTGCTGTGTTGTGTTGTGCTGTGTTGTGTTGCGCTGTGTTGTGGTGAGCTGTGTTGCAGCGGAGCACACAGTTTTCATGATCGGCCTCGGCTGACCGAGGAATGTGTCTGGCTGTTGGTCTGTGGAAGGTGGCAACACGAAGAGATCGTGTTCCTTGCTTATCGCTTGGAAAGTCGATGCAAAAATTTATTCTGTAAAACCTTGTGTCCTCATGTATCAGCTCAAATCTAATACTAGTAGACATAAGTTATATTCACGTAAACAGATAATTCATCTCGGTCATCTCTATTTTGTCAGCAGCTTTCTTCTGTTATCTCACGTCATTTGATTTTTGTCTCAATTACATCCGCCGATCTCTTGTCTAGATATTTTCCTGTCATCTCACTGGGATGTATTACGTTGAAATATAATTTCAGCCTAAATTTCATTCCGATTTAAAGTCTCTAGGCCAATGCAGAAAATGGTACCACCTCCAACAGCACAACTTTTGCGATACCCCTGTGAATTATCCGGCGAATTTGAGCAAAAGTTTGTACATTACCACTCCACGTGGCTATCACCGGTGTAGACCACGTGGAGCTATTGGCACCATTGCAGCGTGTCGTTCGTTGTCCTTCACCAGCACCTCCGATGAGCACGTTTGGCTACGTAGGGTGCGACAGAGGTTCAACATACCTCTGCTGGTACCGACAAGTGAGATATCTGGTCTGGGCCTATGAGCTCAAGAATGTGCGTATGATGCCCCAGCAGCAGCAGCAGCAACTCTTGACTATATTATTCATATAACAACCCAGGGTGATGCCCGTCTCGACTGCCGCCACGCTGCGAGCCAAATCTCCGAGAGCTGCATGTCGGAGCTGTTCCTGACCTGCACGCTCATCCTCAACAACCGCGACTGGGACGAGTTGGACACCGAGCACCAGCTGGGCCTGCGTCTGCGCAACAAGCTGCTGCTGCTCTACTTCGGCTCGGGCAGCTGCGACGACTGCCGCGCCTTCACGCGCCTGCTGCGCAGGTTCTGGACGCGGCTCACGGACCCGGCGCACGTGGAGCGCGCCGCGCCGCTCGCGCTCGTCTACGTCTCGCACGACCCCAGCGCCGACTGCCAGCGCGCCTACATGCGGCACAGCATGCCCAGCGAGTGGCTCAGCCTGCACCACGGAGACCCGCTCGCCTCGTGAGCCCGCCTCGGACTCTCTCGCGGAGATCGCCGGCGGCGGGAACGCCGATTGAACCGCGCGCTCGAATGCTCCGGCGACTCCTGTAATCCGCGGAGTTTTAAACCGGCGGAGCGCCGCGTTGCCCGAGATATTTTGTAATGATCACGATAACGGTGGGGTGCAAGGCCACCCCTACGCTCATCACACCGCTGCTGGTGCCCCCCCCCCCTTTCCCCGTTGACGGAGCGCCGTGTCGCCCTCTCAGGGAGCTCGCGCGCCGCTTCGAGGTGCGGGCGCTGCCGTCCGTGGTGGTGCTGCAGCCCAGCGGCGAGGAGGTGACTCGCACTGGCGCGGAGGAGATCCGGCGTCTGGGCGAAGCCGCCTTCGCGAGCTGGCGCGAGGCCGCCGAGGTGCTGGACCGCGGCTTCCTCCTCGCCGAGGACTTCGAGGAGGTGGAGACGCCGTTCCGCAGCCTGTCCCACCACGTGCGCCGCCTCTTCTACAAGACTGAGAAGGAGAAGCAGGGGTCCGACGACTTCCACGTGTAGCAACCCGAACCACCACAGCCCTCGCTGTGGTGGTTCGGGTTGCCCGTCACGTGCCTAATCCGGCCTACCAGTGACCCGGCACACCACATCCAGTAAACATCTTGATGTGACTGTGGCTGCTCGTCACGTGCTGTCCACTATAGTCTACCAGCGACCCAGAAATTATGAACAAGGAAGTCGTGAAAATAACAATAGGAAATCATTGTTTTAAGGTCAGTCTTAGTTACAGAACGTGACGTCTATTCATTAGTGCCCTGAGCTGAATTCGTGATCCGGCTTCTCAAACTGCCTCACCCTTTGGGGAACTGGGACAGAAGTGAGTCAGATTAATTCAGCCGGAGAAATCCCTCACTTCATTTAATAATTATAACAACAATAGTAATAATCTTCAGCCCTTGTCAATCCCCTGCTAGATGCAGGCCTCCCCATGCCTTTAGGTCACAGAGGCTGCCTGACCAACCGTGCACGAGTGGGCTGGGGACAAACAGGGTTGTCCAGAGCCCGTTCAGATATCGCTCGCCACTCGTGTTAGAATCAAACTCAGGCAGCCAGGTTCAAAGCGCAGTGCTCCGAACAATGTGTCACTGCTCTCGCAAGAGTTCATTTATTTAATCAGATATTGTCACCGCAAACTGAGCGTGATTATGTTCGCTGATATTTTTACCGTATTGTGTTTTGATAGCTTCACCGAAAACACGTGCTGAAAAGATGTTGCTTGTTCTCTCTGGTTCTTTCGGTGAAGTCACGTAGATAGAAACGGTGATGACGGACGCTTGTGTTGCGACCGAAACGTCGTGTTCTACTATTATTATTATTTTTTCTACCTACGTGACTTTACCGAAATAATCAAAGGGTATGGATTCCTGCAGTCACGAAAGCTTCAAATCAAGACGTAGCGGTATTAATCGACAGGACGCTGAAGTGCAGCCTTCACGTCCATGGCACAGACGAACACCGCTGTTCTTGATCCCAGTTACAGGCAGCTGTGCAGCAGTCCTGAGACTACAAGCTGCCCTGTCTGGTCTGCAACAAAAACAAAGACAAAGATCCCCCGTATAGCCTCAACAGACTGTTGGGGCAAGTGCTGTTAGCGAACACCTTTTAGAGCCAGCACGGCACACAAGGGGGTAGGTGACCAGCACCACGCCCGGCCGCCTTTGTCTCCCCAGTGGCGATATTTACACACAGTACCAGGGTCTCATTTGAGGCTGAGTCGACCTAGGGGAGGCCCAGGACCGGATCAGATAATGGTCACTGGTGTTAGCCGTGAGCGGAAATTGAACTCGGGTCGCTGGGTTCGTAGCGCAGCGCGCAAATCGTTGCACCAATGCTCCACACGCACACACCGCTTCACACACACACACCGCTCCACACGCACACCGCTCCACACACGCACACACTGCTCCACACGCACACCGCTCCACACGCACACACACACCGCTCCACACGCACACACATACACACCGCTTCACACACACACACCGCTCCACACGCACACCGCTACACACACACACACCGCTCCACACGCACACACACCGCTCCACACGCACACACCGCTCCACACACACACACACTGCTCCACACGCACACCGCTCCACACGCACACACACACCGCTCCACACGCACACACATACACACCGCTTCACACACACACACACACCGCTCCACACGCACACCGCTACACACACACACACACCGCTCCACACGCACACACACCGCTCCACACGCACACACGCACACACCGCTCCACACACACACACTGCTCCACACGCACACCGCTCCACACGCACACACCGCTCCACACGCACACACGCACACACCGCTCCACATGCAAACCGCTCCACACGCACACACGCACACACCGCTCCACACACACACCGCTCCACACGCACACACCGCTCCACACGCACACACGCACACCGCTCCATACACACGCCCCGAGGGGGAAGCGCCACCGCCACCCTCCAGCAGCAGTCGCCTTGCCCGCCTCGTGCCACCGAGCTCGGCGCGGTTCCGACGGGGTGCAGCCCCCCCCCCCCGGCTCATGCCCCCCCCCCCCCGGCGCATGAGTAAGGTGAATGTTTTGCCTTATCGTTGGTTGGGACCAGTTTCCTGCTACCGTCACGATGAAGTTGTTTGAGATTGGAGACTGAAACACAGCCCATTTGTCCTTTTCACGTCCGATTTCTTGTCACTCGTTTTCTGTGCGAACTGAAAAATGATGTTCCTCTCTCGGGCATTGTCCCACCACACACACGTGGTGGGACAATGCCACCACGAGTGTGTGGTGGGACAATGCCACCACGTGTGTGCCCCCGTGCTGCGCCAGCATCTCCACATCCACTGCACAGCCCTTCACATCTCCTGGCCCGCCACGTGGTACCGCATCCTTCTTAGATTCGCTGTCCACTTGTACCCTAGGGGGTCCCTTCTTCCGCTGTTCTTACGACGTGTCTGGTATAATTAGTGATTGTACTTTGTTATGTGTATGTTGCGCAGAGCCTCAAAGTTGTAATTGATGATGTATCACTATTTGTTGTTGCCTCTTGTAAATTGTCATTGCTCATCTTCTAGTTTTATACATTTTGAACGATGCAAGATTGTAAGCCAGTTTCATGGAATGAGAATAAACTGTTGATGCTGAAATTAAATAATAAAATTATACTGCATTAGTTAAATCATATTATTTAGACCTAACATTTTAAATCACTCACGTCTTTACTTAAAACATATATATTTCAATTTTAATATTGCTATCACGTGCCCGTGTGCGGTCTCAGTAGAAGGGACTAGAACTTCCTTGGCAAAATAAAGGTGTTGCCCTGAAATTGCTTGTTTGTGTCATCAATTGACCCAACAAAAACATTCATAATGTTTTAATATATATGTGTAAGAGACATATGTAGCATTGAATTCTGAATGGTGTGCAATATTGTATTTCCAGATTTAGCATTTACATGGCAGATGCATCACATTATCAATAATGCTGTCGCCATTCCACGACCGCAGATCAGAAGAGCGGTGAGATGTTATTCGGTTTTATGTCCATGGAGGGAGTAAAGTCAAGGGACGTTAACTGAAGAATCAAGCTATAACGTGTGTGAACATTTACGAATCGGAGAAATGGCTGAATTAGGGAAAGCATTCAAGGGCTTCGAGTCGGCATGTGGTTGATCAGACCAAACAATCTTCTGCGTCACGATTTTCCCTGAACATTTCCGGCTCCCAACAGGCACACGCTGTGTCGAAAGTTCAAATGGCCATCGATAATTATTCAATGCGCGGTTTCAACGCGCTTACCTCTGACGACCGGTACACGCCGCGGTCCCACTCGGCGTGAACCTGTAGACCCAGGCCACGCTGACGCAGTTGGCAGCCTTGACGCCCCTTGGTGACCTTTAGCCTCAATGCGGAGGGGCCTCGCGCTGCCCTGCGAGACCTCCAATTGACGTCTTGGGCTCGTGACGTCGGCGAGCATCGTGGGTGTAATGATTGAAGAAAAGAGACGAAACAATCGATACAGAATAAGTACCAGGGTCATGCCCCCATTCACTACTCAACTAGCACCGTTTTAAGAATCGCGAGTGTCTTGAATCGCTGTGCTGAAACACACTTTGAGTTTGGTTGATGGCTGACATAACCAAGGGCTTGGTGAATATTTGAGTGCCACTTTATTTGTACTTATCGACGGTGAATAATTTAATGCGAAATCAGAAACTTGGCTTTAGCTTGAGAAATTATGACCACGCCAGGCCGTTTGTTTACGTAGCTATAAAATCATAGCCACTTCCATAAACATTCGCTGATAATTCACAGCTCTCTGTGACCTACATCGCCGTTCTATCCGCGTGCCACCCAACTTAAATTCTTGGCACTCAACATCATTGACTGTCCTCAGCCAATGGTGCAAATTCCATATTTATATGGTGGGAACCAATGTATTCATTGGAGGGCCACTGTTGACTCTCTACAGCCTGCAGTCACCACCGTTATCATTCTATAAACCTGTTCACGGGACGAAAGGAAAAACATAGGTAACGGTATTAAAGGATCTTTATGCACGGGCGTAGCTTGTGCTCTAGTGGTAGTGCCTTATGCCGATAATAATCCAGACTTGAATCCGGCCAAGCAGCAGCGTTCTGGAAAATATCGAGAGAGAATTAAAGCCTCGGTCTGGTTCACTCCCAGGAAGTGATTCGTGCCTCTAAATTCGCGTAGCAAATGCCGTCACGGGCCGCGTGAGTGGTGCGCTCGGCTGCACCGGTGACTTCTCAACTCGAGTCGTGTTCACCCATTCATCGTCTGTCGATGAAGTGGGAGCATTTAATTAGTTTCCCCATCGGATTAAAATGCGAGCAAGCAGGGCAATGTGCAATGCAGGAAATTAAGAGCAGCGTTGAGTCATGCACCGGATACAACCGCACAAGTCCAGCGTGGCGTATATACTTCGTCTTTTTTATTGTGGGAAGCGGTGCTGAGGGCACACTTTGATTCCACATTGCTCCAGGCACACCAGTGGTCAACTTGGTATCACGAATGTACCAGATAGACGCAAGCCACACAGAAAGGGAAGGCATGTATGCATGTGCATGCTTCCTGCAACACTTCCCGGAATACGTTTCTCCTCGGGAGCATGTTGTCGATCATAGATGCAGGTTAAAGGCATCATTCTAACGTTTAAGCAGAGTCGGCTAGCTTTAGCAGGACACGTTATTAGAAGGGGTGACGGCTGATGGTCAAGAATAATGACAACATATCAGCCGAGGAATGGAATATCTGAGAGGACGTTCACAGAGGAGATGGAGCGATGGAATTAGCTCGTGGGTTTGCCGCAGCTTGATGATGAATAACGTTAACGTTCAAATGTTGCGTTAATGCCATTTATAAAAGGTGACAAAGGCACAGCCCTGCAATTGCTTGCTCACTGCACTGCTGGCGGAAGGGCCTCCACTACAGCGGGCTCCCGAGAGCTTCTCTCCGGGGGTTAACCTCCACTCTTGCATGTCGCCACGGCTTCTTGGAGGTGTGGATACCCACACTTTGCCCCGCCAAGCATGACCTGCCGATGGACTGCGGTACATCGATTCATACCGTTGGGTGGACGGAGTCAGGGGGGGGGGATGTATTCAACTTGCGCCATTGTTTCAAATGGCGTTTAAAATCAAGTTAGAATTAGCAGCCCACAAGCCGCTATATACGTGGATAGTGTGCTCTACAATATGCACTGTGCATTGTCATCGATAGCTATTTTACGTAAGCATACATTTAGAGGAATGTCATCGCTATTTGAAAGTGGGACCTTCGCAAGCTAACGGTTGTGGCTAAAAAACGATGAAACAGTTTTTTTTTATTTCACCAGGTTAAGGCCCACTGAGCTGTGGAGCTCTTTTTCAGAAGCGACCTGGCCACAAATGACAGCCCATCGAAGTGTCTTATCACGTGGACATTTATATCAGCAATCAAATACTCTAAACGCATGTTTCTAAATGTGGAGGGGAAAACCGGAGGCACCGGAGAAAAATCAAAACGACCACGGCGAGAACACGCAAGGTCGTGGGTTCGATACGGTATCGAACCCACGACCTCCTGTACACCAGGCGAGGTAGTTAACATCTCGTCACCGTGGCTGAAGCAGCCGAAGTGGCCCAGAGGACAGCAAGTTTGATACCGGTACTTGGTCTAGTGGATCGCACCCACGAGGGCTAGGGAAACGCCTTTCAGAAGGGGTTGCAGCCTGCTGCAGCCTGCTGCAGCCTGCTGCAGCCTGCTGCAGCCTGCTGCAGCCTGCTGCAGCCTGCTGCAGCCTGCTGCAGCCTGCTGCAGCCTGCTGCAGCCTGCTGCAGCCTGCTGCAGCCTGCTGCAGCCTGCTGCAGCCTGCTGCAGCATGGATACCGTGCAGGAGGTATCTTGAATGTGCACGGGGAACGTCAGCGTAACGCCTAACCCAACCACACTCACACTCACACAGCATCACGTGAAGTCTTTTCCTCATACTACAATGCAATAAGTGAAGTTGTTTCGTTTCAGAATGACAATGCCTTGCAGAATACAGTAACAACATTTTTTATTAACCACAAGTTTATTGAAGAAAAGAGCTTCCTAAAAATGTAATATCGTACCGTTTTAAACTACAGCGAGGATTTTTGTTTAAAATAAAGATGCTTACGTTTTAAGAAAAGCAGAGCTTGTTTTTGTTTACTATCACAAAAAGATTAACTGTATTAGTAACACATATTACACACATATTACAATAATAGTAACAAAAATATATTTTTAAAAAATGTAACACAATGTAAAATTGTATAAACTGTATTAATTCTAGATTTGAAGCTTTCGTGACTGCAAGGATTCATATTCTTAGTTTTTTTCGGTAAAGTCACGTATCTTGATACAGCAATCGTGCTGTGACTGTTCCACTTGAAGACGGAGGCTTGTGTTGCTTCCGAAACGTCGTGATTTTTATTTTATTTTTATTTTACTTTTATTCATTTAAATTTTTTTACCTACGTGACTTTACCGAAAAAAAAACCTAAGAATTTGTATAAACTGTGTAAAGAGCGTAGCCCTGAAATTTCTGGCTCACACCACTGCTGGCAGAAGGGCCTCTACTACAGCGAGCTCTGGTGAGCCCCCTCTAGAGGGTGTTTTTGGCCTACTCTTCCATGTGGGAATCACCAACACTTTGCCCCACCACACATGACGGCGGTTGAAAGGGCGGAGTGGAGTTTTTTTTTCTTTTTAAATCCCCGAACCTACGTGGGTTCGGGGATTTTAAAAATCTAATTTAAACCCCCCACCAGCCGTTTCAACCACCGCGCCAGGAGGCTGAACCGAGCTGGTGCCCTGCGAGTCGCAGTGCATTATTTCCACGATACCCGCGTAACCGTGGTATTACATTTATATACGTGATTATAGCTTTGGGTACATAAGGCATCGTTAAATCAGCATTTGCTAACTTACTAATACATGGAGCTTGACTTGTCTGTAAGTCAAATGGCTTCAACGCAAATATTCGTGTGGCAACAAAACAAGATACAGTCGTGCAAAATTGACTAATTTCCAATGAAATACACAGGTTTTGACCTCTCTGTAATGCCACTGAGTAGGTTGTCGCTGTTGTGCTGATGGCTCTCTGTTTCCTGTTGGTCGCGGCACGTGGAACAAAACGACGACCAGGACACACGCGACGAGAGTCCTGTGATACACGTGATACATCCCGGCTCAACGACTGTAGAAACATCGTTAAGCCTTATTTCATTTAATACACAAATATAAGAAAAAAAACTTCAAGAAAAGCAGAATTCTAAAACTAATTATAAACTTTCGGTTAAACAAATTTGCATCAAATGTATGACGAACATTTATTCCCAATAATGTATTTGCATCACGGTTGCTAAGCAAAGGCTGAAAGGCGCAACATGCCAAGTGGCCAGCAACAAGCAGCACGATTGTGGAAGGTTAAAGAGACGAGCGTGGCACGCGCTGATTTACTCGAGAAAGGTCATCGCAGGAACTTGCCAAAAGAGGCGACGGGATGGAATTCCCAAATGGAGCAGTGCGATGAAAGAAGCCGAGAGAGGAGAGTTTCGACCTGCAGTGTGGCGGTTTGTTATAGTATAGATTCCACCAATTTGAATAAAATTAGCAATCAAAATGTATTTGTGTGATCCTGTATGCATGCATTAATGGTAATGCTGAATAGCTTGGCTCTTGCTCGGGAGGTTTATTTTTCCTTCATTATCACGAGTGAGGCCCCTATTGACAGGCCGCAACTGGGAATAGTTATAATTCGTGTTTGTTAATGAATATAAACTATATTACACATCACATATTACTGGACGCGTTAGTGAAGGCAACAGTGAGCCAACATTTAAGAATACACAATTGACAGTCCCGTGTACAACTGCCTTGCGCAAGGTTTCTTGCCGGGGTTTTTTCCATGGTATTTATCGATATCTCAGTACACACGCTCCCACTGGGTGTTGCAGGCTGGTGTTGACATTCGTGTCAGAGGTTTCACAGTCACAGGATCGTGTCCTGTTCCAGGCTCAGCGCTCGAGTGGGCGGCGTGCCATCGTAAGGCGATGAATTCACTCCCAGGCTGGGGTTGACTCAGCCCATCATCCCTCTAGGGTTGATAAAAGAATACTACTTTGTGGGGAGGTCAACAGTTGTTGTCCTATGGATAGACATGCCTCCTTCTTAAGAATGTGGAATTGCCACCATCAGCTCCGGCCTGTAAACAGCAGGTGAGCACAGCTTTGATGCTCTGAGCAGGAAATCCCTTTGCCTTTAGACTGTATGTGGACGAAGCGTTTACATTTTTACGTTGGTAAGATATTGACAAGAGGATAGAGAAGAATAATGATGAACAGGGAAGTGTCACAAATACTCCAAGTAGGCCGGACGTGGAGTCGGATGGAGGAAGGTGGCGTGCACTGCGGACTGCCACGCCACCTCCTCCTCCTCCTCGGCAAGGTCAAAGATAGAAGGGCGCGAGGAAGACAAAGAGGGACGCGGTGGCGGGGGGTTGGATGGGGTTGAGGAGCGGATGCAGCTGAGCACGACCTCCGATAGATCGAATGTTCCTGCATCCGACTTGCAGTACCAGTGAAGGTGCCGGGCTTGCACAGGGGAGAGGCTGGGTGGTGTGGAGTGTGTACTCTTAAGTAGTACACATAGTAAGGGTTGTTGTTTAGGGTGTAAAGATACGTGAATTTGTCGATTACATTTGAGTCTCAGGCTCACGATGCCTGCATTGAATGGTATGACAACTGATTATATAATTAGTTCTTGGATTATCACCGTGACCTGGAATCGTAAGAATGTATTGCATTGCGAGGGAGGGGGGCAGGGGATATCATTACAGATTGCAGGCCGAATTGTTTTGTTTGATTACCGATTGCTGGTGCCTCCTTTTAAAGAGTGTTCATGGCCTTACTCCGAATGGCATTTGACGAACTTAAAAGTGCTGCTTGCACTGTACATGAAAGTGGAAACAACGTGCGGTCATCTGATGTCACCAATGTGGTGATCTGGAGTTGCAACGTTTCGTTTACACAAATGATAAATGCTGCTGATTTACAGTAACGGTAATGATACTTCATGAACTTCCGTATTGAACACAGCGAGACAAATCAAGTTCAAACCGGGAGTGAAGAAGTCCTCTGAACTGAAATAATAGTTGTAAAGAGATTTCCGTGCCACACTGTCAAATATAATCATTGTTCCTCGGTAGAGGTGGGACGATATCCAGGGTTATTGTTCAAGATTCAATTCTACTTGAATATTCCCGTGAATGGGAATTCCTCTCGTGTCTGCACGGGTGATCTTAACTCATCACATTTGACACGTGTACAGCCATTTGTCAATCAACTGCTGGGTCTGGGCCTCCCCTTGCCATGCGAGCCTTGGGGGGTATTGACCATACTTCACCACACTGGTCAGTGTGGGTTTGTGAAAGGAAAAGGGTCCATGATTTGTTCCGATGTCACTTGCCACTGTTGTTAGCCGTGGCCGGGATTCAATCTTGGGATGCGGGGTTCTTAGCGCAGTGCAGTAACTCCCGTGGTGTCAATTTGGAGCGTGTATTGTGGCGTTATGAATCTATAGTCAACGGCGGTCAAACAGTTAGTGAGCGATGCGGTGGCAAGATGGTGAGCGCACTGCCGCCGTGAACGAGGTTTGATCGCTGGCCACGGCAAGTCTCGGTGGCGAGTGACATCCCTGCTGGTTCTGAGACCCCCCTTCACTAACCGACCATCGTGGTGAAGTCTGGTCAAGCAACACTTATGCCTGGCAAGGCACAGGGAGGCCTTCAGCCACCAGTGGCTTGCCAAAGGGCTATTAATGATGTTGGTTCGTTTACATTTGTGCACGGTTTGTACGAACAAACTGACACTCGTGGCGCAGACAGCGCGTCCATTCCGCACTGGCGGATCGGCGAAGGGAGAGGAGGGATCGTGGCTGGGTGGGAAGAAGTCCACTGGAGGTCAACAACAATCCGCTGGCCTGGGGAAGGGTGCTAGGACGGATTTGTCAAGATACACAGGGCGGCTCTCTATTTTAAAGCTTCTATCGTGCAGGAACATGATGACTTGTACTTTTGCATGTTTTATAAATTAATTTACGAGCTGCTGGGGCTGTCGGGGCTTCTGTGGGCTGCTGGGTCTGCAATAAAGCAAATCATTTGTTCGTGTAAAAATGTGTGAGACAAAACACCGCAGGACATTGAATCTTGTAATGTGTAACATATTAAAATAAAAAAGATTGGAAGGCATTAAGTTAAAACGAGAGAGCTAGTATGTGTCACAGTTTAAGTCTTAATTTCACAAATATCAACTTAAGACAATTATAGCAATGGGAAGACAAGTTAGAAAAGTATAAAACCCCAAATATGAACACAGTACACATTTACTGTCAATTCTATCGGAATAAAAACGTCACCGGTGATATATAGCTCATTATCTATAGTACCACGGGTCCCTGGATTCTTACAGTCAGAATTAACTCAAGTCTGTACAGCACTATATCAGCCTGCTTAAAATGTTGTTTAATTGTGTTTCTTTCATGTATTCTGCAAATGCAATGTGTGCAGTAATGCAATCGTGTGCTGCGTGGAATTTCAAGCCTATTGGCTGAATTTCACTCAGATAAATGTTATTTGCATAATCTGAACAGCAAGTACTTCGGGAAATAGATTTACTTTTAAACGAATAAGCACAGCACACATATTCCATAAGTGCCGTCTCGGGGCCAAGTAGCTGTCATACGTGTCTGGGTGTCTCTGAGCAACTTTTAAAGGAGAATCATCTATTTGGATCAAACTGGATGTGAAGCACACGCCCGCTAATTCACGGTGAGTGAACACAAATTAATTTTACCTTTTGCAGTTGGTGCAAGGGTTTCATAAGCACCTGCGGACAACACGTGGATAAAACAAAGCATACGGATTAGAAGCAATCCACATGAACATCATGAACACAGCGTACAGTGCTTATGAAGAGTGAGCACCCAGCAGCACAATAGTGCAGCGTAGTCCATGTGAGAGTGCTCCACTGACGCTCACAGGCCTTGACTTAGCCACTCGGCCCATCATCCCTCCTGGGTTGATAAATGAGTGCCACTTTGTGTGAATCTATGTATGTATGCTGAACTTCTTTCGCACTATACGTAGCCAAGCGTGCTAATCGGAGGTGCAGTCATCATTTGTACTAATTAGTCCCTGCGATGAGAATTAGGAATTTTCACGGTTGGAGATGGGTACGACTAGTGTTGTTGAGATGAGTACACGAATGAGCATGGAGGCACTTTGATTGCAGATACTGTAATGTGTACATGTAAAGAACATCTCCGTTTAACAAGGGCCCACTGGTGGAGCATGTTCTGTGAGGACAGAGGTGCGACTCCAATTTCCACCCAGACAGGTTTACCTTCATTGACCACATGTTGCTTCAAAGATTCGTAGGGTGTGTCATGGCCATGCTCAGATCCTGGTCGAAGCAAAGCAAAAACATTAAGATAAAACTAGAGAAACTCATATAAACGTCACAGTTGAAATCTTAATTTTCCAAAACGAATTGCAACTGTCAACCAACAAACTTGAGTAACGGGAATAGAGTCGAGATATGTATTTCTTAAACCTCTAAAAGAATAGCAGAGAATATATTTGATCACTGTTTACCTAGCTCAAAGGTGACAGGTGATATGTAGCTCATAATCTACCGTACCGCAGGTTCCTGGATCCTTGCAGTCAGAATGAACTCTCACTCAAGGCTGTACAGAACTATGTGAGCCTCCCTGAGACATGTACAAATGTTGCTTCTTATAATGTAGGTTTTAAAAGCCATGTATGCAGCAATGCAGAGAAATGCTTTGCAGCATGCAAAGTCGTTAGTGGGCTTAATGTGACTTAGTGGAAAGTCATTTGTATCGTTTAAACCACAACTTCCTAAGGAAATATACTTTTTTTGAAAAGAATAAACACAGCACGCATAATCAGTCAGTATCGTGCACTTGGGGCTGATAAGCTCTTACACGTCTGGATATCTTTGATCAACTTAAAAAGGAGGGTTTGTTTCCTGATTTATCGACAGAAAGTTTACAGAAATGAGTTACCCTGTTCAGCGCCCTGAGTGGTATCACGTTCACCTGCAAAGTAAAAGCATGTGGATTTGAAGCAATTCATGTTGGAAACATTCATATCCTGTCTCAGAGGCAGGATAAACAGCACACAACCACATGATATGCTGCTGTGTAAGATCATTTATCAGTGGGCCCTATTGTTCGATTGATCGACATACGAACAGTCATTGACTTACAAACACAATTAGTTCCTGAGACCTGTTCGTAATAGGGCTGAACGATTAATCGATTGCAAATCGAAATCGCAATTTGAAACAATGCGATTAGCAAATCGCAAAGACTGCGATCTTTAGCGATTTAAAAAGTCCTATTTCTTTCTCATTATATATTTATTATAACTTTATTTAACTTAACAATTGTTCTGTTTGAGTGTTCTATTTTGATATATTTTTTTAAAGAAATACATGTGGGAAGCAATTCATATATTTTAGTTGTCATCCTTGCATTAGAATATACAGAGCAGTTCATATTTTGATGGTATCATGCGGTAATGCTCCATCACATGTTTTAAATATATTACACAGTGAATATTGAACTGAAGCTTGACTTAAATTTTTTATCGCAAATCCAATCGCAATATGTCAGAAAAATCGCAATTAGACATTTTCCCCAAATCGCTCAACCCTAGTTCGTAAGTCGTACAGTTCGTAAGTCGGAACAGCAATCTAGTATATTTAAAAGCCCACAAACACATAAACACTCACTCCCAGCACGAAGCTGACTCATTGCATATCGCGGAGGATTGCTCAGCTGAACAAAATAGTGCCGCAGTTTTATTTGCAAGTGAGAGTTCTTGTTTAAAGTCAATGTAACAAAAATTGCGACAAATCTTTCATGGAAGCTGGTTTATAAGTGCGGATGTTCGCTATGCGGTTGTTCGTACATTGAGGCCTCTCTGAACACTCATAGGCTGTCACTGAACCACTTAGCCCAGGGGTCGGCAACCTACGGCTCCGGAGCCGCATGCGGCTCTTTACGGGCTGCTTCTTGACGATATGTACGTATGTACAGTATGTACTCAGATGCATTGCGGCTCTTGAAATACTGAATTTTGTACCGAATTGGAAAGAAATGGCTCTTCTTGTTATTTTGGTTGCCGACGCCTGACTTAGACCATCAGCCTATAATCTCTTTGGGGTTGATAAAATAGGTACCACTTTGTTGGAGCAGGGCGAGCAGCTCAGGGAGTGGCTGTGTTGGCAGCGCGTCTGCCCACGTGTGTGTCCCACGATGCGCGTGCCACGCTCCGCCTGCTATCGAGGTCTGGCCCCTCAGATCTGACCCAAGTCAGCGCGAGGCTGCTGCGGTCCGGGTGGGTTCAACACGCGTCTATTGATTGCGTCGATCCGCGCCAAACTTGACATGCTGGCCTAGCAGCCAGGGTGGGGGCTAATGACGCGTTCATTGCGTGTGACGTCGGCGGCATGGCTCGGATCCTGTGGTGGAGCACGGCCCGAACAACCGCCTCACATCCAGGGGGGGGGGGGCCTTTATCCACTCGTGCACTCAGAATTGTTTTGAAATTCACCCAGATACAGAGCCCCGTGCTTCTCACCGTGCACGTCGATCATTTCGTAGTGGGATTCCTCCGTTCCTGTTCAGCAGGGGGCGGGGGAGGGCAATGGAGATGAACGTTCATCTCGCAACGCACTACACCAACATTCACCTTGCAACCCCAAAAACATGTATTATGGATATAACTACTTTGTTCCATTAAACCGATGTATTCATTAGCATTACACAATGTATTTACTTTAGCGATTGAGAACCAAAGGGGTTGCGAGGCCGCAGTAACTTGGCTCAAGGTCAACGCCGCGCAGAGGCGCCCCAACGCCCCCGTCCGTCAGTGCTGACGGGAGCCCCGCGGGGAGGTTCCACGCGGCTCCACGTGGCTCCTCGTGGCTCCACGTGGCCCCACGCGGCTCCACGTGTCTCCACTCCTGCGGCACCAAACCCCTTCCCAGCCCCGACTCTAAATGCGATGTCTGTACCCAGTCAGCACGGCAGCAACACCCTGAGCTTGCTTCGTGGTTTAGGAACCGTTGATACGAATCATGTTTGAGGTTGCATCGTAAAATCGAGCATAATCTCAATAAAGACACGAGCGATAAGCACCTGCTTTATTCGGGTCGTGCCCTCTCAGATGTGTGTAGGTATTTTCCTCTGTTCCCTTGCGAGCGACTGCAACAAACACAGCCGTTAACAACAACAAAATACAGAAACAACAAAAATGAACATCTTAGAACCTCTATGGATATAGCGGTAGGAGCTCGTCACGAGGGGTCTTGTTTGTGTGTGTGTGTGGTGTGTGTGTTGTGTGTGTGTTGTGTGTGGTGTGTGTGTAGTGTGTGTGTGTGCAGTGTGTGTGGTGTGTGTTGTGTGTGGTGTGTGTGGTGTGTGTGTTGTGTGTGTTGTGTGTGGTGTGTGTGTAGTGTGTGTAGTGTGTGTGTGGTGTGTAGTGTGTGTGTTGTGTGTGGTGTGTGTGTAGTGTATGGTGTGTGTGTAGTGTGTGTAGTGTGTGTGTGTGTGTGTAGTGTGTGTGGTGTGTGTGGTGTGTGTGTTGTGTGTGTGTGTAGTGTGTGTGGTGTGTGTGTAGTGTGTGTAGTGTGTGTGTAGTGTGTGTGGTGTGTGTGGTGTGGTATGTAGTGTGGTGTGTGTGTGGTGTGTGTGTGTAGTGTGTGTGTAGTGTGTGTAGTGTAGTGTGTGTGTGGTGTGTGGTGTGTGTGTGTAGTGTGTGTGTAGTGTGTGTAGTGTAGTGTGTAGTGTGTGTGTGGTGTGTGTGTGGTGTGTGTGTGTAGTGTGTGTGTGTAGTGTGTGTAGTGTAGTGTGTAGTGTGTGTGTGGTGTGTGTGTGTAGTGTGTGTGTAGTGTGTGTAGTGTAGTGTGTAGTGTGTGTGTAGTGTGTGTGGTGAAAGGTGCCAAGGGCAACAGAACCACCGCGGCCTCCTCCCAGGCCGCCGGCGTGGCGAGTCCAAGCGGGGAAAGTTCGGGAATTCGGGACTGCGCCCGAAACTCCTGGGGACGTTGCTCCGCGTCGTCCCCTTCTCCGAGTCGCTCCCCCCTCTGCGAGTGCCTGCTCTCACCGCCCCTCTTGCGAGTTGCCGGCTCGTGAGGAGGAGCCGCTTGTACCGACTGCCACGGCTGCAGGCGATGCTCTCCCCCCTCACGCCCGCGGGGGGGGGGGGGAGATGAGGGCGAGGTACCGTTACCTTTGTGACGTTTGCGTACGCAGCAGCAGATGATGATGATGGACGTGACAACCACGAAAAGCGCAGCGGCGGCGGCGGCGCCCAAGATTAGTGGGAAGACGCTGCCCTTTGCTGAGAGATGCGTTTTGTTCCCGTGGTGCCCATCGCCGGTGCCATGGAAGAACCAGAGGGGATACAAACAAAGAATAAACAACCGTCGGTGACAACAGCCTGACGCACGAGCCGCAATGTCACCGGCACCAGTTCAGGGGTCAAGAAATCCGCGGTTCGTCAGTCAGGTGTTGTCATAGCGAAGGAGCTGTCGGGACAACGTTGGGCAACGTTATGTCAGGGTCGTGCTGCAGACGAAGAAGCGAGTCAAGGGGAAGGAAGACAGGTGAGCGCCACAGGGAGGATGGAGTGTGCAGCGTGTGGGCAATTTCACGTGGACATGCTGTATCGGATTATACATGTTTCTCAATCGGAAACGAAATATTAGCGAGTAAGAGCCTACACGTTTAGCTGGAAGATAAATCAACGTTCAATCATGATGGGGTTTTCCAGCTTTACTTGAGCCCCATGAAAACAACGCTGCCTCCTCCTGCTGCTGGTTGTAAGGGCAACTCGGGGTGTCCCACCTCTTGGTGGCACGTCAAGAGCCACTCAGCCACCGCTGCTGTTTGCTCGTAACGAGCAAGCGTCCCGCAGGACTCTGCGCACAGCCGTGCCGACGATGATGATCACCGCGCGTGGCGACACCACGCACGGTGTGTTCACCTGCGGGGGTGTTCACCCTAAATGCCATGTGTGCCAGTGTCACGGGCAAGTTGGGCCACATTTTAAAATTACTCGCAAATGTCCTTAAGTAGGTAAAGCCACTTTGCAGCATCGCCACCTACCGTGACGATACCCGTCTGTGAACCACATCGGTGCCTTCGTGATGGTGGCCTGCGCTGTCAGAATGTTGTGAACGCCACGCGCAGTAAAAGTCGATGTCGACTTACCCATGGGTAGAGTCACTGATGTCGTGTATAACAACTTAAACCCATCCCCATAGATCTTGCACGTGTAGGTGCCACCGTCACTCGCATTAAAAGACTTGATGAAGAGAGAATTCTTTGAATTGCCCTCGGTTAAGATCTTGATCCTGTCGGAGAGATGCGTTCCTGGCAGCGTGTCTGTCAATTTGGTATCGTAGTTGTAGTCGATAATGTAAGTGTAAAAAGGAACGGGTCCGCTGGCTGGCTTGTAGTGCCACACGACCCTCCTGAGGTTGACGCTCGGGCTGAGGGCCGCCTCGTAACCAGAGCAGTGCACCTCCTGGCCCTCTCCTGCTGCGGCCGCGTTGGATGCACAGCACGGACCTAAAAGGACATGGAAGTTGCACAGGAATCATTTCATTCGACGGTGGCGGCCCAGTGGGAAATCGTGCCTCGGCAAAACTTAGGTATGTTCTCCCCCTGTTCTGCATGGGTTTTCTCCGGGGTCTCTGGGTTTGTTCAATGCATTGGGGGAAATTAACGTGCTATACAATGTAGCTGGTGTTGGCCGTAACATCCGAATGTAAAACAATTACACCGCAAATTATTCGATTGAGATTACACACAGTGGCATGGCCCCATAATGCGAAATATTTGCAGGAAAAAGGTGTATTTATGTAATATTACTTTATTTACAAGGTAAAACCTTCTAAGCTATTAGATCTTTGTCAGAGGCGACCTGGCCACGCGTGATGAATGCTCTTCGAAGTGGCTGATATCATCATCAAGTGTGGGAATTTATCGTAACAGTCGTATAATCTTAACGGATGTTGTGGCTACATGTGGAGGGGAAAACCTGGAGAAGCATTCATACGAGCACCAGAGAGACAGCGAACATGCGGACTCCAAAATATTTAGAAGTGAGTAGTTTGTCTAGATTGTTCCTCCCCACAAAGAACTCGGCCCGCTGTGGCCAGTCCCGCCTGTGGTAGTGCGCCTTGGTGTCTGAATCTTTTGTAGTCATTCTTGTGTTACTTTAGTATAGATACATGTTCGTTTTGATTAATATGTAGTTTTTTTATGACTTTATGTGAACGAAAAGACACAAATTCGCCCGTTTTCTCATTGAAAATAGCTACATTTCAAAATGTCACTGTCCTGGTCACAAAAGCAAAGTTTGTGGGGAATAATAGCCATTTTCTGTACTTGTGAGGCATAAGCAATTAGAAAATAATACTTACTACCCAATAATTGTTATTGGTATCGTGTATACAATTTAGTAAACAGCGTTTCAAACGAATAAATGTGTAAAAAAATCACTCCTGTATTGAATCGATGGTGCAGCAAGTGTTAAATGCAATAGAGTAAAGATAACTTAGATGCTGAATGTCATGAAAAAATATAGAAAAATATCTACTTACACACATCGCGCTGACTGAAAATAAGAAGCAACAGCCAAAGGGAATGTGTGGGTAACATCTTGTACGGCGTTCTCTCCTCTCTCGTCTCACAAGTCTCTCGTCTCCTGTCTCTCGTGTCTGAAGTGACACGGGCTCGCTGCCTTTATCCTTCCCACGCTGCCCAAGTCAGCAGACTTCCGCCCGCCTCGGTCCTCAGGGGGCTGCAGAGAAGAGGACTTAGTTCCTCAAACCTCCAGCAAGAACTACGCGCACGCCATCACCATGCAGCACTCAGACGCTTCGAAGCCAACAACTCAAACTCCTCAATAGCACTGCCCCACGACGAATTCGTAAGGTGTAGTGATGGCCAATTTTGAACCGAGGTGGCTGGGCATCCTTAATATGAGTTTGTAAGATTGTTTTTATATATGGAAATACAGATATGTGCACGAGACATTGTGTGCGAAAAAAATTCTGATTAATATTTTCCACAGTGATGCTTGTGGTTGTTTAGAGCCATGTGCTGCAATATAATTTAGCGTCTTACTCGGACCTAGGACCCCGCAGCGTAAGGGGTCCTTGTCTCTAAGAGCCACAGTTCACGAGCATTGATTCCAGCGAGCCTGACTGCTGATGAGACAGCGGATGTCGAAATCGATCAGTTTGCTGTCGAGAAAAAATGCCGCAGAATTGATAAATTCCGAGAATGTAATGTGGCTGATGAGTTGTGTAAGAAATCCGTGGAGAGATGGATATGTGAAAAATGCATCTGCTTGGCTATTTTGTAAAAAACAGGGTAAGGTAATTAATCAGTAAATACTTGATAATTAGGGAAGGATCAGTAGCATTGTGTAATGCTCAGTCACTGAAAAAGCGACATTTTGAGATCATGCATGGCTGCCAAACACAGAAGTGCAGTGCTTGGTGGTATGGCTATCTGCAAATCCCACTTCTCTACGGGATTGGCGTCTATGCAAATTGCCACCAGCATACTTCACTAGCCCGGTACATGCGTAGTGGGTTCCACGGAGGCACACACTTGAACTTGGAGGCAATACGTTTATTCTCACACCCCAACAGGGTAACCACATAACGTACAACTCGACCACAACGGGGTAACTACATAACCGGGTCAGTCAGGAACACACTGCCTGACCCACGATGCGGAGCGTAAAGACCGAAGACCGATGATCGAATAGACGTAGCGCCGACGGGTTCCATTCCAACAGACAGCCTCGATCGGCTCTTGGGACCTCCCTTTTATGCCCCTGAGCGTGGCCTGGCTCCGCCCTCGGCCACGCCTCCTTCTAGATCCTCCTAGAAGGTTCTGGGCCATACACCACGTGTCCCTCTCGACACCTTTAGGCCCCCCTCATTATCCTGTCCTGGTCACGTGCCCTCTGGGGTTCGCCCAGACTGTCACGTCCTCAACTGCCCTCTCTCTGACTGTCACCAGAGCCATGCCCCCTGGGCCCCCTTCCATGCCATACGCACTCTGGTGCCAGAGTCTCTAACACGCACAGTTGCACTCTTCTCTCAGTAGCTGGCGCTAAACGCCATAGCGACTCCATTTACGTCACTGCACATGTGTGTGTGTCGCACTGCGGGTCATTCAAGCGAGGTGAGGAGGGACGGAAGGGGTCACGAGTGGCAGTGGGCGAGGGTCCTTGTGGACTTAGGGGGACGCTCGGCAGACACCAGCCCGGACACGAGTCCGCCTGGCGCGCGCATGGCGATGCGCTCAGCAGCTCGGCGCCGCTGTCGACGTCTGCTGGTCACGAGAGGGCATCGGGAGAGAGATCTGCTACAATTCAAATCACATTCAAACTATAATACAGCCTTGAATGAGTATCATTTTACTAATATATATTGTATTGCACTCTAAAGGGTATTATGAAGTCTGCAAATTTAAGCTCCTAAACGTGTGCACCCCTTTATCAATATACTTCCGGATGAGGGCCTCCCCACCCTGTGCAGATAAAGGGGGTTGTTTGACCATATTTCACCATGCTCGTTCAGTGGGTTGTTGAAGTGCAGCAGAATGGACGATGCTGCACTGCCCTCTAGCGCTCACTCTGCACCCTAAAACGATCATTTCATTTCACCAATGCGGTACACCAAACATGCCACCACGTAAACAATACCCTACGGTGTATGCAGCTCATCTTAAAGCGAATGAACAACATAGGTTCGTAAACTACAGTACTGCAAATACATTGTATTTGAATGCAGCTCGCACGCTGCCGATACACCTATAGGCTCGGATCGATTAATAATCTAGTCGAGAAGATGCGTGCACGGCGTCGAGCACGTGAGAATCAGAGGGCACGTGTGACCTACGCACGCGACGTGTCAGAGTTATATGATGGCTGGCGAGCTTAAGGAGGCCGTTAAACACGACTAAATATCAAATCCTCTGAATCTACCTGTGGTCCAGATTTGTGACAAATCAGTCAATTGAGAGGTGCGCTGTTGATAGCGGTGTCGTGTCCGCGCGTGTTGCGTAATCTTCAAAACACAATGTTTAATGTGCCACGAGTCTTTTACTTTAGAGTGCCACTCGGCGCGTGTGCTCACTCTGCCCTTCGCACCGCACTCGCCGCCAACCCCGCGCCACTCACGACTGCGACCACTGCTTGAGTAGAACACGAACAGCCGAGACTCGAGGGAGTTCGCTCGCGAGCGCCGCGCTCCGCTCTCTCGCCGTCGTTCCTCCACGCGCGGCTCCCACCTCGGCAGATCTCATAAGCTAAGCCGGGTGGCGCTGCAATGCAGTACAACAACAATAATATCTGACACGGGACGAAATCACCAATCAGATATCTGCCCATTTATGGAAGAAGGTCGGCGTGGTGGTGCCCGAAGGCGCGATGCGCTTTGAACATTTGGCTGCCAGTGGGAATGGTTTGACTTCAGGGTCGGGAAGGGGTTAACTTGGTTCACCGTCACGGATTGTGGAAAGTTCACCAGGGACCGATGGTGTAGACTCGTCTACACAGCGGAGAGACATTGAGCGGCATCGCATGCATGTGGAACTTCCATCTCTGGCTCAGGGATTGCAACACGCAACACTGCCTTTTGGCCAAGAGACGTCGATGTTTACACAGTTACAACATGTTCCTGCCGGGTAGTCGTGGGGAGCCGGCGGGGCAAATGAGGGCAGCGGTCAGCCTCAGACACTTGGTGGGGATATTAACTCCGTGGGTGGGGGAGACATAACGAGGGCGGTAGCGAGGAGTCGAGTGAAGAATGACGAAGGGTAGAGGGGGGGAGAGAGAGAGCCGATGGCCAAAGGCCATCGGCTCTCACAACGACGCCCACCCAATTAGAGAGCCGAGAATGATGGCGGGTGGTGGGGGAGAGCACTCGGGGGGCACGGAGAGTTCGCGCGTGGGCGCTCGATCCGAGCGGCTGGTGCCGGCGCCAGGCAGGGCGAGAAGGAGGAGGAGAGAATGGAGAGTTGGGGAAGAGCCGTGCGCGGTGGCGGAGTGAGGCGGTGAGGCGGAGAGGAGGAGGAGGGTCAACACAATTGATTGCAGCGCTGCAAGCGAGCGTGTGACGCGATCCCACCGAGCACTCGCTCACCTGCCGATGAAGATGAAGAATCATAATAATAATTCATCAACACGTGCGTCAGTGAGGGGCAGTTCGATCACAGCAATGCATTGTGAATGTTACAATGGCGTTATAACTATATCTAACGCTGAATTATTCTCTTAATGGGATATATTTTACTGAAACACATGTTGAAATAATACGTTAACAATATGATGATTGTGCTTAATGGCGTGAGCTTTGCTTGCGTGCAACCCGTCGTCACTCCACTGCTGGATGAAGGCTTCCCCGCGCATACCAAGTCATGGGAGTTGTTTGATGATCATACTTCACCAACCTGGTCAATCTGGGTTAGTGTAGACAGGGTGCGGAGCGCCAGGATTATTCACTCGCCACTGATGTTATCCGTGGCCGCGAATCAAACTCGAGTAGCCAGTTCGTTGTGCATCGTGCCAACCACTGCGCCACCGCTCACCCCATAGCAATTCTGGATCGACCATATTTGCGTGCTGTAATCCTTGTGGGGACTTTTACATTCCACACGACCTCGGTTTGATTTTGGCTTTATTATAATTACTAATTTTATTCATGATGCAAATTTAATGATGGCAAATCACCTCCATTCATTGACGACACTTGTTCACATTGGCAACAGCATCGCTGTGATTTAGGTAACACGCAAGAACGCAGCAGACACACAATGCCGCTGCTGCTGCTGGTGGTGCTGGTGCTGGTGGTGCTGGTAGTGCTGGTGCTGGTGGTGCGCCACACGTGCCACCAAGAGCGCGCAGCCGGACTCGCGAGAGACACGCGGGCCTCCTCCACACGCCCGCATCGTCGCTCTGCGCGCACGGGCCGCCGCGTTGCTACAACAATCTGCGAGGCTGCTGTTGGGCGCCGACTGTCGCCCGGGTGACTGCTGCTGCTGCTGTTTTATAACAGCTCGGCGTGTTGACGTCACGAGAGCAGAAATCCCGTCTCTCCCCGTCCCCCCTCCTGCTCCCTCCTCTCTCCCTCCCTCCCTCTCGCCCGCCCGCCCGCCCGCCCTCGCAGTCTTTTCATTCATCTGCTCCTCGCCCTTTGCCGAGCGAGAGAGCGCGCGGGCGTGCGGGCGGGCGTGCGGGCGGGCGGGGTATCTCGCTCACATATTGATACAGTTAAACCACGCCTGTGCCTAAGCCCCACCAGCGCCTTGCACAGCGCACACTTGCACACACACTCACTCTTACAACATTCGTGCGCCGTACGGAGTGAGGATCGTGGAGTGGCAGCTTTGTGGATTCAGCACCCCGCGGGCAGTGGACAGCGCCCGGCCGTGCCCTGCAATGCCCGCGACGGCAGCATGAGGCGGAGGAAGTGGAGAGGTACGGGGCGCGTCGCGACGGCAAAGCGGCGAGCTTGCTGTGCCTGAGCTCGCAGCGGGCAGGCGGACGAGGAGGGAGCTCCAGAGAGCTCCACAGTCCACGACACCTGCCCTCGGACGAGGAGACACGCGCTGTTCCACGCCCTCCGCTGTGGTCCGGCCACCACAGCCAGCGGCGCATTCAGTGAGAGTGCTGTGTTACTGTGTTACTGCGTTACTGTGTGACTGTGTTACTATGTGCAGCTTCGCAGCTGTGCTGATAGATGTCTGGGGTCGTGCCGCATGCTGTTCGGCGCGATGTCCGACGTTTCGCTCCACGTGTCGCTGTGAAGCCTTACGTGCTGGAGAAATCTTCAGAACGCGTGGAGCGAAACGTCGGACAATACGAGCTATAACTAGAAAACACATCGGAGAGTATAACAGCGCATGTCAGACGTTTCGCACCATGTCCCGGAGAAGCTCCCAGCGCGCGTAGCGAGTGGCATGGCGAATACCAAACCATACGACGGTGCCATGTGCTAACACAGCGCTGTGATGTGCCACGTACCAACGCAGAGAGACGTGCTAACACACTCCACATCGCAGGGCTGTGTTAGCAGCGTTCAATTGACATGTTTTAAAAGAGTGATCGTGTTGGTATTTCTAATCAACACGTCTGTTGTCTCATGTAAATATAAAGCATTAGTTCGTCAGTGTTGCACTTTCGCAGATTACAAGAGGCGGTGCATTTCGACTCCCGGAGCGCGCGAGCGCATCGGGTGATGTGAGGGGGTCGTCACATGTCCCGTGTCACTCCCGAGTCCTCACCAGTCAACGCGCTCACTGTCTACTTAGGGGTTTTAAAGCATCGGTAGATTTGTTTTCACCTTTCAACTCAAGGACACTGCAGTGTGTTTTTTTTTAAAATAGAAAACACGCTTAAGTGGTTAGAGTTGAATTCATATGGCAATGGCTATTTGCAATGAGGTAAAGAATGTTGGGAGAGCTGTGGCGCAGTGGTTAGCGCACTACGCTACCATCAAGTGCCGAGTGACACCACCTCCCTTTCACCGACCCGTACTGACTACAGTGACCAGCGTGGTGAAGTATGGCCAAAGAGCCTCCAAGACCAAGACTCAAATATCAACGTGCCGCGGTTATTCCTGCGACGCATGCACGAGGTGGTCCATGGCGACGTCTGTTGCGTTCACATTTGGATCTAATGAAGCACGACGTCCATTTTAACCTCAACACAATTTTGAGATGAATTCCCAAGCGGCGGTTGAGCGCAAGTTACTCCCTAGCTTTTAGCTACACGTGCGAAGGTTCGTCAACGAGCGTGACTAATTTAGCACGGTGACACGGGCCACGCAATCCACGGGTTGCGCTCACTGGCAGAACGAGCCAACGTCATGCCAACAAGAGCCACCGCGACTGATGGCGCCTCCCCCTTGATCGTGGCGTGCGTGTCGGGCTTCTGGCTTGAGGAACTTGTGATGTGCAGCGGGTCGCGCGCTGCAGACTATATTAGTCCCAAGCTCCGCCGTCGCGTTATGGGACGGGGTGGAGGCGGCGAGGGCTCTGTGGAGTCGCAGCCCCCCAACTCGCTCCTCAAGGGCTCCCCCCACGCGATCTCGTCTCGCGGCGCCCTGCCGTCAGCCAGATCGCGCGCATTCCCTGCATTCCTCCTCCACCCTCAATGCCCTCTCCCCCTCTCTCCAGCCCCTTCTCCCTCTTACGCGTCCTCCCCTGCCCACACTTATTTTCCTTCCCTAATAAAGGTATAATCACGAGTAGGCTAGCGGATATGCTCATGGACGTCTGAATTCGCTTTGGTTATTAATCGGCGAAATAGAGGTTCTGTTATTGGCTGAAACAATTCGCCTACTTCCCATATTTGGCGCTACGCGTAACAAGTGAAAGTACCTTTTATCACATTCCATGAGCCACACGGCCTTCTGGGAGTGTTTTTTTCTAAAAAGCATTAGTTTAAGCCTCGATGGACATCAATACTCTTTGTCACGATGGTCCTGCATTGGGATGTTTCGACCAATTCAAAGCTGAGTATAATGCGGAAGAACGCCAGAGTTACTGGATAAGAACATGCATATGAGGAGACAACACTCAGAGCTCCACACAGATCGAATTAAGAAACCATCATCGCACTGCTACCGCCTGGTCTCCTCGCAACTCAAGCCGACAACACCTGGCAATCCCAGGCAGTCCGTCATCCAAGCACAACACTGCTTAGCTTCTAAAATCGAATGGAATTTTACAAATTCAGGAAAATGTGTAAATAGCCGTCGGACCTCTCACTCGTCAGCGACACCAACTCGCTCCATCGACCCGCCAATGGCTCCCAGCTCCATCTCGCATCGATTACGACACTGTCGTCAGTACTTTTTAAATCATGCCTTGTGTCGTTCCTGCTGGGGGTTTTCCCCCTCTCATCGTGCCCTGCTTGTGGGCTCGCACCACTGTGGCCCGGTCCTACTGCTGCCCGAACGGTGGTCGAACCTTCTCCTGTGCCGCCAGGAACTCCCTGCCCCAGTCACCTGCACCGCCAACTCCCAGCCGCTCTTCAGCCCAGGCTCAAGACTTTCTCCTCCGCCTTTGACAGCCGCTGCTTCTCTCTCTCTCTCTCGATATCACAGCTCAACTCCGCCTCTCACTCCGATCGGCCTCGAGTGTGTCTGTGTCCCTGAGCTTGTGTGGAGCCTCTTGACGTGGCTGCTCTTAGACGCGATATTGGGCCGTGAGACTCCCAAACGCGTTGGACTGTGGGGTGGACAGCAAACCAGCTGGCGACTCACCCTTGTAGATATGGTTTCCGCACACGCACAGATCACGAATAACTTGACATAATTTGACCAAACATTCCAAATCGGGGCCCTTCTTGAAAGTCTTCGATCAAGCGAGGCGTCCCTGTATAATTACGTGACCTTATTTTTATGACGATGAGTATTATCGTCACCGTTTACTATCGATCGGTCTCGACACAGAGAGATTGAATAGATCCTGCACCGCATTCGAAGAGCGCCGAGGGCAGCTGGAGCTGACTTTGTGTGGAGCTCAGAGACATCCCACAGAGCCGTCGCGATTTTCATCTCCGCCGTCGCTGCTGCTGCTGCTGGAAAGGGCGTTGACAGACGGAGCAGTCGTCACTGTAATGTATCATTTATATGATTTATATGGGAAAGCGAAAGGTTAGCGGCTCGCCGTGGAGCCGCCCAAGGGCTTAGGCAGCCAAAAATAAAGGCACACTTAGAAACGAGAAAACGAAGGGCATGTGTAATAAATATACTTAATGACGTCTAACTCCACACGGTGGTACGAATCCTCACACACGTGTCTTTTAGCATCTACACCGCAGATGGTTCCGTTCAAGCGACGGCGAAATAGCAACTCCCTCCGCTTGTGGGACTTGGGTACAACGCGCCCCTCCTAACTGCATTGACGTGACGTCTTCAATCACGTTTGGGTTGGTGTCGCTGATTTAATCTCTTATGGTTTGTCCTAATTGTTTGGCATAGTTGTGTCTAATCCTCTCTCGCTCTCCCTCCCTCTCTCTCTCTTGTGTGTGGCATTTAAATCCCTGTCGGTGCCTCTTCAACATTCGCTTCGTTCTTTCTACGCTGCTTTTAAAATGTGTCCCTCAATTTCAGTTGCACTGTATTTGGCCTACTTTTCCATGCTGGCTGGATATTATGGAAGAGACGGGCGTCCCCACAGTTGACCCCACTGCACACGACCTACTGATCAACCTCGCTGTTGTGTGGGTGGACAGAGTTGGAGGGGTGGGATTTAAGAAACTTGAACCATTGCTGTTGATGGCATCGAACCGGCGACCTCGGGATACCAGATTGGAACCTCTTCAAACATCGAAACATCCAGCGGGGTGCACGTGAACAGCTAAAACTAAAAAGGAAGAATACATATTGATTGTAATCGGTGCCATTATTGTAGTACAGTGAGTAGAGTAGCTACGTGGACTTGCAATCAAGCGCGCTGTGGTGCAAAGGGGGAGCGGGTGGTGGCCACGTGGACCCTGTGCGTTGGAGCACCCCACGTGCACTGCTACACATCCATCGATTTGGCATTCGGGAGAGAACTGATGCGGTTAAAATATATTTCGGAATGACATCAGAAGTTAAACGAGACAATGTCTATATTGCTATATCTATTTTAACATTGAGTCCAAATGCATTTCATAAGTTGAGTAAAGTTGATGCCGCTTTGTTCCACGGAAATGTGTTTTGCACGATGAGTCAGCTGCTGCAGCGGAGTAGCTCGTCTTCACGGCACGAGGGGGTGGGGGGGGGGGTGTCGCGTGTCGTCTCGGCTTCGTACAGCCGCCCGAGCAGGAGCCGGCCGTGGCTCTCACCGAGGCACACAGGGACCGGGCGTCATTGGATGCGCGTCCAGCCGTCGGCGTTCAAAGTTATCGCACCAATTAGAGGCGCCGGATAAACCCGGAGCACGCCGAACTTTCAACGCGCGCTACTCGGGGGGATTTGTCACACCACGTGACCGCCCTCACAATCCCAATTAGCGTGGCGCCGCATCCATCTCCCCGCGGAGTCCACGTCTCGGCGACGCCTCTCCTGCATTGCAGCGAGCGGTGAGGGCCGATGCGGCCGCTTCTATCGACAGGCACAACGTCGTGATGCTCGCCCTGCCAGTGGTCCGTCCAGAAGGACAATTATAGAACCTCGATGCGGACGTGAGTCAAGGAGACCGCCCAAAGAGGAAAACATCACAAGTGTAAAAGCCGTGGATTCAGTGAATAACTGAGCACTGAGAAAGGGCATTGCCCAAACACGTCACCTGTTCTGTTTTAATCTGTTATGGCATTTTTATTGGCGAATGTGTTTTTTTGGGAATTTATGGGAGGATTTATAGGGGAGTTTGGTTTCAACATTTCAATTATGAAATAACTTTGAATGAAGGCGAGAGAGGTCACCGAGGTAAATGACGGCGTGAGCCGGGCGGTGGTGACTCTGCGCCTGGGCTCGAAGCCAGGGCCGTGCAGGTAGCAGCGAGGGTTGTTGGATCACCGCACAGAGGGTGACAGACTACTTCGCCGTGGGCGTCGAGGGGCCAGGCGACGGCGTTACGGAGACAATTCTCTCTCTGTGGGATCGAGTGTCTCCCGTCGCACGCGTGCTTCCTCCTCGCGCCGCGGGCTCATTCTCTGTCGCTACGACAGCGGGGAGCGAAGACTGCGCAGCGCGTTACAACTTACACTCATTGCGCAAAGCCTTATTAATGAGAACATTAATTATTTAACATTTCAGTAAAACGCAAGAGTACAGTAAGATGTGTTTTACATGAGGTATAAGTAATACAGTTCGGTAGTTTAAGGGCACCTCCAACCATGTGGCTTTCTCCTGCGTGTGTGCAATGTCAACGTCTGTAGGCCCATCTCTTGAATCATCCCCCAAATCATCCAACGTCTACACCCCGCGCACCCCACACGCACGACTCAGATGTTCCCCAATGACCCCACAACAACCCCAACTCCCTGCCAATTCTCCCCCTTCCGCCCCCCTCCCGCGCTGCTCGCAGCGGAGCTGCCGCGCCCGGAGCGCGCCGAGCAGAGGCCCGAGACGCCGCCGCGCTCCTCCAACGCCCCGGAGGGACCCGGGGGCGCGCTGGACGGCCAGCGCAGTGTGGGTGAGAGGCGGGGTGGGTGAGGGTAGTGTGGGTGAGAGGCGGGGTGGGTGAGAGGCGGGGTGGGTGAGAGGCGGTGTGGGTACTTGTGTAGTAGCTACTTGTGTAGTTGCTACTTGTGTAGCTACTTTTGCTACGAGGAGGATAATCTGGCACTGGTGAGAGGCTGCCCGCGGCGCACCGCGCGGACGTCTCCTCGGCATCGATGCCAGCCAGGGCTTCTTCAGGGCTTCAGGGGCTGCAGACCGTAGCCTCGGACTTAGATGACGCCCCCTAAGAATTTGAACCACGTGGGAATGAATGGTGAGCGCGCCGTTCGATTCCCGGCCCTGGCTCACGGCGGTGGCGAGCGGCGTCACAAACGCCCGCGTCCTCAGATCCTTCGACAACCGCCACTGACCGACATGGGGTGCGGAGACTTACATCCACTGTGGCTGGATATGGCAGGACTCGTTAGCTTGTATGTTGTAATGGCAATGATGGTTGGAACCTAGAGGTGGATGTCTAATTACATATATTCGGAAGCTCACCGAACCCCAACCCCCAACTCGCTGAGCAGAGAAATACATTCTGGAACTCAACCCAGACAGCTCCAGCTGAACTTAAAATCTGAGTTGAAAAACAAGGATACATTTAAAATAGTATCAATATGCAGCAATCCACTCCACTCCCAACGGTGCAATGAACTGATGCGATTCAGGGCCACGATTAAGGGTGGGGTTGTCTAATTTTCACGTCTCGGTTGTATTGTTTCACTTTATTACATGGGCCATGCAACTGGTTCATATTTACGGCTCTATTTCATTCGCCTAAGGACCGTATTCTGAGTCGCTGCTTGCCTCTCGGCGTCTCCCTCCGAGACCCACCTCAGGCTTGGGCCACTCAGTTGCTCCCAGAGATACAGAAGCGGCTCAGCCGTGGCTCGGTTCAGGCTCAGGAATTCTGTATGAGCACGGCAAAGACCGTGGGTCAGAGCCGGCTTAAGTTCAGCGCCATGTCTTTGAGCCAACATACTTGAGCCAGAGCCAAGTCTGAGCCAAGCCGACAAATTCAGGCTGAAAAACAGCGTACGCATATTATCAGCTTTGGCATCGTTTTTGATAGGAAAGGGTAGATTCTTGCGCACATGATTTTAAGCGTGTGTTGTGAGCGTAAGAATCAATATTAATTGGCGAATCGCTGTATTGTTACACACCTATTTATTACTGGGGAAGCGCTCAGCCAGTCCTCGGGGTTGGCTCTTACAGTCATGGATGTGCGGCCAATAAAGCAATCAGCGTTGCAGTTGACGAGTGAACGCGCGTAGTCGTTAAAATCGTGCGAAAATTGTGATAATTATACTGCAGTTGCAGCTGCGTATGACGGCAAAATGGGCTCGCCGTGAAATTAGTTGCGCACGCCTCGTGGCACTGAGAGTGGAATAAAACAATTGGTTATACAACGATCCTACAGCCACTTGTGGACTAATTATGGAAATTAGACAAGACTGGGTCATCGGTTTAATGTGTAAAAAAAAACAGAGTCGTACATTTATTAAATCTAATTATTTCCCATTAAAGTAACGTCAGACCTGAAGATGGAATTCTCAACATGTTAACCCAAGGAATGGCTCCATCGCCTTGAACTTGATGAATCACTGCAAAAGCAAAACTGTGCTTTTTATCGCAATGAACACGCTTCAATCAATGTACATTCATTATACACGTACAGAATGTACTAATGTTTTCTGAGCACTTTAAAAAAAACATTTCATTGCTCAAATCTGACGACACGGAGGTGACGCGCGCGTGCCCCTCTCTGCGTGGCCGCGGCCGCGGCGGCGCAGGCAGCGGCAGCTCGTCGCTGCTCTCCGACTCTGTGCCCGGATTCTCGTGCGGAACCGGCGAGGAGGAGGAGGAGGTGGTGGAGGAGGTGGAGGAGGAGGCCCCCGAGCAGCCGGGGCTGGCGGCACCGGAGCGCGGCGACGGGGACGCGGGGAGCCGCGGAGCGCCGGAGCCCGTGCCCAGGTCCGGCAGCGCGCTCTGCCCACGCGATCGCGATTCCTTGCAGAGCATTCGATACGAGTCATCGTCGCATTGCCCTCTTGTTGTTCGCGTGTTTTATTGCTCATCTTGCTCGGCTGCGATGAGTCATTCCCGGGGGAGGGTTCGGCATTGCCAGCGTTTGGCTGATTCTCCATTGGGCAAGCAATCCCATCGACTCACGCGGCGTGGGAAGGCACTCATCCAGCAATGGATTAACCAAAGATCTGCACTTTGTATGCTCCAGGAAGAACCCTCTCTTTTCCATCTCACTCGCAGGTCGTGCATTGAAAGAGGCGGCCCCCAAAAACAACATCTGCGTAGGTCCCCCGATGGGCGAGCACCACCGCTGACCGTCATCCATCATCATAACCCGTCGTTATTGGCAGGCCCTTAGAAACGCTTGGACTTGACTGATCCGCTGGCTCATCGTAAAGCGGGATAAGGTCTTGGAGTTCAATTATCAAGTGACGAGTATGAAAGCCAACGTACGTAGTGGTCACTTTTGTTTGAAAGGTTTCGTCCTTGCAGGCAAACGCACCCGCACAGAGAGCTCCTCACACGCCATCCCAGGATCGCAGCACTTGCCATTCAAACACCGGCCAGCACTCGTGCTTTACAAACACTGCACACACAAACGAACACCACCCCCAGCACTCGATAAGAGAAAACCATTGTAGTTTGTTTCACGCATTTGCAGCTCCAAGAAAGAGAAGTGAGCTAGAAATGGATTTGACGAGCGCTGTGGCATCTCAGGCGCTGCATGTGTGCCATCAAAACTGCGCCATTGTGCACGCGTTTGCCCAACGGTGTACACGGGTGCCACGCACAATGTTCTACGGAAACGACCGAACGATTGTCAATCTAAGCAGCAGCAGCAGCGGCAGCAGCAGCAGCAGTAGCAGCAGCAGCAGTAGCAGCAGCAGTAGCAGCAGCAGCAGTAGCAGCAGCAGCAGTAGCCCACTGCAGCGTCCCGTGGGTAGACCCGCAGGGCAGCAATATAACCCCAAAGCATGCCAGGTCTCGGGGAGAACAAGACACTGAACAAGCAGCTGCCGTGCTGCGCGATGGGTCTGGCTGTCAACATGCCTCCGCCTCTGTGTGATCTGATTTTTAAACAAGGGATAAACGGCAAGTTCCGCAGTTGCACAACCACTGCAGGCGTTTCGCTAATGCTCTTGCGAGCGCGCTGGGGGGGTGAACAACTAATCCCGAGATTCCGAGTGCTGCCGAAGGGCGGTCGACTTGCAGGCAGCGACTCGCCGTGCGCACAGACACACGCGGCGGAATTCCACTTGGGTCGTCAACAACAGCAACAACAACCGCGGCAGTACTCGGAGCAACTCGGGTTGCATAATCAGGGCAACTTGGGTTGCGTAGTCTGCGCAACTCTCCCCACACGGGGCACCACGCGTGTCTCGACTGCAGCGAGGAACCGACACGCGGAGACTTGAGCCGCACTGAAAATATGAACTCGCAGAAATCGCGGTAGGTGGGTGACATCGCAGGGAGTTACCCTGCAAATTGCGTTTCATGCTGCCGAGATGCCATCTCGGAATCTCGTTTCGTGCTGCGGCGCCGTGATTCCCTCTCCCCGAGCCGGAGTCGAAACATTCGGCGCGTTTCTCACCCCCCGCCCCCCACCAAAAAACTGCCTCGTCCACCCGGCAGGGTCAGTGGGGTCACAACCACAGTGTGGGTGCGCACACCGTTCCCAACGTTTGGCTGACGTGGAAGAGTAGGCCAAATACGTTCACGAATTCACTGGAGTTGAGGCTCTTCCGCCAGCAGTGGCGTGAGCGAGCGAGCAATGCAGTTGTGGCGCCCACGTGAACACTCAGTGTCTGCAGGACTCTCTCCCACGTGAACACTCAGCGTCTAGGACCCTCTCCCACGTGAACACTCAGCGTCGACAGGACCCTCTCCCACGTGAACACTCAGTGTCTAGGATCCTCTCCCACGTAAACACTCAGCGTCTACAGGACTCTCTCCCACGTGAACACTCAACTCTCTCCCACGTGAACACCCAGTGTCTACAGGACTCTCTCCCACGTGAACACTCAACTCTCTCCCACGTGAACACCCAGTGTCTACAGGACTCTCTCCCACGTGAACACTCAACTCTCTCCCACGTGAACACCCAGTGTCTACAGGACTCTCTCCCACGTGAACACTCAACTCTCTCCCACGTGAACCCTCAGCGTCTACAGGACTCTCTCCCACGTGAACACTCAACTCTCTCCCACGTGAACCCTCAGTGTCTACAGGACTCTCTCCCACGTGAACACTCAACTCTCTCCCACGTGAACCCTCAGCGTCTACAGGACTTTCTCCCACGTGAACACTCAACTCTCTCCCACGTGAACACCCAGTGTCTACAGGACTCTCTCCCACGTGAACACTCAACTCTCTCCCACGTGAACCCTCAGCGTCTACAGGACTCTCTCCCACGTGAACACTCAACTCTCTCCCACGTGAACCCTCAGTGTCTACTGGACTCTCTCCCACGTGAACACTCAACTATCTCCCACGTGAACCCTCAGTGTCTACTAGACTCTCTCTCACGTGAACACTCAACTATCTCCCACGTGAACCCTCAGTGTCTACTGAACTCTCTCCCACGTGAACCCTCAGCGTCTACAGGAATCTGCCGCTCTCTCCCCCAGTGGCTGTAGACATTATCGATTGGCCTTGAGGTTGTAGCCAGGAGATGAGGGCAGCGAATCGTGGCAGATTGAATGGCCTCACGTGGAGCAGGATCTCACTTTACCGTCTGTCGCCTCACGCGAGAAGTGTCAATCCAAATAGTTTCTGCTCAGACCCTCCCCACCGTGGCTGACACGTGTTACCACATCACTGTACTGCTGGAGGCACGCGCCTCATGGAAATGTTCACTCGATGGCATTGGTTGATGTACGGCCTTGCCTGGGTTTAACACCCATGCCAACACTTGTAATCTATTAGCATTCTAATAGCTCAGCCCTGATTTATAATTCGTTTCTCTTGGGTTATATCTTGGAGGTATAATGTTCATTTTCAATTAATCTTGTTAAATTATACATCTAAATTCATAATGCCAGGAAACAACTCTAGCCTTTATATGAAGTCAAATTATCATATATTAAAACAATGTAACGCCAGCAATCTCTTCAATCAGCCCGTATCACTAATTTCGCATGATGCTAATTGAATTAACTGCATTGGACCAATTAGAATCACTCAATCACAGCACCCACTCCAGCATGATAACGAACTTGCCGCATTCTAACTTCACTAAGGATAGCATTTTTTCACCAAACCTGATTACACTAATCTAACCTGCTAATCACAGCCAATTAGCAAATAACTCTAATGATCAAACGAGAACACGTGCGTGCGTGTGCTGGTGACGTGGAGGCAGCTCGTGAAGGAAACCCTCTGCCCGGTCCGGAGCGCCGCTCACGCGAGGACTGCTGCTGTTGGTGTTGTGGCCGAAACATCGTGACATTTGTATAATGTTTAATGTTTATTATTTAATTATTTCCCTTCTACGCGACTTTACCGAAAGAACCAAGAAGATGAACACCTAAATGCATAATGCCAGGAGACAACTCTTAGCCGTCCCGCGCGCCGCGTGTCTCCCGGCGACAGGTGCGAGCCGGTGCCGGGGAACGGCACCCGGGGGCGGACCTCGGCTGGCGTCGCGAAGAGGAGCCGCGCTCCGCAGTCGCTCGGTGGCACTCTGGGCCGCGGGTCTCCGCGATCCGGTAAGGTCGCCGCGGTGCCAGGCACGGCGCGGGTAGGACGTCGCCTCCTCCTCCTCCTCCTCGCGTCGTCCCTTCCCGTTCGTCGTCGCTGCCGCCGAGGAACGGCGACGGTGGCTTTGTGGTACGCGGGGCAGCGTGCACGTGTGCAGCCCCTTGCTCAATGTGCTGCTGCGTGGGAGCTGTTTATCCGTACTTCACCACGCTGGCCAATGCCGGTTGGCGAAGGCGGGGAGCATAGAAGTGCAGTGCAATACTGGATTTTCTGCATAGCCCCTCTGCTGGCAATGAAGCCCATAGTTTGAGGTGTTGATGATGCCAGCTCGACAACTGGAGGTGGAGAGAGTTGACCTGCCATCGACGTCCCTCTGCGACCCCTGTGAGCTGCACAAACACCTGGACCGCGCTCCCCCCAGATCACGGATTGGAGCGTCCTCTAAATATGCTCCACAGAGCGTGGCGGGGGGGGGGGTACACGAGGGCTCTCTGTCCTTCAGCTCACCACCAGTGCTCCGTTGCCGTCTTTTTTTTTTAGCGGTGACTCCATTCCGTGTCAGAAGTGTCCGGTCCAGGTTTTACTTGGCGCTAATGCACACTCGGGTGCCGCTGGCGTTCACGCTGTCGCTCCCATTTAGCAGCAGCAGCAGCGTCAATTTGGGGGTGACGTCTTGTGGGGTGACGTCTTGTGGGGTGACGTCTTGTGGGGGTGACGTCTCCACCAGCCCACTCGCGAAGGGCCTCGGTTGGACGTGGCCACGTTGCACATTCGTTATGTCGACGACGCATTTCATTTTTAGAGGTTATAAGTTTAAATCAACTCGCCCCCGTCTGCGCCGCCAAACATTTACTCGCCTTGACAGGTGTGAATGGATGCCAGCCGGTATTTGATGTATATATTATATTATGCCGTGTGCTGTAACGGCTATCAGTCGGTCTCCGTGGCCTGCAAGTGCACTTGCTGTGGTTGATTATAACTCCGCTAAGTAAATGCTTCGCTGTTTGTCCGCAAACAAAATCAATACGCGTAGAGGCCCCGGAGCAACGAGACCCGAGGAATAATTAATTTAAAAAAACGGGATTCCATTTGCTTCTATAATTACTCGCAGGAGTGACGAAAGAAGCGGCGTGCCGAGGGCGGCTCGGGACACTCGGAGTCTCCGAGACGCACGGCGACCCACGGCGACCCACGGCGACCCACGGCGCGGTGGCTCGAGTAGAGCCGCCGTGAGGTCGAGCCCTCGCGAGGAGTGGCAGATCGCACGATCGAGTGTGCTGCCGTCACAACCGCTGTGAAGTCGCAATGCGAGCGGAAACTTACGTCTTCTATGACCGCCCAGACGCTGCCCAGATTAACGAGATTTGCGCAGTCCGCTCACAAGTGGCGCGCGCACGGCGCTGGTGATGAGGATGCGAGCCCTGGATCGCCAGCTGTCTGGGGGCCCCGGTGGCCAGCACCCTGACGTGCACCAGGCTGTGGCTCCCAACGCCACGCGGTAGCCACCCGCTGCAGACGACAGCGACCAGCAGCTTTGGGCACAGATGGCACGAGCGCCACTGCCGGGATTGGAGATCGGCAATGATGAGCGCCGGAGAACGGGCGCGCTCTCAATTAACTCCGTCAGCAATGCAGAGTCTGTTAAGCTGGGTACAGCTTCCAATTCCTTTCCTTTTTTTAATCCTTTATATTAAGTTCGCTTGCGTGCTTGCTTGCTTGCTTACGACCGTGCAAATCTTTCGGTCGTTTTTTAACCCACTTCCCGTGATCCAATCGAGCTGACATTTTCCACACAGACTCGTTGTGCGTGACAATTAATTTTCGTGAATTTTTTTTTACAAAATGTTACACTGTTTAGGGAATTTTTTAAAAAATATTTAATTACCAATTGCTTAATGCTGGCAGACAATCATCTGACCCATAGGTGGCAGCCATCAAAAGCCAGAGAACGAGAGGACTCTAGCCACCACGCATGTAAAGGATTTAGAGTGAAAAACTTTGTTTTTACGGGTTAATTTTTGTCAGCTTTAAATAATAATAAAGGACGGCGCTGTTCTCAATCTGCTGCTAGGTGAAGGTCTCCCCCACGCCGTGTCGGTCGTGCGGGTTGTTTGACCTCGCGTCACCGTGCTGGTCCGTGTGTGCGTTGGTGATGTGGGAGAAGCCCAGGACGGGTTCCGGTATCACTCGCCACCGATGTTAGATGTGATCGGGAATTGAACCGATGTCGCAGCACGCTAACCACTGCACCACCGCGCCGTCCCCGAGACAATCCGCTTGATTCGTGAGTTAATCGCTCGTGAAGACGTGGAGGACCCCGTTTCTTGTCGCCACTCTGCTCGTTGTGAGCGTTGCCGTCTCGGGCCCTTTGCTCGCACGCGGGCTGACTTCCCCGGGCTGCTAACAGAGTGGCCATGGCTCTTCCCTCCCACCGTCCCAGAGAAGAGGATTGTGCTGCTGCTGCTGCTGCCCCCTTGTCAGCGGTGTTGTGGACGCCTCGTTCTTGCGGTTGACTTTCTCGCTCTTGCTTGCCCAGCCATTACTTTATTTGGTGATCAGCCCCTGCATTTCATGTGGCTTGCAACACCAGACGCCCTGCCTGGGAATCCCATGCGATGTGCGATAGTGGGTTGTGGGTTCTCCATTTGCCAGCTTCGTCCCCCACCATTCATTGAGTCAATATTTGATTGATGACGCCAGGAAGCTGAACTCTCATTAATGGGCTCTTAACATTCCGGCGTTTGTGGCAGAATTACTATTTGGTAGCAATAATAACTTGAAATGTATCAACATCGTCAGCCATGCTCTATAAACTGTTGGATGAAGGCCTCTCTGCTTTGCACGCTCCCGTGGTGTCGCGACACCACAATCGCTCTCGCTGCCACACTTGAGCTCCTCTCATCGCTCGTCTCTGAGCGCCGCCTCTCCGGTGGCCGTCTTCTCCGGGGCGTGGACACCGTGAGCTCGGCCGCCATTCTGTCCACGATGTCACCCATCGGCCGCCATTCTGTCCACGATGTCACCCATCGGCCGCCATTCTGTCCACGATGTCACCCATCGGCCGCCATTCTGTCCACGATGTCACCTATCGGCCGCCATTCTGTCCACGATGTCACCCATCGGCCGCCATTCTGTCCACGATGTCACCCATCGGCCGCCATTCTGTCCACGATGTCACCCATCGGCCGCCATTCTGTCCACGATGTCACCCATCGGCCACCATTCTGTCCACGATGTCACCCATCGGCAGCCATTCTATCCACGATGTCACCCATCGGCCGCCATTCTATCCACGATGTCACCCATCGGCCGCCATTCTGTCCCCGATGTCACCCATCGGCCGCCATTCTGTCCACGATGTCACCCATCGGCCGCCATTCTGTCCACGATGTCACCCATCGGCCACCATTCTGTCCACGATGTCACCCATCGGCAGCCATTCTATCCACGATGTCACCCATCGGCCGCCATTCTGTCCACGATGTCACCCATCGGCTGCCCTCCCGCCGAGCGACGTGTCCAACCCTCTCGATGCAATTCCCAGCATGCATCTCTCCATGCTTCTGTGTTGCACCTCCGTTCCATTTTCTTTGTCAATGTCTGCGTCTCTGATCCGTATTCCCATACAGTGTCAGCTAATATGATTGAGAACTCTCCTCTTTTAAACTAATTGTTCGGCCTCTTTTCATGATCAAATTCAGTTCTCCAAAACACCCCAAGCTGCTCTTTACTCTCCCCGTTATCCGGTCCGGTCTCTTTTCACGTTTTTTCTCTACCGCCTTTATTCTGCTATCTAGCCGCTGTACAAAGTGATGCTCAATCCACATGGCTAACTAGCCACCAAGCTCCCTTCATCCTAATCAAACCTACATTCTACCTGCACGCCTAACCACGGAGAGAGCATTTTACTGTGAACGTCGCAATGCAACATTTCTGTTGCAGAAGTGAATCCTCTCCGTGTCAAGTGCACCGAGTGGAGCTGCCATTAGCAAAGCACGTGCACGGACTGAGGCTGCGAATTAAAGTTTATAGGCCGTGAAATCCTTTAATGGCAACCAGAGACCAGAGCCCCAGGGGAGAGAGGAAATACAGCAAATGGAGCTCCCAACATTCGCTCGCTTGTTCTACACGCCGGACTAATTATGTAGCTTTGAGCAAGGCTAGGTAATTAATATTAAAGAAATACAAATCGTTGTGAATCGGTGGGGCGAGTGATTGGTGATGTTGCACTGTGACCCCGATGAGTCGAGTTCGATTCCAGGCCACGGCTCGCATCCGTGGGAGGCTATAGCACAACTGGGGTTGCCCTTCCCTCTTTTACAGACCCGCGCTGACCAGCGTGGTGAAGTATGGTTTAAAAAAATAACAACCAGTGACCATCAAGGGTTTATGGAGGCCGTCAACCAGCAGTGCGTTGACAAAAGACCGTACAGTGTACGAATGTTAGAGATCACTACTTGAAACTAATTGTCCATGAAATGCTCTACGCTCATTCCTCGCGTTGCTGATGTAATTGACATAATCAGTACGACTGCAGTTTCTAAACGTAACTTTGATTGTGGTGATTAAGTCCACAGGGGAAGCTGCAACGGACTTGCTGTCCGGCGGTTAGCGGTCCGATCTCCCGGCGCGGCAGTTGAAACGATGGGGCGCCTTCCTTAAATCCCCGAGCTTTTGTAGCAATGGGGTCACACGGCAGTCAGTCAGATGGCAGGACGTGCGGGGTGAGGTCACGTGTGGGGTGAGGTCACGTGTGTGGCGAGGTCACGTGTGGGTACTCGTGCCTGTTCAGAGACGTCTGACCAACGAAGAACAGTTGCCAAAAATCCTCGAGAGGAGCTCCTCTAGAGCGTGCCTTCATGGAGGCCTTTCCATCTGCAGGGGCATGAGCAAGTTGTTGCAGGGCTGCACCTTTAACTTTTTGAACCAAATTCTGTATGTTCCCATATGTCGCGATGACCCACCGTTGTTGGACCCGTGTTGCTCGCTGTCACCGTGCGCAGTGACGGGGCCCTCTCGGCGGGATAGGTGCCCGCGATGAATGTGGATGAGGTGTCGAACTCGCAGCGTCTTCGACTCGTCGTTTTGGTCAAAGGCATTGACCCGCGCATGCGATCATGTTCGCAGATCTTTACAACAACGATGACGACGATGACGACGACGACGACGAGGAGGTGGTGGATGCAGAGGAGTCGATGGAGGAACGCAAGAGCGTGATCATGCACCTGCTCTCCCAAGTCAAGCTGGGCATGGACCTCACCAAGGTACAAGGACATCGCTTCTTGCTTTAGCAATACACAGGTAAAGGTGCAGATCTACCACTGCTAGAGGGCTCCTCGAGAGGTTATTTGGCCTACTCTTCCACGTTGACCAAACATCTTGGATGAGACATTGACCACAGTACCTGCGTGGTCTGCCGGACAGCTGCGGTGAGCCCTTGTGGGTGCACGGAGGTAGTCGAGGGATCTAATTGTCGACAGCCACGCGGGGAGTTGGAATTGAACCGTGTGCGAATCTTGACGCCGCATGAGAAGTTGGTAAAGCTATTATACCGTACAATACTTAGTGTGTGTTCTCGGACATTAGGCACGAAACGAATCTCAGGTTGATCGATTTTTTGCGAAAGATACGTGCATCAAAATCCCCTGAATACGGATTTCTTTTCACGATTTAAACAATTTATACGCATATAATGTGTTTATGGTATATTGAACCGGATGGGGTGAACACAACTGTACAAATGAGACAACATAACAAAGTACTGACATGATAAAAAATATCGCACGGAATTTGTTGAAATCAATTTCTGGACTGAATTGTGACAATTCAATAAATGTGTACATGCCTTGTGGGCATGTGTCTACTGTATGTGGGTATGTTGTTTGTGGCGCTAATGGTGGCAGAGCCGCCGATCCATCCTGGTTATGATTTGAATTTACTATTCCTGGATGTGCTGCTGCTTGGCTCTCTGATGAGTCTCCGGGAGTGCCTTTGTGTGTGTGTGTGGAGAGCAGTCATAGTGCTTGCAATTACAGGGACCGAGGTGTAATTGCCGTGGCCAGGAATGAAACCTGGCACCCGAAGGTATATAATGAGTCTGAGCAGCCGTCCACCAGGGAGATGAGATCTGCTTGCTGCTGCAGCAGCAGCTCGGTGGTTATTGGTTGTTCATCTGCAGCAAACGAGGGCAGATCCCAGACGTAGATTCCCGCGACTGAACGTGTTGTGGCTATGAACCCAGCGGCGGACCGCGGCTAACATTGGCGACGAGCGATATTCCAACTGGCCCTTGGACCGTCTCCTTTCCTTAACCAAACCTGCACTGACCAGCATGGTGAAGTATGGTCACTTAGCCCCCATGAGTGACCGCATGGAGAAGCCTTCATCCAGCAGAGCCTTGACAAAGGGCTGAGAGTCATCATCATTATTATTATGAATTCTTGCTTTCAGGACACAATGTTTATTCATCCTACCCGCAATATCAAATCACTGCACCAGATTGGGTTAAATGATGACGTCACCCTGCTGCTGCTCTATTTAAGACCGGGAGCAAGCGGAGGGCTTCACCATTCTGGCAAATTTCCCGATGATGCTGGATGTAATTACCAGCGAAACGTCGTACTCAAAAATTGTAAACGATGTTGAATCACTCTTCAACACACCAGTGGGCTAAAGTAGTGAACTATTTGTCTTTTGTAAACGTGACATATTTTTTACTGTTTGGCCGTGTCGGGTGGTGGAGGGTTACGACACATTTATAAATAACGCGATACAACCCAAAAACGTTTATTATGAATAATATTGGTCACGAAAGCCTACGTGTTAAACTGAATATCTAGAACGTTTAAATATTGATATTGCATAAATAAGGGAAATAAACATATTAACAAAGTAAGATGCACAAAGATGACAATCGCGGCAAGGCAGTGGCGTGCCGGGCGGGTGGCCACGTGGCGCGCCGCCCACGCTCGCCGGAGCCCTGCAACTTGGAGCCCCGTTGAGAGCCCCAGACTCCGACTTGGCATAATCGAGTGCTTAGCTTGGCCCGGAGGCTCTTCACATTAAATCAATGAACCTCACGTTCACCCCGTGGTTCCACAAAGGCACTGCTCTGGGACGTGTTCCTTCAATGCCCGTGAATCTTCGCAAAAGGCAATTTGCTTTGTGCGACGCAGCTCCGCTCTAAGTTTCGTTGTTGGTTTTCATCGTGGTGCTTGTGATTGTGTAATGGGGTGGTTGTGAGTTCGGCGTTTCGCTTGTCTGATTTTGCCCGCCAACTAAATTACAAGAACCTTTCAGAAGGCCTGAATCAAAATCTAGAGAGTGGACCTCCCAAATGTGGGGGTAAAAAGAAGAGTCGATCCAACAGCAATGTATTTTGAAGGCGCATATTCCTACACACCCTACATACGAGCCGGCTCGCTCGAGGCGGAGTCGAGCCGTGGCTCCGAGCGAGGCCCACAATGCACTGCTGTGGCGCTGCAGGTGGCGCTGCCTACATTCATCCTGGAGCGGCGCTCGCTGCTCGAGATGTACGCAGACTTCTTCGCTCACCCCGACCTCTTCGTGAGGTCAGTGTTGAGTTGGGGGGTGGGGGCGACTCGCGTTATTTTCAAAACCTATGAACGCACGAGTGTGGATCTGCATGAAAGAGGATTACAAAGCTAAACATAATTACGTAGCACTTCTACATTATTATTTTAAATCCCATCTCTCTTTGTCCCGCATGGAAGTATTCTCCGTCATCTCTGCTGTCCCCATCTGTTGTGCCTCTTGTGCACTCCATTGGTCTTTCCTCTCACGCCTTTCTCTGCTACTCGGAATTACGTTTTTAAGTGGACCAGTGCATCCCTCGAAAGGCAGATTGAAAAAGCTTTTAGTGACATATTTTTGTTGCGAGAGATGGTGAGATATCTAATTGGGTGAGTGAAGAGAGCAACAGGCGAGAGAGATGTGTAGGCAAATGAGAGGTATACATACAAGATAGAGACAATATAAATTAACTGGCTTATGTTTACAGAATTAGCATTTGAGTTCAAGCTCCTATTTCTATGGGACCTTTTTGCAAGTATCAAAATATGAAAAATAAGAATAGGTTCGACCCTGTCTGGCAATATTATCAGAGCAAGTTTGTTTAAATTTTTTGTCACGTGTACGTGTGGTTAATGCAGACTTGATTCCTTTATAAAAGGTTTCTATTTGGTGTTTGACCATCTTAACACCTCCTGTTTTATAACCAGAAAGGGTAAAACCTATTCTTATTTTTCAAGCTCATTTTTGACGCATCCCGATAGTTTTCCTTAATCCGGGGTCCATTGAGCTGCTTGTGGAGCCCTGTGCCATTGCCTGGCTGGCTTGCGCCTCGCACCACCGCCGATTCGCCTTCAAGAAGATGCAAAATGCGTCGCTGCGGTCTCTCCTCCTGTGCACACTTGGGGATGCACCAAGGGACCGGATGGTTTCAAGGTGTCTTGGTGAACAGCGCGTGCTGTTCCTGAAGCTGGTATTGAACTCTCAATCTGATCTGTGCTGGGAGGGGGGGGGGGGGTGCAAGACGAGCTTCAGCAGTGCTCGGTGTAGATGCTTCTGGCTGTGGCTGTAATGCACGAGGTCGCGAGCCCCGAGACCGATGCGACTGCTGGGATCGTTTGCAAGGTTTGTGCAAGAGAATGCAAAAATACTTTCTTGAGGAGGCACGATGACGCCTGACGTCGTACAATAGTTAAATGCTTATTTCTAAAACTGAAATATGAACATTGAAACTGACAATGAGCCAGACCGACTTTGATCTCATCCACACCACGGACAACCACACCGCTGCAGGTCACATCTCGCGTCTCGTTCTGCCCCATCCCGCGTCTCGTTCTGCCCCATCCCGCGTCTCGTTCTCCCCCATCCCTCGCACCGCTCCACTCTGCAATTACCTCCCCATCGTCTCTGTCCCCATGTCCTGCAGCGGTGTAACGCGCGTGGGGCCAGGGGGTGCCATGACCCCCCCCCCCCCCCGGTGGCCAAAGCTACGAGTCGGGGGCACCTTGACAACCACCACGAGATTTGTTTTCAACCCTCTGAGCTGATAATGTCGTTACTACGCCACTGACCATCTTTTCCACAATCGTGCTCAAATGAAGAAGTGTTACTACGCTTATCCGCTCGCACCTTCAGCCGTGTGTTGCCAACTTGCTGGCTGCTTGCCAGTTTTCGTCAAAACCGCGCTCGTCAACCCGTTGGTGAAACTCCTCAACACCCTCCGCCCCCCCCCGACTGTGCCATTGCAGGATAGCGGAGGAGCCGGAGGCGCGGGGGCGCATGGTGGCCGTGGTCCGCTGGTTCCTGTCGGCGTTCCACGCGGGCCGCTGCGGCTCCATCGCCAAGAAGCCGTACAACCCGGTGCTGGGCGAGACGTTCCGCTGCTGCTGGGAGCTGCCGCGCTCGCCCGCTGGCAGCAGCAGCAGCGTGAGCTCGAGCACCCACCCCGTCACGCATGGCGGTCGCGCTGTCTTCCTGATTTTCTGTGGAACATTTGAGTCGACAGCTTAGATGACGTCGCTTGATGGTTCGGGAAAATTTGTTTTGATTCAACAAATGTGTCGTCACGCCAGGTTGCTATCAAGACACACTTTCCTGACGCTTCTCCCCCCCCCCTTCCTAAAGTGCCACTCTGCACAGCTGCTCTTCAAACTACTTTCTGTACTGCCACCGACCAAGCATAATAGGGAGATGTGAGGAGGTTGCATGTAGGGACACTGATGCAGTTCTTTTTATTTTGCTCACGATAAACTTTCTCGCTGATCAAAGCAACAGACGTTTGCATTGCGGTTGAGATGGCCAACATGTGCGAGAGCTACCCTGAGAGCATCTGCACCAGATAGCCGTGCATCTGTCAGAGCTCATCAAAGCCAACCGTGTGAGTGTCTGTGCCTCTCGCAGGCGCTGAAACATCATTAATGGGTGGCTTTGTTGCTGCAATAACTAGCGTGCCAAATATCAATGTGAATGTCATTCATTCAGAATGTCTCCAATGAGTCTCAACACTCCCCTCCAGGAGGATCCTGCACTGTCATGTTTGGCCGATACCTCTTGACGAGTACTATGATATTTTGTATCTTTGCGTGTGTGAATGTCTCTCCTACGCCTGGCCTCCCCGATGGAGTATTCTGAATATAATTTCACCGTTTTCATCGGTAGAATAATGCACGGTCTTTACAAAGAGCCCACGCTGCCCCCATATAACCTTTGAAAAATAACAATAAATTAATTATATATATTTATAAATCTCCATGTGATACTTGGAACGATGACACGCGCTCGTGTGAAGGTCTGCCACAAGCCAAGCACTCCTCGTTAATGGAACTGGGGAATATCGCAACGCAGGACACTTCTGAAAGAGTCGAGATACTGAGTTGACGCTTTCCCTTGTTTAAGATTCTGTATTGTCATCGGTATTAGGAGCCGCTTCCCCGCGGTATACTCCTGGTAACATCACGATGCATTGCGCTCAGTGCATTGTTGAATGACCTGGTTAAAACTGGCAGTCGTTTCACGTAAACATGATGTTGCCTTGAGTAATGACCTGGCGCTTGAACCTGAGATCTAACAGATGCAAGCTCGACAAGCTTGCCACATTAGGTTAAATAAAAGAGAAATGGAGTCTCGCAGAGACGGACTGCAATAGGCTTAATCTTCTGATAACATAGGCATGCAAATTGTTACAATTTCCTGCTTATTTTTGTTAAACAATATACACTGTAATACATAATTATACGAATTCGTGTAACAACTGGAATTACCCAGGGCGCAGCAGGAGGCAACCGGAAATTAGGGGCCTCGATCTTTGTGTGGATTCCAAGCCAAGATGTTTGATTTCATTAAATTTGCTTATCCAGAAAACGACTGCAGTGGAGCGTTGCGTCATTGACCCTGCAACCAGCCACGGGGTTCACGCTTCGACCCTTGTGGCCGCCCTGGTTAATACCGCGGGGGTACGAACCTTAATTATTACACGCCGTCTGCCTCACAGCAGACCTTATCGACCCCGTGACGTTATATATGTATAGTTATGACGTATCATCTATCATCATGATTGGGGCTAGGATTAGGGGTTCACACGTGCACCGTTTATTCGTCTGGAAGGGGGGGGAGCCATCTCTCTCGCCCAGTGCTATTGGGTTACTCGGCAGAGAGAGAGAGGGGGGCTCTCGCTCGTCACTCAGCGTCTCTGTCTGCGACGCGGGCTCAAGTCCCAACCACTTAAGCTAATCCGTGATGACGCTTCCAGCTAATTTTAAGTGTTTCTCCATTCACGTAAAAATCATCATTCCAGGTGGCAGAACTCGGCAGTAAATATTTACTCTGCGAGTCGGTGCAAGGTGTTGGCGACAGCAGCGTGAAGCCGGAGAGTCGTCGTTTGGCTGCGAAGTTGTGGGGGCGCTGTGAAGTGAATGGAACCCTCCGCTCGTGTCGCCTCCTGTGTGTGTGTGTCTCTGTGTGTGTGTGTGTCTGTGTGTGTGTGTATCTCTGTGTGTGTGTGTGGTAGTGTAGCGGTCAGCACACTGCGCTACGAACCTGGCTACCCGGGTTTGATTCCCGCTCACGGCCAACAACAACAAGTGGTGAAAATCTGAACCGGTACTGGGCCTCCCCTAAGTCTACTCGGCCTCAAATGAGTGCTGTAGTGTGTAAACATCGCCACTGGGGAGACAAAGGCGCCCGTGCGTGATGCTGACCACCCACCCCTCATATGCCGTGCCAGCCTTCACAGGTGCTACTCGCTAACAGCACTTGCCCCACCAGTCTAACGCTTCACGGGGAACCTTTGTCTTTGTTTGGTGCACAGCCCGTCGTCGTTCCGGACGGCCCCGTCCCCTGGGCCACACGTGACCAGGTGGCGTACGTCGCAGAGCAGGTGTCGCACCACCCGCCAAGTACGTGCCCCTCGCCTCCCGGCTCCAGCTCCCACCTCGCTCCCACCTCGCCCCACGCCTTCCGGCTCCAGCTCCCGCCTCGCTCCTCACCTCGCCTCCCGGCTCCAGCTCCCACCTCGCTCCCACCTCGCCTCCCGGCTCCAGCTCCCACCTCGCTCCCACCTCGCCCCGCGCCTCCCGGCTCCAGCTCCCACCTCGCTCCCACCTCGCCCCGCGCCTCCCGGCTCCAGCTCCCACCTCGCCCCGCGCCTCGTCCACCGGGGACCCTCCTGCTCGTATTCACTTCTCACGACGACACTTCCTCTCCCTTCTCCTCGCTTGGGATCACCTGACCATCGCCTCGCTTCCCATCTCCGCCTTTCCACTCGCATCCCACACGAGACGTGCCGCGGCTGCGGCTCGGGTCGGCGGTTCAGGTTCAGACGTCACTCGCCGCTGATGTCAGACATGGCCAGGTCGATCAAAATCTGGTCTCCAGATTGGGAGACCAGATTTCGCTGCACCCGGGCCTGGCCGTGGAGTGTGCGCGTGGAGAGGAACCCGCTGTGTGTCTCTCGCTGCCCCCTTGCAGTCTCCGCCTTCTACGCCGAGTGCTACAGCCGGAGGATTCAGTTCATGGCTCACATCTGGACCAAGTCCAAGTTTCTGGGGGTGTCCGTGGGAGTGCAGAACATTGGCCGAGGTGGGAGCCCCCCCCCCCGCACCATCACCGCAGATGCTTGCCCCCCTCCCCCCACGCAAAAAAACAAAGATCCCCCGTATAGCCTTTAACAGACTGTTGGGGCAAGTGCCGTTAGCGAGCACCTTTTGAAGGCCGGCACGGCACACGAGGGGGTGGGTGGCCAACACCACGCCCGGCCGCCTTTGTCTCCCTAGTGGCGATGTTTACACACCGCACTAGGTACTCATTTGTGGCTGAGTCGACCTAGGTGAGGCCCTGGACCGGTTCAGATAATCGGCACTGGTGTTGGCCGTGAGCGAGAATCGCGGTGTTCATGGTGCAGCACGCTAACCGCTACACTACCACTCCCCTACCACGCACATACACACGTACACACACGTACGTACACACAAACGTACACACAAACACGTACACACACCCATCCCAAGCACTTGGCCTTCTCCCACCCAGCATCCGCCTCGATCACAACTCCGGCACCTGCCCTGGCCCTCTGCAGGACACTCGCCACGAGGGGCACAATCCGCCGTTGGACGTCGTGCTCCCCGCGCCGCGTTGGTCTTGGGGGTTGCTTGGCTATACTTCACCGTGCGTCCCAGTGCGGGTGTCATTTTGGTTTTTGTTTAACCCGGCGTCGTTCGTACAAATTGCAGCTGACAATCGTAGAGGAACCGTTGACAAGCTGGAAGGCAGCGGCCGCGCGGTGAGACGGTACTACCAAAAAGTGTCCAAGCTCTAGTGCCATCTATATATTAAGATGTTTCCATTCTATGAATGAGTAGACATGTGGGAGGAAACCGGAGCATCCGGAGAGAAAACCCACGCATGCGAGGGAGCAACACTCAATCCCAAAAAGAAGGGACAGATTATATCAGTCCGCCGTTTGCTGTGCCGCCTTCGCCCACAGAAAGGGATTTTAGAAACATTTGATCCATCAACCCTCGCCTCCACAGTGCTGGGATTACAGGCATGCGTAGCCAACAACGATTGGTAATGAGGGTGCCAATGACTGGTTCAGATATTACTCGGGGCAGTGTGACAACCGCAGTGAATAAGAGGGAGGCTTCTCTCCTGCTCAGTTGGCCACGTGCAGCTCACCGGCACGCTGCAGCGGAGGGGAGATTGACTTTCAGAAGTTGGGCCGTCTGGGCCCTTTGTTTTTTTTCCACAAAATCAATAATGAACGCCAGGTGGTGCGGACAGACGGCTATGGAAAGGTTTCTCCCCCCACCCCACTCGGCAAAATCAATAATGCACGCAGGAGCGTCGCAGGCCGAGACGGGCACCGAGCACAGGATCTGACGCTGCAATGTTAATGAAGCCAAAGCATCCGAAACAAAATATTTGCAGCATGGGATAGCCCCGACAGGATGACAACAGATATACGTCATCACGTGGCCGGCATCTCGCCGTCAAAATTATAGTCTTTGCCATCTTCAGTCTCCTGGCCATGCTTGGGTTTCGGAGCTTGCTTGTTCATTTGGAAGAGCGAGAGGGAGACACGGTCGTTGGTGGTGGCGTCTCGGCATAGCTAGGTAAAGAGGCCGCATGTGGCTATGGATGTTGACCTGATTTCAGGCGCAGCCCCAGAAGGGGGGTGGGTTGGTGCAGTCTCACAAACCGCCTTCCTTTTTGAAGGTCCGTCATTGATGCCTTCTCGTCCACGAGATTCAAATGTCGGCGCACATGGCGATTTTTCCCTCCTCCCTTGGCGATTCAATCACCTGTCACGATTCCGTCGAGATGTGGAGCACCCAGCAGCCTCTAGTGGCTCTATTGGGGTCACATGATCCCATTGTTACACACACGATCTAAAAATAAATAAAAGATTCTCCCGCCCAGAATGTTACGCGCGTATCATGAGCGTGATAATTTATTTTACTCGACGAATGGTTGCATTGTTGCAGGCCGCGTGCTTATCTCAAAGATCCTACGGCACGTTTGATGATCGGCAGCACGATTTGTGTGTTGATTGATTTACGGGCAGTTCCTGCTGAAAATCTGTGGTCAAATGTCAGCATTAATTGAAATTCATGTCAATTTTTTAGCTGCACAATATTTGTGAGAACTGCATATATGTGCAGATTACATTGTTTACATACCTACTACCTTGGCATTTGGAATACCAGTTCATAACATTGCATTTTAGTTTAAGTGAATATTAAATAATGAAATGTGATTTTTTTTTTTTGTAAAGGTGTACAATGTGATTGCTTAAATCCGTGCGAAAATATATAGCCTCTTTTTCAAATAATTTAAACGTGCTGTGATCTGTGCATGGTCGCTCATGCAACAGCACCATACATGTGTGGTTCGTGTACATGGCAAGGCAACGATGCTTTATTGAAAGTTGCAAACAAGTGAAAGTAGGTCAACTCTTTATACAAACTAGGTCATGCATGTGTTCAATTGTAGTTTCTTTAAAAGCATGTGGGCGCACTGGCTGAGACGTCATCTTCATGTTCCCAAGGGCACTTCCCGTGACGTGCTGCACCTCCCCATGTAGCCCAGTAGCCACGCAGCTGACCTCTCTCGATGCGCGTCCGCTTCCACGATTGCTAAAGGTGCTTGCAGAGAACGTGGCATTTATTTTGCCCTCGCAACACCAACTTTTAGGTAATTTAATTGTGGCGGCTGTTTATTGTATTGGGGTTTTAAATATAACTGGTAATGACCCAGGTATATTTGTAAGACAATCGGTAGTCCTCAATGTTTAAAATATTTTTTTCTGCTGCCTGATTTGAATGGCGATTGCCCCAAAACGTCAGCTCACGCATCTATCGATTGAGGTCGCGTATGTATGGCAAATGCAATTAGGATTCTTCAAGTTCGGTTTTGTTTTCATAGAACATTCATGGGCATCCATTTGTGCTCGATGAAAATTTTTTAGCGATGGCGTGTATCATCTCCGCACCCTCTGAGTCGAACTGCAAAAAAAAAAAAATCGGCTTAAAATTACCATACTGCTTTTGTAATATTCATTTTATTTTCTGGAATTAAATATTCATCGTTCTTTGGATAAGATGCTTCAGATAGGAAGACACCTCAAACCTGTGCCCAGTGTCGATGAAGCGATACAAATCTCGTCACACAATCCCCCAACGTGTGCTTTAAGTTACAAGGTAAAAAAAAAGTGCGTCTTATAATCCGGAGGCTACGGTCAAGAAGAGTGGGCCAAGAACGAGCCGTGGCCACGCGCTGAGAGCTGCTGTCGTGTCGCAGGCTGCGTGTCTCTGCTCCGCCAGGAGGAGGACTACATCCTCACCTTCCCCAGCGGATACGGTCGGTACGTTGTGACGTCGATGCTCACGGGTACCACGTGGCCACCCTGGGGCGTGACGTGGATGTTGAGGCCCCACGTGGCACAAGTTGTAATGTCCGTGTGAAAGCCCATCAGTCGTCATCGTAATAAAACCTGTGGTACATGGCTTGTGGTTTACTTTGCTTGTATTTTTCTTGAGCCCAGCTTTGCGACCTTCTGGAATTTCCTAGAGCATTGATTGTTGTAATTACTATCAGCAAATCTGAGATTGTCTTGTTTACCGCATGTGTTCATGCGTAGCATCACAAAACATGTCCTTGTTCATGCAGGCACACAACCCTATGTCGGTGGACCATTCACAACCTCTGGACCACTCGGGTATCTCTATCACGTGCTAGTAAAGCGACCACATTTCTGGGAGTCACGTAGGTAAAAAAAAAAATAGCTACAGTGATTTTACTGGAGCAGTTACACCTGATGACGGAGGCTTGTGTTGCTTCCAAAACGTCGTGATTGAATTTAGTTATTTTTATTCATTATTTTTTTTACCTACGTGACTTTACCGAAAAAATCTAAGAGTATAAATCCTTGCAGTCACGAAAGCTTCAAATCTAGAATCCCAAATTCTAGCCGATGCTTTGGGACTTCTCCTGAGAACAGGACGTTGTCAAGGCGAGGCTGTTCCGGCCAAAGCAGGATTCTTGGTTGCGTTACTTAAGTGGCGGCCGATTTCTGGGAGGCTCAACCGTGTTGGGTGTGTGGGTGCGCGTTCCCAGGTCCATCCTGACGGTGCCGTGGGTGGAGCTGGGGGGCGAGTGCTCCGTGCGCTGTGCGCGCTCGGGCTTCCAGGCCAGCGTCACCTTCCACACGAAGCCCTTCTACGGGGGCCGGCGTCACCGCGTGACCGCCGACATCTAGTGAGTGGCACGTGGCCTCGCGTCTGCGTGCGGAAGGGTTCACGTGGCAGGAAAAGTGGCCGTGTCGCCCTTAAGCCCTTGGCCCAAAAATTGCTTTTTAGTGGCACCCAGGGTGGCAAAATCTCCTAAAGACATTAGAAATAAAATAATTACACAGATTACAAATGTTTATGCGAGCAAAGGCACCGCGCTAGCTTTTTTTTAAATGGAAAAAGAGGTACTTTAACAATGTATAGTTTATCTTAGTGATGCACCGTGTCAGCTATTATCCATTGGGGTTGTTTCACCATACTGCACCGCACTTGGAATTCGGATCGGTGATGGGGAGAGCGAGAGAGAGGAGGGGTCCAGGACAGCTTCAGATGTAGTATTATGGTAGCCACGGCCCGGAATCCAATTTAGGTCACTGTAACCCCCCCCCCCCCCCCCCCCCACTGTATTTGGGCCATTCAGAAAATTGCGGCGTGAGTAGAGTGCGGACTGGGTCCGTTTCTGTGTGGAATCGGCCGCACATTAATAGAAAATTGTGGAACAAGTCTGGTTTTATGTGAAAAGGCCCCTTTATTCTTCAAAAAAGTGGGAGAATGTTCCACGAAATAGCTACAGAGATCAGGCCTCTCATCTCACGACGTGATGCACACAGAATTCTGAAAGCAACGTAAAGCAATAAATGGGATCTAACATTGCATGGCACTGTATATATGATTAAGGCTGAATGTACACATCTTGAACGAAGAGCAGATTACATTGTAATGGGTTCGCTTAAGCGTAAACTGGAAATCTAAGCGAACCGTCACTTAGTGCAGGCAGCGACGCGTGGTCCACACGGAGCGGTGACGGCAACGCTCGTCTCATTAAATACCCAAAACGCCCCCCCCCCCCTCGTTGATGATGAAGACATCAAAACATGTTCACCAAAAATTGGTTCAAATTTAAATTCTCCCACACGGGCATCAATCCCTCTGGACGTAGTGCATAGAAGCCACCTTTGGCGCGGTTCACATTCATCAAAAAAGCCCCTCTATGCAGCTTCCTAATGACATGATGAATTAGGGTAAGTTATTGTCTGTTCTCCTCTGCATAATTAGTCCTCGATAATGCCTCGTCCTATGTGGGTTAAATGCATTTCTACGCTTTACTACCCTCGTACATTACATTCTAGTTATTTTAATGATGTTAATGGTCAGAACACTTAGTATTATGTTTCACATTTAATACTCTTTGTCCAGGCCATGTTGGAAAATGTGGAACTTATTGGTAGCTTTAAAAAACACTGTTCAAATTATGTTTCTGCTCCGTTATCTGGATTTGTTCATAATCGCAGCGCTCGGGTTACACGGAGCGTTGCTATGGGGCTGTTGTACGGGCAGGGGGTACCCCCCCCCCCCCATGCCGTGTACAGTTCAGTGAAGACGAATGCTCCTGTAGCCGTGTCGTGGCCTCGTGCTGTGTGCACGGACCGCCGCGTGTAGACGCAGCAGTGCAAGTGCCGCGTCGATGTTGACGCCGCGTCTTGGGACGACTTTCACAGGGCACGTCGCTCTTACACCGCGGATTTAATATCAGCTAGCACATTCCGGCAATTACTGTTTGTGCAGGCCACGTCCATCTCGCCTTCATGTGCTGTTCCTGTCCCTAGGATCACAGGGATTATTACGGAGAGACAATACATTGTTACTCCGGTCGCAGTGCCTCTTACCTGATAATCCCCACTCCAAGCCAGCCTGGCACAGTTCTGGAAAATATCGAATGAGAATTTACACCAAGCTCGCTCGCAACGCTCGCGGCTCCCTCTGTGTCCCACGCCCAGCACAAGCGGCCCTCCAACGTGAGCGCATGAGAATGCAGAAGCGCTTCGATGATTAATTTGGTCTTTTCTAGGCGTGACCTCGCAAAGACACGGGTGAGATGGTAATCCAGACCGGCAGTCACTTTTTTAAAATCGTTTTACATATTGCAAAAACCCCCTGAAATCAAAATCGCCTGTGAGCATATCGGTGTGATTGTATTTCCAAGTCCATTTGGGGTTAGTATGCATGTGATTATTGTGCAGGGAGTGGAGGTGCAGGAGTGTCGGCTCAAGAATCAATATTAATCAATGAATGAATAGTTCCATGCCGACTGGGCGGGCTTACACGAGTGACCCAAGGCCTGCTTTGGCTGCGGTGGTCATGATGAAAGCTACAAAACAGCCTCTGAGACTCTACCCAGGTCGTGACGCCAAGTTAGGGTATCGTGGTGGTGAGATGTTAACTACCTCACCTGGTATACAGGCGGTTGTGGATTTAATCCGGACGCTGACGCCAGTATATTTGGAGTTTGCATGGTCTCCTCGTGGTTGCGTGGATTTTTCTCCAGGTCCTCCGGAGTTTCTCTTCCACATTTAGAATCAACATCACGCGTTTAGAGAATTCGGCCGCTATAAATTTCCCCGCAATAAGCCACTTCGTTGAGCTATCATTTGTGGCCAGGTCACTTCTGAAACAGAGGTATACAGCTCCGTGGAACTTACCTGGTAAAATAAAACAGTTTGGTTTTAGAAACATTTAAGTCCTGTGCCGTGTCACGTACTTGGTTTGAGACGCCGCCGCCGCTGCTGCTACTGCTGTTGTTGTTGTGTGCAGTGAACCCAAGGAGAAGAAGCCCTTCTGCTCGATAGAAGGGGAGTGGAACGGGGTGCTGTTCACGAAAGAGACAAACGTGGTACGTTCACGCGGTTCACCTGTGTACATCCCACTGTCACGTGAACGAGCATGTAACTGTCGCCATCGGACACCATAATACATCATTAATGCATGCCTTGGCACTCGGCCTTTGTTTTTATCGATAAGCATACAAAAGTATTTTACATCTAAGCTTTTATTATTACACGTGGCCTACACGTATAATGTGATGTTTATTTGCAACCGTCAGCAGGGAGAGCTATGTCACGCCCAATATTGCATGAAACTACCGCGTGTAAGTACATCCATTGCTTATCGAAGAGAGTCTCGCCAAGTCTCAAGACTCGTTTTCACGACAATTGGCTCGGTTGTGACAAGTGTTTGCACTTAGAGAAGCCTTCATGCTGACCGAGGAGGCTCCTGCTTGTGGCCAGATGGCGGCGTGCCAATACATTGGGAGGAGCGTGATGAATACGTGTGTAAGAAAACCGCATCGATCCATGAGACATTTTGAGGGGCTCCAATGCCATGAGCTGGCAATTTTACATCCAGTTTAAAATGAGCGTTTTCCCCTTCCGACGTCCCACGTTCACGATAGAAATACTTTGGAATAATAAATAAATGGCAGCTGCTTTAACATCGATGCCGTACAAAAGCATCGCAGCAAGGTGGATGTTTTCTTACTGTTATCGCTGGAGTCATTTTCGTTATTGCTGCATTTCATATTGGTGTGGCGGGTCAGTGGCGCAGTGGTTAGCGCACCGCACTGTGAACCTGCAAATGAGTTCGACTCCTGCCTGTGGCTAACATCAGTGGCGAGTGACTTCTGAAGCGTTAATTGGCTCCTCCATCACTAAGCCTGCACCGACCAGCATGGTGAAGTATGGTCAAACAAACCCATACAACCTGCACAGCGTGGAGAGGCTGTCATCCGGCAGTGGATTGACCAAGGCTCTAAATTATGGCAACAGTTATTCATATTTGACACGGTGCCTGTGAAACTATTTATGCAATGTTATTGATTTGTGCAAGCACCAATAATTATATTTTCACCACAACGGTTTAAATTATGCACGGTTACTTAAAAATAACTCCGTGTAACGCGCACAGCATTTGCTCACTCTAGAAGAGAGACCGACTTAATTTGAAAACAAATTATTTTAAAATGACGTTCCTTCCCGCTTGATACACGAATCCTGACGCCACTGTGGTTTGCGTTGACGCGACACACAGGCAGCGACTCCCCGCCACGCCGTAACAAGTCTCTTCCCCCAGGCGCTGTCCAGATGCTGATGCTAGGTGCAGTCCTGTTCGAAGGTGATAATGATGTCAAGTTATATATAGCGTCGGTCATGTGGATGTTACATTGTGATGGACGCAACTCCGTCAGCCGCAGCCTTTCCCCAACTCGTGTCTCCCGAGATGGAATTCGAGGCCCATCCATGATGTTTAATTATTTGGAGGAGGAGAAAGTGCGTCTCACGAGTTGATGTTGACCACAGATACATCGGAGGCATGCGGTGCCTCATATTTACATGCACCGATTTCGAGCATTACCATCGTTTTGAGGAGACTAAAGAAAAATACAGCCCTTGATTCATCGACTGCTGGAAGGCGGCCCTCCATGCCTTCCGATTACAGGGGTTGTTTGATCATACTTCACCACGCTGGTCAGTGAGAGTTGGTGAATTGGGACGATCCAGCAGGTTCATGTATCACACGGTACTGGTGTTAGCCACGGCCAGAAAATTAAACTCGGGTGATCGGGTTCGTAGTGCAGTGTACGCTAACCACTGCGCCTCTGCGCCTCCCAAATACAGCATTTACAATCATGCAAATGTGGGGTATGGTTTGAGAACGTCCGTCACAAACTGGGCGAACAAGCGGCATCCTTGCCGGGCAGCGCGCCCCGCGACGCGGAGCGGTGGCCGGGGTCGTTTAAGGCCTCGGCGGCGATGTAAATCTAAAACAAGTGCTCTCGTTAATTGTCCCCTGGGCCCGCCCAGCCCCACGGCGGCGGCGCGCTCTTCATGGACACGCGGAGCCTCCCGACGACGAAGAAGAAAGTGCGCCGGGTGGAGGAGCAGCAGGGGAACGAATCGCGACGGTAACGCCGTGCAAGGGGCGGACGCCGCCGCGGCTGTGGCGTCGCGGCTAGCATGCCCCCCCCCCCCCCCCCCGTGCAATGACGTTGAGGCTTTTTAGCGGTTTCGGCTGAATAATTATTATTGGCCTTGATTAGCCTCCCGGGAAATGTCGGTGTTTAGTCACCGATTTTGCAGAGGCTCACAAAAAATTAAAATTTGGATACCTCTCACATTTCACCGTAACTATACCCATTTTATTTTCTCTCTCGTTTAAAATGAGCCTGGGTCGAGACGCAGCATTGCCAGAAGTCTCGGCGTGCACGAGCAGGTGGCATTGCAGCGATACGGGCTGTGAACAAGACGGTTGCACTGAACTCGGTACACCAGCGGTAAAGCGCGCGTGGCAGAGGCCCCGGTGCAACGAGTGAAATGGGGTCATCACTGTCCAATATCCCCCCCCCTCCCAGTGCAGTTGCACCGCCGACGTACTCGATGGTTCTGCCACTGGGATTCGGCAGAATAGACGGCGGCAGCACACGTGCATGGGTTCAGAGCGATCCTTGCCTTGGTTCTCAGGGTAGTGTTCTACAAGCGAGAATACTCGAGCATCGCGGCTGGAGCAAAACGCAACTTGCAATTTGAAATAACACGAACTGGAAGGTTAAAACGGAAACAATAATTAATAATTTAAATGAATCTCAGCCCTGGATCGTGTAAAATGCATGTAATCGTTGGGGGGGGGGGGGGGTGTGAATCAATACAATCTGAGGACGTTGTTAAATAATTCATTTTTAATTGACTTCAATGGAAAATTTTTTAGAAACCAAAAAATGAAATAACAATTAACGCGATTCTCTGGTATCCCTGTTGGCATTTGGAGGTTTGGAGGCTCCATTTGCCACCACGTAACATCTGGCACGGCGGTCACGGATGGATCTCTGTGGAGGTCACACCCCGTAGGTCACACCTCGTATAGGTCTGCCTGTGCACGTGCCCCGTGAGCCCCTCCCAGTCGCCCACTCCCACACTTTCAGCCTCGCCACCAGCTTCCTTTGCCGCCCCCCCCCCCCCCCCCCCCCCGAATTTTCACAGCCAGATGACGGTAGCCAGAACTGCATCATCCGCTGAGAATTAACGCCGCTATTAAAGGAGTAATTTAATTATTATTGTTAATCTTTTTAAAGCAATCTGAGGTTTTTTTGCGGCGCTGGTATGATGCCTATCGGAGATCGGAAGCCACGGCCCTTCCTCCTCTTGCATCAGCTGTGTGGTGGCCTCCAGGTCCTCGTATATCCGGCGCTATTAGAGGCCTGCGCTTGTCTCACAATTTGCTGCCGTAGAGGCTCACACCGTTGGATAGAGGGGCCCTGTGACTTATGCCCTTTGATGCCACTCAGACTTGCGGTTGCCAACGGTCCTGGTTTTCCCAGCATTGTCCTCTTGTCGAGATGGCCCATCCAGAGAAACAGTTTCTGAGGACATTAAAAGTCCTGGTTTGTATCACAGCTGCATAAGAACGAACCACGCAGGTGATGCGTTTTACATGTAGTAGTTCTAACCCTTTGCCGGGATTGAGATTCTTCCAATGATACGTCCCAATTATTTCTACATTAGGGAGGTGGCAACCCTACTGACCACCCAGGGTAGCGAAAGCTAATAATAACGATAGAACCATTTTATCTCTAGGTCACAAATGTGTGAAAGCAAGGTCACTCCTCTGGTAGCCTTTAATTAATGAGACGTGTTTTTTTTAAAGAAGGATAACCAGAGTATTACAGAAAACCATTTTGGGTGGGAAAAACCCCCCATAACAAATGTGAATATTTTAATATTCCGTGGCTGTTTCTAAAGGAGTGTGTCGTCTATAAAACGGATGGTAAATATGGCGCCAAGCTTTCTACCCATGGTGGACACTGCCCGCCGTGGCCACTGGGAGCATTTGCCACCCCGGGTGATAGCGCCCACAACCGTCTCGTGTCTCCACCGAGCTGCACTGCGAGTGCGCGTGCTGGGGGCAGCCGCCACGTGCTGGGGGCAGCCGCCACGTGCTGGGGGCAGCCGCCACGTGCTGGGGGCAGCCGCCACGTGCTGGGGGCAGCCGCCACGTGCTGGGGGCAGCCGCCACGTGCTGGCACGGCTGCCACGTGGGAGTGGAGCAGTGGGAGGGCGCCACTGCGTGCGCGTGGCACCACGGCAGGTCCCAGCTGACGTGCGATGGAGTCCTCGTGGCGTTCGTGGTGCCGCCTACCAACGCACGCAGAGACTTTTTGGCAATGCCTCGTTTCTCAACACGGCTTCATAAACAAACATCAGCGAGAGGGACCTACGTTATTATTTATCATGTATTAAGTGTGTTAACAAGCTGCCTGCAGCAAGTTGCGAGCCTCTGCAAAGTCAATAGCTAAAGGCTAACATTTGCTGGAAGGAACATTTTCTTCCTGTAAGATTTCAAGCAAAAAGGTATCAAGTGAATCATCATTGAATACTGCACAGAATGGAAGGAGACTGACATTTAACGAGCGAAAAACTGTTATGAGATAACATTATGGTTGTACAGCGCATGTGTTTAAAAAAACATGACGGATACAAAAAATAACCAAAGTTTATAAAACTATTCAAATATAATCAAATTTAGAGATGCGGGAAAAAAATAAACAGCTCGTTTCACGTCAAACAAAGGGGTGGGACACGTAGTGCGGCGGTAGCGCATTCGCAGATTGCTTTAGTCGATTGCGGTTGAAATCCGACAGGCCACCCCGGTTAATACTGCGCAGTGTATTACCAGTACAAGACGTTAGCACAATGCTTGAAGATCCCCAGACGTCGCCTGCCAGAGCAGGCCACTGTAAGCCAAATGGGCCAAATTTCCCAAATTCAAATTACCCAGCTTACACACAGCAGTAGTAACCGTTGCCTCCTGCTGGTAGAGTCATGCCCACTCGCAGGCCATGTGCCGAGTCACCTTGTGCCACAGGGACAAGTTGCCACTCGGGTTGACCTTCAAAACATTTGCGGTGAGATGCGCTTCACTTAAATCGCGCGTACAGCGGTCGGTCGCCCCGGTGTGAAGGGCGTCCCATAAATAACAAATGGTCAGCATGATCATTATCATCATCAACCAGCTGTTCCTCTCTTCCGCCTTGCACACCCACCTCCCCACGGGTCCCCCCCCCCCCCCCCGTGCCGGCTCGTGGCCAGGCTGTGGAGGGAGGTGACGCGGAGCCTGCGGGCGCGCGACCTGGAGGCGGCCACGCAGGCCAAGCACCGCGTGGAGGAGCGGCAGCGAGCAGAGGCGCGCGAGCGAGCGGCGAGCGGCGCCCCCTGGGAGACGCGGGTACGGCAAACCACCCCACCAGCCCCCACCCCACCGGCCACCAGCCCCCACCTCACCGGCCCCCCTCGCCCTATCACGCACGCATGGCATGAGGACAAAGATCCCCTTCTCCCACGTAGTCTGTGCATGCTGTTGGGGCAAGTTGCTTTTCACGAGCACCCAATGTTAGCCCGTAGCCTGGAATCGAACCGAGATGGCCTGGTTCGTAGCCCCGCGCACCAACTTCCTGCGCTAAATGCCGATGGAACAAAGACAAAGATCGCCCATGTAGCATACATCGACTGTTGGCGCAAGTGCTGTTGGAATCCGATGACTTGGTCCGTAGCCCAATGCACCAACCGTTGTGCTACTGCTCCCCATGCTCGTAAAACAAAAACCACACAAAGATCACCTGTTGAGTCCGCATAGAATGTTGGGACAGGTACGTTTATCGAGCACCTAAAGCCAGCAATATCGCATGGTCAGTGCCACGCCTGGCTGCCTTTGTCTTCCCATCATTGAGGTGTTCACACCGCATCAGGTATTAATTTAAGAGCTAGTTGACCTATGGCATTATCCGTTCAGATATTTGCCACCTGATGTTAGCAGTGGCTGAGAATTGAACTCTGGTCATTGGGTTCGTAGCACAATGTAGAAAACAGGGCACCACTTCCACAGGCTCGCCTAGATACACACGCAAAAGTGGCCACAGGTCAACGCACGTACATAGACATGGTAACATATGCGCTTACACACGTAGATACATTCACGTACACAAAAATAAAAAACGCGTGCTACACGTACCTATGAACACCCGCAAAGAACGGCAAGCACGCGTGTACATTTACACGCAAATTAACGCGCACACGATGAAGCATGCACACACACACACGTGACATGACCAATGCAACTTTGCCTGCCGAAAAAAAACGCCACTGAGATTCTTCCGGTTCTATTTTCTTGGCGCTTCTCATGCAAAACCAATCCAGATAACCGCAGGATGAATTGTATTCAGGCCAACCCGAGTGTGTGAGGCCAGCACAGACCTTCTTAATCAGAGGGGCCACATTCCCGTCGCACCGATGACGAACTCGCCCAGAGCGAGCGCGAGGAGGGTCCTGCGGTGGGCCCTGCAAGCATCGAGTGGCCCTTTGGCCCACCCGAGTTCTCCCCGTAGTGGCGCGTGTCACTGCCACTGGTAGGTCTGCCCCCCACATTCTAGCTCTACTGGAGCCAGGCCAAGCACCACCGTGACCCAGAGCTGCTTGTGGAGTGGACTTGGCTGGGTAGATTCCTTGCCACGTTTTACAAACAGCCGCGAGATGCCACAGCAATTCTGAAATTCATGGGATGAAAACGTTACTTTACTTTAATTCTTATATTTCAGGAATATCACTAGATACCTAGTTTGATTTTCAGTAGGGTTGGTGATGGGACAAATAAACTGATAGTCAAATTGGTCAATTTGCCTCCCTAAACAATGATAAATCAGCCACGCATGAACTACAATTTCCAAAAATGGGAAACTCAGGATTTTTCTACAAAAGCAGCGATTCCAACAAATTGGAATAATAAAACTAAACAAAAAAATCCGTAATAGCTGCACGAATTGAACCCCTGGTCTATGATGGGAGTAGAAAACAGGCACACATCTGCGTTATAAATATAACATGAGTGATACATTAACCGATAAATCCATTCATCCGTTGTTGGAAAGCAATATTCATTTTTTCAGGGTCAGCTGCTGCGACTCGCAACGTTTTGCTGCATTTACAATCCCTGCTTAAGTGTGCTGTCAAAATACAAATGGTGATCGTATCTCAGAACAGCGTATCTCTTGCCGGCCTCTCATCTCATGGTGGCGTGCAGAGGGGCCGAAGGCTTCTGTATTGCTTGCTGCAAGTGTCTGTTGCAAAAATGTTTGTCTGCAAGCGCAATGGTTTGTATCCAAATGTTACGAGGCCTTCGTCACATCTCTAGGACTTAATTCATCTGTAGAAGGCTTCTTATGGAACACTCGTACCAGAGTGCACAAGTGGAGGTGCTTCCGCTAACAGTGACCCGAGCAAGCAATTGCAGGGCTGCACCTTTAAATTGTATATGCTGGCTATTTAATTGTTTAAGGTGGCGACATCGATTTGATGATGCACACTCAACAGTATAGTTACGGACACGTTTTGTCGAGGTCACGTCGTGTTCGATGTCACGCGTGGGACTTGTTCCGTCCCGTCTCCCTGGCAGCTCTTCCAGAAGCACGGGGAGCACTGGGAGTACGCGAGCCCCCTCGCCAAGCGCCTGGAGGCCACGGGGCAGCCGTGACCTCGCGGGGTCCCTGCACGGCCCTGGGGGAGGGGGCGGCGGCGGTGACGGCCCGACACCGGGTAGCTCAACGCGTGGGCGAGGCGGCGCACTCCGTCAACCTTCCTCTGGTGCTCGTTTCCTGTGGGCCCTTCCCCCGCGTTAACGTTGGGCCTGTCACTCGGGTTGACACCCGCGAGGTACACGACAAAAACCACCAGGGCATATCAATGGGAAGGAGATGTCACAGTGCCGGAGGAGGGGAGAACTCCGTGTGAGTGCGGCGTCTTGACGACTGGTGCGTTATTCCACAACTGGCAAAAACTGGAACTTTTTTCGTCCGAGCGAAGACTCGCGTATTTCCCAGGTTGGCTACCTCAAAAAGAAGACAATCCTGGGATCGAGGTAGCCGTCCTGGGAAAAACCCAGGGATGGGTGGCAACCCTATTCGTTCCAGCGTTGAGAGGCTCCGAGGCACCGGGTAGGAGTCGTCGCTCGATCCGAGGGACCAGGAACCAGGCACCGCCTCTCGCGGCTCCCTCGCTCCGGCCGTGGCTGAAAGTGCTGCCGGCGCAGCCTCGCCACGCCGTGTGGAGACCACCGGCGGTGGAGCAGATGCGGCTGCCACCTCGGGGACGGTTGTGATTTACGAGCCGCTCCCTTCCTCGCTTGGTCGCTCTCCTCGCGCCGCCAAACCTCGCGGGGAAAGTGACCGTTGGCGGAGACGGGGCCGCAAGGGCGTCTCACCCCTCCGCCCGCCCGCCCACCCGCCCCCCACACGGCACCCCCAGCCGGCACGCGTGTTTGCCGTGGTCTTTGCTCCCGCGTCAAATCGCCAGCCCTCCTCGCGACGCCGGCTGCACGTCCCCACGGCTGGGCCTAAGGTCGAGTTCAGTAGTCGTCAACTCAGGTTACTTGTGGCTCCACAACGGTCGAGCAATTTCACATCGACAAATCTTCACTCGCGTCCAGGAGACATGGAAAAGTCTTGCCGGGTGTGATGCCACCGATTTATGCATCACATAGAATAACCAATAAGTCACGTCGAATTGTGAGACTCCCAACCTAGGAGATAACAGGATCGCAAGTGGGTTGTGAACCCATCATCTGTGCGAGTCTCTTAAGCAAGTGCAATCTCTACAGTCACATTCATTCCACACGAGACGCTGCTGTGAATGGGATTGACCGAGCAAGTCAGATGGCAAAATAAAACAAGTCATCCGCTGCTCATGTGCAGTTGCGCAAGGGTGCCTAAGTCTTCGATCCCGTGATGAGAATGCAATCTCGCCGCAAAGACTGGGACAACGTTAGTGCACGTGAAGAACAGGGTCATTCCCCAGCCACTACACAATGGTTACACAATATCGCACTGACATAGCTTTGAGAATTACTAGAATTGTTTACTTGACAAATGTATTAAATACATTATTTGGTGACGCAATAATAGACCCTCGTCTGTATGTAAAAAAAAAAGTCATTCCTGCTCTATTTAGTGTGTAAGTTGTATGCGGTCTCAAAATACTTGCAGAACTGACGAGATGATCAAACACGGGCAGAGCGAGCCCACGAGTAGCACAGTGGTAGAGCAAGCGGCTCACAAATGGGGAGAGGTTCCGAGTTCAACTCCTGGCTGGGGGTTGTGGCTCAAGCCATCATCCCCTTAGGGTCACGAAAATGAGTCCCCCAGTGTTGTGGTAAAGCTACATCTTAGACTGGTTACTGCGTATCGAGGTGTACGTGGGAGAATCGATGGACTCCGTAATGAGTCGACAAAACCCTTGAAGCCACCAGAGGCGCTAAAACCACCACAGTGTTTTGAGAAGAATGGATTTTGGCGACCGGAGAATTGAAAACGCTGAAATAGCGAGTGCCGGGAATCGTTTCGGGCTTGCCAATCGGCACAAAGTGTTGGCAATAATCCAAGGAGAGTGGCCCCGTGTGTGCGCTGCGCGGGAGACGGGGAGAGGTGCAGAGGAGCCCTCGTAACGCCGCTGCACTCGGGTTGCCACCTCCGAGAAACAAACAAATCCGGGACGCGTCGTGCCGAGAAACGTCATCTCGCCAGTCCAGAAGAGAGGACCGCATGCAAATGCCTTGCCTTGAGGAGTGGTGAAATGTTGCACAGGCAACAAACTGGGAATTGTTGTAGGTCCTGGCAAGACGTCGTAGACGGATGTTTTCAGGGCCGTTACTTCAAATAAGTAAAGACTTCTGGGAAAACTACGGCGGGCGGCAACTCCACCCACCACACGAGCAACTTCAGGCCCAGGGGCCCAACGCAGTCCACGTTCCCGTGTTGGAGATTCACCACATGCACGGGTGCAGGCCATTTGTTCAGTCCACTGCTGGACGAGGGCCTTCTCGCACCGTGCAGAGAGCGCCAATTGACCACACTTCACCACTGTGGTCAGCCCGAGCTGGTGCGGGGAACATTGCATCGGGGTTTTCTGTGCTGCCCCCTGCTGCCCACGCGCGTGCGCGGGTCTGATGGTGGTGGAGGGCATCCGTGGAAGGGCCCTCCCGGCCACTGTTCTTCACCAATTCCCAGAGGGAGGAGGGGGGGCATATTCGCCGATAAGACATCGGTGTGCGATGGCCACCGCACATTTGAAACCATTGGGGTTTGACGGCACGATGGAGCGTTTCACTTTGTGTGTTGTCGGGGGCCGCACACGAGCGAGGGGCCGCACTGAAGGTCACCGTTGGCCCCGCGGGCCTTGCGATGAGGACCACTGCCCCAGGCTCTACCCTGCGTGGCTACCAAGGGCCGGACGATTAAGTCCCATGGCAATAGAACTCGCACGCGGGTATTGGGCAAAGCTAGCTGGACACACAGGGTCACTGCACCTTCCCCTGGTGGTTGGCGTTAGGGTGTGTAATGTAATCTAAACTCAAAATGCTATTCCGATTAAAGTTGTCAATCATTGTCTATCACCTGCCATGACTCTTTCCCACGGGCCTGCGATGGATTACTCCACGGAGTGTTCCACCGCAGGAGCGTGGGAACTTGTAACGGTTTGGCGAAGCCTTCATCCAGCAGCGGCTCGACCAGGGCCGATGTTGATGCGATGGAAACTCAAAATGCCGACACGTTTGGCACGATTTCAAGCACGAGAAAAGCCTACACACAACACCTGTGCCACTTCAGCGGTGCAGTGATGGCTGTGGGCACAATCGGAGTGAACAAATGAGGTGCGCGGACGCACGCGAGGGCTTTGATACGCGAGTTGTGTGGAGTCCAGTGGCCCGAGGCTAAGCCGTGTTGACACGAATACTCGCCCGCCCCGAGGACTGTCTGTAGGCGATGCTACAGTCACACGGCGAATGTTTTATGCTGTAACAATGTGTTTGTAAGGCGCTATATTAATATTACACGTATTCTAATTAAGCACTTACATTTTACACGCCGTGTATCACTCGTCCCTTAGCCAATCCATTTAATTACTTATTGCGGTGTTCATGGGAACTAACAATTGACGACTATACTGCCTGGAGTAAGGCAACTATAGGATGGCATTCTTACTCCATTCGGAGTTAGGGTTGGGGTCAGAAATGTGGTCAGGGTTGTGATTCAACATCACTGCTCCACTAGACGGCAGACAGAGCCCATTCGCAGATAGTTTGTCAAATGTTGTGAATAGTCAAATATTCCATCACGGTTTTTTCTTCAGGAGTTATAATTGCATACCGGTCGCCTGTTTTTGAAAAGTGATTTTTTTTCCTTTTCATTAAAATTGTGTTACATGCTTGAGCTGTGTGTTTGTGTGTGGCTCAATCCGGCACGGGTCGGTGGTGTGTGGAGCAGGGTTGGTAGCAGCACCGCATTTCACTTCCACAGAGGCCCATGGGACTCGGCAGCAGCCCACATCATCGTTTACACGTTTGGGGTATTCATCACAAAGTGGGAACGTGATCACTGCAGGAAACAGAGGCTCACGTTACAAAACGCCTCGGCCTTTCAAGGGGACGACCCTGGAAGAGATGCCATAAAACTCCTGCCAACATCTCCAAGTCCTCTCTCAAAGTCATCAATTTTTCAATTCATTTCATCTTCATTTCTGGTGGGGCAGGCAGGGGGTGCAAGTCTGCTTACTCAGCTGCGTCCAGTGGTTCATTCCCTGCAACTCTGTTACACCATCCAAAACGCTCTCGTCACTTTAAACTTAAAATAAATGAAAAACACGTGTAGCATTAATCATCATCTGCCTTGCGATATGGGCATTGGAGGCGTTTATCCTATAAACGCATCTAAATACGTGCGGCGAATGCAATAGATTCTACAAGTTATACACGCGCGCACCAATATATTCATGAAAATATGTTGCAGTACAACACTTGCAAAATCCCGACAATGGTGTCCACAGGGCCCAGTGGCGCAGTGCATCACCTCCACGGCGACTCGGCGGGGGGGGGGGGGGTACTCGGCCCATCATCCCTCTTTCCGGAGGTCGATAAGCAGTACCACTTTATCGAGGAAGTCAACAGCGGTTGTGTTATGGAGAGACTTGCGCCCCCCCCCCCCCCAATGAAACATGTGGAATGTTCACCACTGGAAATGTAGTTACCTAATGCAAAAATCAATGTTTAGACATAAATTTAATTGGAACGTGTCTTTGTAAATGAAAAAGCATGCGCATAAATGTTGTCCTATTTTATCCACGCACGGTATTTCTCATGGATAATTGAAACAGCCAAATGGAGCGCGTCTAGACAGTGTGTGGCGGGGTTCGCCACACTCGTGAGGCAGAGACGAGGGCACTGCCACGCGGAGGCCGTGGCTGGGGACAATGTAGGTTGCAGGAGTCTCCAGCTACGCCAAGTTTTCACACGGAATCCATCAGTTGGCTAATAACGAAGACAAGACGGAAACGCCACACTGGGGCTCCCCAAAGCGAAACAAACGACGCTGCTCAACGCTGCGTGTCCGCTGGCGCGACAAAGATGGGACGCAATAGGCCTCAACAACGACCTCGGTTGTGTTCGATGGACAAGTCGGAGCTTAACGCAACGAATGTACAACATCGCAGGTCTGCGTTTCGCTACGAGGGCGGGCAGGGTAGCTCGGTGCTCGTGTAATGACAGTAAGAGTCAACCGACGGTGTGAGGGGACTAGTGGCTTCGGGGGGTAATGACAGGGGAGTCAGCCTGCAGTACGAATGGACGGGTGGCTCCGGGGATGATCGAGAATAGGAGGGTGGCCAGGTGACGGAAGAGGAGTCAGCTGGTCGAGCGAGCGCCGAGAACCAGCGAGAAGGTTCGGGGATGGGGGCGTGGCCACGAACCGTCTATAAAAGGGAGATGCGCGGGAGACTCGGGGCTGTTGCGGTGGGGGGGGGTCTCCGCCGGGTCTCGGCGAGCACGTGGTGCCTGAGTAAAAGAAACTATCTCAAGACAAGTGCGTCCAAGGCGTCATCACACTCGCGCAGCGCAGCAAGACGCGCCCGAGTTGGATTACAGACGCGGGACACCTGCTGTGTGTGTGTGGGGTGTGTGTGTGGGGTGTGGCTGTGTGTGTGGCGGGGTGTGTGTGGGTGTGTGCTGTGTGTGTGTGATGGTGTGTGTGGGGGGGTGTGTGTGTGTGTGCGTGTGGCGGGGTGTGTGTGTGTGTGTGATGGTGTGTTGGGGGGGGGGGGTGTGGCAGAGTGTGCGTCCTCCCATTGCCCTGGCATGAGGCTCTTCCCGTATCTCCGCTTTTCTCCCCACAGGCACAAGAACAAGCAGCAGCAATGCAGCTGGTACTGACCCAGGCATCCCAACGCCAATTGTGTTTGCCACTTGCTCAAATTGGGACGACAACAGCGACAACATCGCAAGGATCCGTCCGAAATGAAACATCGTCTCCAGTCTTAAGCGAGGCGTTTTCCCCTAAACAACAACAACGCCGCAAAGAACGCCCGACACAGCAGCAGCGTCAATGACGTCTGCAGGTGGACAATCGACGCCCCGGGCCGATGCAGCCCTCACTCACGACCTCAAAGTCCACCACGGAGTCCACCCCCCCCCCCCCCCCCAGCTACAGCGATGGTCTGCACCGGTCCTGGGAAGCCGCCGTGGCCTCACGGCGAGCGCGCTGCACTTAGCAGAGCGGGGGAGCGGGGGGGGGGCGACGGGTTCGATCTCCCGGCGCGGCATGTGCAACAGTGGGGCACGTGGTTGTTTAAATCCCCTCCGCATCCGTCCACCCGCGGCACGAACGGGCGAGCGTCACCGAGTCGTGGTGAGCGGTGCTCGGTGTGGTGGAGCTGCTCGGTGTGGTGGAGCTGCTTGGTGTGGTGGAGCTGCTCGGTGTGGTGGAGACGGGGAGGCGGAGTCCGCGGTGTGGGCAGCAGAGGGCAGCACAGCGAACCCATCGTCTTGCAATGCCCCGCCATCACCAACCCGCACCGACCAGCGTGGGGAAGTATGGTCGGATGCCCCTCACGGCCAGCGAGGTGTGGGGAAACCCTCGTCCAGCAGTGGACTGACAAGCCAGGTCATGCAGGTGCAAAGCATGTCAAACTAAACTCCATCTATTTTAATTTTAGATTTTAAGCTTTCGTGACTGCAATAATTCACACTTAGGTTTTTTCGGTAAAGTCACGTAGGTGAAAAATAACTAATAAAGTAAATAATAATAAATAATAATACAATTATAGAAAAAAAATATTTTATTATTTGTTTTTATTATTTATTTTTTACCTACGTGACTTTACCGAAAAACCTAAGAGTATTTTTAGTTTACCAGGTAAGGCCCACTGAGCAAAATTGCTTTTTTGTCAGAAGCGACCCAGCCACAAATGACAGCCCAACTAAGTGGATTGTGTGGAACATGAATAGCAGCCAAACACTCGGAACGGGCAAAGTCGATTCTGAATGTGGAGGGGACCCCCAGGGGGAGGAGGAGGAGGAGGCGGCAGCTCGCGGCGCCCTGGGCAGTCCGCTCCGTGCGTGGAGCGCTGCTGGCGCGGTTTGGCAGCCGACCGGCAGATGGCCACCCTGGCAAACAACTACAGCGGAGGCGCCCGATCTCGGCAGCTCAGCAGGCTGGAGCCTGGATAGCGCTTGGATGAGCGATCACCCCAAGCACAACGCACGTCTGCGTAGGCTGCGTGGTAGGCAGTAGATAGTACAGCGACATTGTTGCGCCTAACTGTAATTATATATGCCAGTTAGAACTAAAGTTAAGACAGGGAAAAATATTGACCATTCCCTCGTGTGTCGAACTTCTTTCGCACCGTACGTAGCGAACCGTGCGCGTCGGAGGTGCGGGGGAAGGACAACAAACGAGCACACACGAAGCGGTTCACTCGCTTGGAAGGAGGGAGCCAGTTGGTCTCACGTGCCCCACGCCCCCCCCCCCACCCACACACTGCTCGAGACGCTACCTTCATTGGGCAGAACTTGCGTGCTCCATCAGCCTCGACTCCTTCGCAGCGGCACAGCATTTCCCAAAGCTACTGAAGTGTCTTGCAGACTCCCAAAACTCCAGTCCTCGCAACCCACCACCACCACCCCACGTCTTTCCGCGTCCACCAAGTTCTCCTCCCCATTCAAATCAACTCGTGCCACGCTGCACGCGCCCCATGATTGTTAAACAAGTCCCACGTGACGATCGTTTCATAGAGCCCATTGAAATGAAGAGCTCTCCGTGTGTGTGTGGTGCCACAGCGACGGGGCCGCTCTGCCGAGCCAGGGAGCCGCCCGGCTTCCCCCACCGCACTGCCCCCAATCACCCGCCCCACATAAGCACACACCCGCACGCATCCCCCCCCCCCCCCCCCCCATAGAGCTGGAAGGGAAGGTTACCCGATCGACCGGTTTTTATCCGAGAGACCCTTATCGGGATTAATTCTCACGGTTTCCGGCGATCAGGGAATTGGATGACCTCCCCCGTGCTACGTGGTACCGCGGCGCTGCTGCCGGCCTTAATATGGTATGGTCGCGGCGTGGGGCATTCGGCCACCGCGGTTGAGGCGCATTTCCCCCCCACACACACCCCCACGAGTCGACGGGGCAAGCAGGGGAGGCACGGGACAGCATGAATAGCGGGGTCACAGGGGCTGTTGCGCATAGTCATGGAGGGTTGGGATAATTGCGCTTGAGCGCGCAAGCCCCATTGTTAGGAAGGGTAAGGGAGTAATTAGGATTTACGCCTTGCACGCAGCACACTGATTAGCATATCAACAGCGCCTGGGGACTGCCGTGCGCGGGCTTGGGGTGCACGAGCCCATTGTTCAGCGCAGCATCCCCTTTGGAGGTAGGGAGGATAAATAGAGGAGCGCAGAGGGGAAATCGCTCTCTTACTCCAGCGCCAGGCGACCAGACGCAGCTCGAGCCAGCGACCCGAACGTCCGTGCGACGCACCGAGGCACGCGGTTAACACAAGGATCAGCGGACCGCCGTGGACACTTAACAGTGAGTAAGAAGGGGAATTAGAATCATAGCCGATAAATAGGGAATAGGTACAGGTTTAGTGGAATAGGCCAGCCTCGTCGACTCACTGATTCAACATCAATTCGCAGGTGGCATATAATAAATCATTAATAGCGAAGCGTGGTCTCGCGTGATCTTGTCGTGCAGTGTGAGCGTGTGGGGGCGCTGTGTGCACAGTGGTTCGCCACGTGAGTGAGCGCTGCGCGGAGCTGAGCGCGCGGGTTGCGTGTGGGGACGCGTGTGGTACTGTGTGTGCGTAAGCTCGCGGCGTGCGTAATCGGCGTACCCCAGGTGCGCGATTGTAACGTGAGCGGCCAGCGC